ACAGTATTGTGTACACATTATGGTTTTGAATGTTTTAACTTTAATATTTTAAGAATTTTGAAGCTGAACAAAGAAATTGGTTTGAGTAGGGTGTGAACCTGTGACCTCCATGATACCGGGAAAAAGTGTTTATCTTTCTGAGTGATCCCTGTTTGCTATTTCCCGGATTTTCAGCATTGCTAATGTTGCTAGCATCGTGACTTTGGGCATGATCCCTGGCTACACGGCATACACATATGTGTACAGGTTTATGGCTTCTGACCATAGTGCCCCTTGAACAAAGACATTGACAAAATGGGAAAACGCCGGAACATAGGGCTGGATAGCTCAGTTGGTAGATATTGAGGAGGAAACACAGGTTCAAACCCTACTACAGTAAATTTCTTTGTTCAACTTTTAAATAGTAAAATGTAACTCGTCGGTTTCCTGTGTGGTTTATTTGATAATTTGATTTTGCAGAGAGTTTATTCAACTGTAAATCTTGCCTCCAAAGTTCTGACTGAATAACATCGCTACTCTGAGATCCTTTTTGTTGAAGCACAGAGGGGTGGAGTTAAAGCAACCCCTATGTACTTTTCAACCCAGAGCAGAAAGTAAAGGAACAAGTGTGAGTGCAAAATAAGCCCTGGCCGTGTTGCAAGAAGTCTTGCATGAAATTGATCAAAAGGATCCCCGCCAGAGCTGAAAAATGCGACGCCGACAAATGTGACGCCGAAAAATGCCACCCCCATGCTTTTGGTCAATTTTCAGGACAGACCAACCAACCACCAAGTGACATGTACAGAAGCTCCTGCCGGAGCTTAAAAATAATTTTCAAAGAAGCTCCATTTGAGATATATACATCTGTACACATATATTGTGACAGTGTGAATGAGGCCCAATCCCAGTCAACCAGAACCAGAAAGTCTGCATAATACACTGGCTATCCTATTTTACACTGCGTGGGTTAAAGCGTAAATTAAAAATGTAAAGATGCTTTCCAGGACCTTGACTTGAATAGAATTATAGAAAACTACATGTACCTGTACATGTATTTGGATATATGCTAAAAAGTATTACATGTTCCTACAGGTATATCTTACGAAGTGAAAACAAATAAGTTCATACTGATCCCTTTCATTAGTTTGACTTACAAAGTACTATTGTGCTTTTTGTCCAGTATTTGGACAACAGTCAAACCAGCCAAAACTTGCCAAAAATCAAATGAATGCAGTATTTTTGAAGTGGTATTTAGATGGGATTTCTTGTTTAAAGATTGTACAAGTACAAAAAATGTGCTTAAATTGGTTTTCTACAAAAAATGTGCTTAAATTGGTTTTCTACACAGTGTTCTTAGTAAAATAGAACCCATAGTTTTGGGGTTACTTTGTTGGGATTTCATTCATATTTTAGTTTTCACAAAGGCAGATGGTGGACTTTAAGGTGAAAAAAATACGTTGAGGGCTGAGACTTGTCAGGATTTTTGAAGAATCCCTTTTACACTCTGGAATTCCTGGGGTTTTATCATAAACGTTTTTAGAAATGGACATTTTAAGGGGTGCCATTAGGCAAATACAAACATGCACATTGTACGTACACTGTACACCATAGACCCTACATTGCTCTGGTGACATCAGATATAGAGGCCCCAAAACTCTCCGAGCACTGATTATTTTTGGATTTTTCATTTTCCCCTTAAATCTCACCCCTGACTTTTTAAAATTTGACTTATATTCATACATTTGAGAGAGCTGCTGTTTAGCCTAACCAGGTATTTTTCTTTCTTTCTAAAAAATTTTTTAGAGCGTGCCCATGTCAATAATAGCGCAAGGGTTGGGTTTCTTATCTGATTATTTCTCATTTGATCACATTCATGTGTCAAGTGTTCTTGAAACGAGACTTTGGACTGATCATTCATGCCTTTTTTTCGTGAATGCTGAATTGATAAATGAATGATAAAAGGAAGGTGTTTTGTAGTTTAAACGTTGCCAGGCAACTTGCTATTTTTAGACAGATTTTGATAAAATGTGTCAATTGTAAGGTGAAGGAGTTGAATGTTTTTATATTTGTATCAGTGCAGAAGGCTTTTTAGTTGATTTTAAAAGCATGCTGACGTTAATATTAGGAAGTGATGTTCAACTTCGGTGATTTATTAGCTTTTGGCTTCTAGTAAAATGTGTATGGTTCAAAGAAATTTTGAAAAGAAAAGAAATTGTCAAAAAGATCTAGAAATTTTGTAGATTTCCCTTGACCTTGAAATTACCAAGGGAAACACAGTATACTTAATGACCTTGATGATGTACATGTATGCCTATGATTTGTACATCTGTCACATTTGAAGTGCACATTTCTGTTTGCCATCATAAAGTATTAAAGTTGCCCATCTTTAATATAAACTGAATCAAATGATTAGGTTTAGTTTTTCACTTTTTCTTTAATATAAAGTGAATCAAAAGAAACTCCCTTTAAAAAATATTGCTTTTTTTTTCAAATAAAAACACAAAATTGTCTTCAATTTCAAGTCAGTGTACACAATGTATGGCTTTAAAAATTTTGGTTTTTATGACTGTGATGACAGATTCATGAAGCCTACGCTAATTCCCACAATGTTCTGTAGTTAAAACCTAAGCAGTATTCAGGCTGGAGGCAACAAACTGATAAAGACTGAGTGTTGGAGGTCAATATATTGAAATACAAAGAACGGAGTCTATCTATTGCCCTAGGTTGTTCTGATTAGTCTGGCTTCTTAATCTTCTGGCTCTCCCTGTTAAGGTATGGCCTGTGTGGAATAAAGTACTCTGACCCTTTCTGTTGTTGCTGTGGTTTTGTGATGTGTTGTGACAATCTTGAGACTTCTTCTGTTCTGTTTTCTCAAGGTTTTTTTGTCTGGCGACCTTTATAAAATTGTGTTTAAAAAAAAAAGTTGAAGGACAGATGTAAACATGTATTTCTTTCCATTGTTATTGGCATCAGTTTGCAAAAATTATATTCACAATTATTGGAAGACATCTTGGAGTAGGAAAATGCATTGAAATTTATTTGTTAAATTGTTGTACTGACACCAAGTATTACTAAGCAGTTTGGCTTCAGAAAGCATTAAAACCGGGATGCATTAAGAAACTTGTACCGTACATGTAAAAAAAAAAAAAAACGAATTGAGATTTTTACAAGCTTGAAGTACCCATGCTTTTATTGAAGACCCCAGGTGCTGTTTTTCTGTTTTTGTATTCATCAAAATGTGCGAAATATACTAATGAAAAAAAATGTAAATGGCTACAAGTGGCTTCATCCCCACAAAAATGTAAATTCTTGTTCCGTAATTGTGGGGACTTACACTCGTCTGTGCAAGGTATTTGTGGGGACCGAAAATGCTATGGGGACGGCAGAAAGTCCCCATAACTCAGTCCTAATTTGCCAACAATAAAAAAACTTCCCCATAATGCGGTGTATGCCTACCTACATGTACACGTAAGGTTTCCCCAGTACATGCCAGACAGATAACATTTCAGAAATGTCTTGCATCTGTAAACAATTTAGACTTGGCACACTGCTTATCTGAGAAATTGTTGAGCTGATACAGGTACATGTCCATGGAGCATGGGGCTGGGATTTTTTATTGATAACAGCTACAGTACCTAATAAAAGGGATGCATATTACTCTTCGGATTTGCTAACAGTTTCGGTGTAACTTTTACCTTGCTTGAAGAGCAGTGTGGAAACTAACTTAGTGGAAACTACATGTAGCTTTCTTTAAAATGCAGTCTTCACTTGAAATAAGTTTTCTATTTTTGTGCACTTAAATTAAGGTAGAAGTACATGTAGACACACATGTAGATACACTTTTAGACTGGGATCGTGACTATAATCTTTGAGAACAAATAATATTACTTATATAAAAATGGACAAAAAAGTCCATTTATGTAAACAAGATGTAGTGAATCTTACAATGTACAGGTACTTGAAGTGTCTAATGTGCAATGTGTAATTTTCTCTGTAGACAAGATTGCACTGTATGTGAGCACTTAAATAGTTGATTGGTTTCTGATATTAAGTCCACAGTTTTCTGCAAGCATAACGCTGGATACTACAAACATTACGCACACTGAAGAAGAGGGGGAAAAGGCTATTTTTAGCTGCTTAATTTGCTTAATTTGCTAAACTTGTGATGGTTCAGGGCTGTAGGATGCAAAAGCTGCTTACTTTTGTTGTTTAACTTGGCATGGTTGCAGCTTTGAAATTGGCCCTTAGTCTTTGCTTGCTTTGACACAAATAAGTAACTGTTCACACCTACACTATAATATCAAAGACAATGTACAATGTACACGTAATCTGTTGCCATGAACAATCAATGTTAAGTTGCAATTCTGCCTCTGTAATTTGTGACAGAGTGCAACAAACTTGGAGCCACCATTTCATTTCAGTCAGACATGATTTAAAAGTTCCCATTACAAATTCCCATTACAAATTTTCAAGTTATGAGTTACAAGTTGTCAAGTTAATACTTAGATTCATTCTGAGTCACTATGTTATATGCTACATTTTGTCCAAATATGGAATTATCTCTTCATTACTGATCTTTTTAATAAGCCACATGTAGGTATCTTGAGTTCTTATTGCTTTACTTACATACCTCAGAGACTGAGTAAAGTAAATGCAGTGGTGTTGCCACTTGTGAGAAATCACAACATAGTACATCGTAAATCTGGTCGCTGTCAAATTACCAGCAGAATCACGAGCAGAATCACAAGTCCAATCACCCTTAACAGGTGATGAACAATAACAAAGGAATGCACTTGTAACATTTAATTTGAATAGATTGTAAGTTGTCTCAGGACTCGAGGACTTGTGATTGACTTGTGATGGCTTGTGATAGCTTGTGATGACTTGTGATGACTTGTGATGGACTTGTGATCCATCACAAGTACCTCAACTACGGGTACATCACTTTGAATCGTTGACTTAACCGTGTCAAGTTTCATATGTGTGGTGATGATGATGAATTTTGATCATCTTCCTTCCAGATTGAGCAGAATGCTGGTGCCCTGGAGAAACTGGCCGAATCCGGCATGTCCAGCAGCACGGGCAGCATGGAGAGTGTCGGCAGCACCAGCGACACATCATCCACCGCCAGCAAGCCAGAGGCTCCCAGACCTAGCAGCAGCAGCTACCTGGAGCCACCACCTGCCAAGAAGGCTGCCAAGGCTGTGTCTAAGCTGAAAGGGAAACTGACGGCCAAGAAGGCACTGCTTGCCTGGGCTCAGAAGGCATCCAAAGCTGCTGGGTAAGTCACATTTTAGCAGGAGGAAAAAACGTATAAATTTCAAATCAGCACTCAATGTCACACTTATAATAGGTCGCACTTATAAGACTTCAGAAATTGTTGCTACATTTTAATGTTTTGTACATAACTTGTCTATTAATATGTTTGTGTTTGGATGTCCTCTTACAGTTCGGGCATGAAGTTAGAGATCAAAGATTTTGGTCCAAGCTGGAGAGATGGCAAAGCCTTCAATGTTCTGATTCACAACATACGGGAGGGCCTGATCGACCTGTCCATGTTGCCTAAACGGACAAATGCTGAGAACCTTGACGAAGCGTTCAACATTGCAGAACAGGAACTGGGCATTGTGAGGCTCCTTGATGCTCAAGGTGAGATAGTGTTTCAAGTTGCTTTTGTGATTGAAAAGTGGGCTTGAGGACCATCTGGCTTGTTAGTATTTTTTCGGGCAAGCAGGGGGCTGTTTTGTTGGTGGGCTGGCGGACCAGCCTACACTGTTTCAGAGTGGCATTTTAAATTGTTATAAAGCTATCAATTAAGTAACTGAAAGTAATGTTTGAAATTTAGGAGCAACTACTTTAGAAGATCCGTTGCAGTTTTTGGGAATGATTTTAAAGTCTTGTAATTTTTTTTTTTTTATGAGAGTCTCCCATCCAAGGCCCCTTTTTTAAAGGGCCACTCAAGGTGAGGGCTACACAAAGAAGGGATAGAAAAGGAATTTGAGAAGAAAAAAAGAAAGCAATCTAGTAGAAAGATAAGTATTGATATTTACACTTGAACTGGGACACATTATAATCAACAAGAAAACAAGCTCTAGTTCCATAGTGAAGCAATGTGTAGGAAAAACTGGATGAATAGGCCTATATCAGTGAATTTGGTTTTGAGAGCCAGTTTTAGATAGTTGATGCATAAAAGAAAAACAGTTATGTTGAACTTGAGACATTATGTTCTCTTTGCAGATGTTGATGTGGACAAGCCAGATGAGAAATCCATCATGACTTACGTCTCACAATTCTTCAAAGCATTTCCAGAAACAGGGAGCAAGGTATTGTCCAGATATCTTAATTATTGTCCAGATATCTTATTTTCTCTTGTTTCCCTTGATCCAGAAGTTCCAGTTTAATCATTGCTGATGGTCATTTTAGATTCCTGATATTGCCTAGCCCAAGTGCAGCAAGGGCATTGTATAAATTGGGGGTCCCCTTTTTTTCCCCTATACCTGTTACATCTGACATCTATGATTTTATAATTCTGATGCACTCCTTCATGCAGTAATCCTCCAAGAGAATATGAATAGCAAACTATCTATCCAACAAATAAAAAATCATTTGAAGTCATTATTAATGGTACTTGAATGGCAAATTACAAAGTACCAAGGTAACAGGACAGGAAAAATGTCACAAGTCGGACCCTAAATATATAGCATGACCCAGTATACATATCAGAGGCAACAAACAGGCAAGTGCACGGTTACTCACGTTCAATTTTGATGTACTTTTGAGTTTCCTTGGGCTGTAATTACCTTACTGAAAAGGTTTAATAACTGCTATCCCCATGGTAGAGTAGACCTAGACCTACCTAAGCACCAAAGAAAACATCCAGAAAAATGTGTTATTTATGATAAACAAGACGCACAAAATCGGTTACTCACGTTACATTTTCGTAATGTGAGTAACCGATTTTGTACGTCTTGTTTATCATACATAACACATTTTTCTGGATGTCATCTTTGGTGCTTAGGTAGGTCTAGGTCTACTCTACCATGGGGATAGCAGTTATTAAACCTTTTCAGTAAGGTAATTACAGCCCAAGGAAAATCAAAAGTACATCAAAAATGTAATGTGAGTAACCATGGAAATGCCCAAACCATGTTCACGCAAACTGTCCATTTCAAGGAAACACCTTCACTTTGCTCTCTCAAGTAGGCCACAAATGATTCTTTTCAGGGCCTAATTTATGGCTCTGCTTATCACAGGATTTTGTGCTTAGGATTACATTCTCTGCTAACAGGACTAGTGTGGAATTTCTGCACTAACACTGTTAGCTACTGTAGATGTACATGTACTACATGTAACTTAGTTACAAGATGTATACATGCCCAAATTTCCTTGCTAACCTGTGACATAATTTTCCAGTAGGGCACACTTTTCTGCTTTAGTTAGGAGGGATTTTCGGCATACAGTTATCATTAGGCAGAGTCATGAATTGGGCACAGTTCTTGTAATAGTTCTGGCCGCATCCGAATCACGTGGCTACAACTGGAAATAACACACGGGGGCTATAGGAAGTTGCTGCAGCCGCTGCCATAGGCGTATGTGTAATTTCCAGCCGTAGCTAAGTAATTCGGACACGGCTTCTGTTGGAAAGTGACAAATATTTTAACGTTGACCATTGACTTTGTCCTTCAACCTTTGACCCGTAGGCCGATAAAGCCAAGGACGAGGAGGCTAAGATCTGTCATGATATCAATGAGTGGCTGGTGAAAGGAGAAGCCATGATCACGTCGGCCAAGCAGAAACAGCGTACCAAAGAAGAGCAGTACTCGGTGAGTCATGTTGGAATACATAGGAGTTCAAGCATGATCAATGGTTCCACCAGCAGTTGATCTCTTTTTATTGCCCACATTTGAGCGTAAGAATGTAAGTGTGTCACAAGCCAATATGGCCTATCAGGCCGGCGTTGTCTCCGGCATGAAACGACAGAGAATATTTCTCTTCCCTGCTGGATGGGATGCCAGTCCAACGCAGGTTACTCCCCAGCTAATGCCAGTACCCATTTATTCTCCTGGGTGGAGAGAGGCAAGTGGGGATGAACTAGCTTGCCCAAGGACACAACATATGACCAGCAGCAGGATTCGAACCCCTGCCCCTCTGATCATAAGTCACGAACCCTAACCACTATGCCACATTCCCCGTGCCTAAGAGCACTGCGCTTCAATGATGCTAATTGACGTTAAATTGCAAATTATCACTTATATGGTTCTGGCATATTGCACAGTCATTAATATGCCAATTCGCATGAAACAGTTCAGTTGGAATTTATATGATGCAAAACTTGGTCTGGTTTCAACTAGTCAACACAGGTAATCCAACTGTCACGCATTCAGGTAAAGTCAACCATAGTTCATGCTTGAACTCACTTGCAATTTGGTTGTTTCCATACAAGAAATGACTTGTTAGTGATCAAATAATAAAAACTTCAGTGACTGTGATATAGGGTTGGGTGGCTCACGTTTATTGTTGTTATTATTATTATTATTATTTATTCGGCCAAATTACAAGGTACAACAAGCAATCCACAAAAGTAAACAAAACTAAACAAAAACAATTCAATCCAAGCTGGCCAGGATTGACAAAAGTATAATAAAACACTGTGACTCGAAAGCCTGTCAATCCTAACTTGAATGGTACATGTAACATACAAAATATATTTAAAAATAGGTACAAAATTCAATGAAAAATAAGACCGCCTTATAGCGTACTGGTACAGTGTTGCTGAGGTTGCAAGTTCAAATCCAGCTCTAGTTCTTTGTTCAACTTAATATAGTACATGTAATTGCTAGCTTGATGTTGGTGACGTGGCCCATTTGCAGTGAACAATCACCGTGAAATTAAAAAACGACTTGAAATTAAATATTCCTCCTTCATACCCCCACACTTTCAGGTTAGAAAACCTGCACTTAGACCAAGACCAAATAACAATCTCAGTATAACATAACCAACTAAAAAGGTAATAACTTCAACAATATCAGTTATTTTACTGCCCAACCTCTCTTCCTCACAAACCAGACAAGACCAAGTTCATCTCAGAACAGGTTCCTTTAAGATTGAATTCCTTTAAGATTCAGCAATATTCCTTTAATCAGAGCCAGTAAATACATGTACATGTATGATTATCAATCAGTTCATGTACATAACATGACTTTTGGAGTTAATGGACACCATTTAAAAAAAAAAATGTCATTTGCTGATTCAAATACCTATCAAACTTTCAGCTCAGTAGGTGTACTTTTGGATAAAACTGTGAAAATGCATCTTCATTTTTCCAACTCAAAGCAAGGTTTTCTTTAAAAGTCCTTCATTCCACATTGTTCATTAAGATATTTTGACCAGCATCCTCTTGTGGTCTGATCCCTAGTCCGTCAGCCGGGAAAATAATTCTCGTTCACGGATATGTAACCGATTGAAAACTAAACTAAATTCAGTCAGTGTTTGAAAAAATCTGGTTTTTTTTCTTTTCTTGCGATGGTTTAGCCCTAACCATCACAAGGTAATGATGGTTATTCCTCTTTTCTCGAACGTGACAGCTATAGGTGCAATGAATTCACAGGATGGTCATGATGGTTGGTCCTATTATTTACTTCTAATTAAGTAGGATATTTCATAATAGTCTGGCAGTTTCATTTTTGAATCTTTGTAAATGGTGTCTAGTACCTTTAAAACTGTGACATCACCGTCTCATCCTTAATGTCAGGACAGTCCTCCCGGGACGTCTTGAAGACAGCTGCTGTCCTCATTCCCAGAGGCCAGAAATTCTTGGGCTGCCTCGCACTGTTTACGTCTGGGTTGTAATTACCAGCTGCTGAGCAGTGTAAAGCACTAAGCTTAAATTGAATTCACGCTTGCACTTCATGATGGCAGTCGGCAATGAATTATGCTAATATATGATATATGCTTAGCGGGTTTCTGTTCTTGCTGAGTGTAGTATTTCTGTGGTATTAAGCATCAGTGTGTAATTAGATCTGTGTTAGTTATGATCAGAAAAGATGGCTGCTACACAATATATCACGTACTCTGTTGACTGTCATCAACCTCAATGCCATACTGTTAATCGTTTGGAGTGATCGACCCTAGTACATTTTTCACAGTAATTAATCATGGATAATTTAGGAGGCTAATACAAGGAGTTGGACTGAGATGTGGTAAGGTATTATTTATCTATTTAAAAGAGGGAAGTTTGCGTCGGGGTGATGTAAATCAAATTAGGTCATGCCCTTCACCGACGATAAACACTGTATACTCAGTGTGTTACCTCCCGAGTGAAAGTTGGAAAAAAATTATTTATTATTTATTGCTAAAACTTACTGCAAGAGAAATTAACATTGAAATGAAAGTGTAACAGAAGTGTGGTTTGGTTTTGTTGACAAGTAGTTTGTTATGCCCCTCACAAGTCAAATTTCAAGCCCATCACAGTTAATCACAAGTTAAACAACAAGTAAGGCCACAAGTTACAGAGGAGTGATAGAAAGCATGCTTTTGTCACAGTTCATTTGAAAAGCAAACGCTTGTGACTTTACTTTAGACTGAACAATTTGTGATGGACTTTTACCAACTCTCCTATTAAAGCTCTAGTGCTGTTATGTTACATGCAACTCCCATTTCTTATTCAAGCCAGTTAGGGAAATTATCCTTTTTAAGGTTCACATTCTCCTTAACCTGAAACAATAATCTTGTACCTATTCTCCCACTTGTATTTTCTTTGACTAGCAATTTGTGGAATTCCAAGCGGAGCACAAAAAGTGCCAAAGCCTAATGACAGTCGTCATGGACAAAAAGAAGAAGAAACTGCTCCTGACTCTCTCAGATGAGCAGTTGGACGTCACCGAGTCACGCTGGAGCAAGCTGGTCGGCAAGGAGACGGAGTGGAAGCGGTCTGTGGAGGCGGGGCTAGCCGGTGGGCTGGGCCCGTGCGGGGAGTGGCTTAACAAGGCCGAGGCTCTATTGGACGATGACCTGACGCCCTTGCAGTCACAGGAGGAGACCCACAGCAGCATGAGAAGGAAGCTGATTGCTCATCAGGTTTGTGTCAACAAATAAAGAACAATAGTTGGTTAGATTGCATTTCATGCATATTTATGAGCTAGTGTACCTGTTAATCATTGGTCAATATTCCATTCCATCGGAGGCAGAATATACACCCATGCACACTTCTCTTCGAGGGCACGTGTGGTCTAGCGGTAGGGCACAGGATTCATGATCGTGAGATTGTGGGTTCGAGCCCTGCCGTGGCCATGCGTGTTGTGCCCTTGAGTAAGGCGCTTTACCTCAATTACTCTTCTCAACCCAGGTGTTAAATGGGAAGGTAACAGACTCACTGTGGAGGAGGTGTGGCAATCCCCCCACAGCAGCATTTCATGGACTCGAGTCTGGCCCAATCGCTTCAAAAGAGAGATGGGCACTCTGTTCCTTTGAACACAGGTTCGTCCCCCTTTACCTTTTACCTTTACCACACTTCTCTGCTGTAATACCTTGACAAACATGCATTGTGTAATTCATTCCTTGTGATTCACAGGAACACTTCCGAGACGCCAACAGGGTCCACAAAACCTTCCTGGAACTGAGCCGCACCGAGCTGGCAGAGAACGTCCCGCCGACCATCTTCCAAGACATGTCCGAACGCTTTAACAGGGTCCTAGCAGCGTCTCAGAACCGAGGGACTAAGCTGGAGTACCTGGAGATGAAGTATCGTCTCTTGGCGTTCATCGTCATGGCCGAGAAACAATTGCAGGCTTGGACGGTGAAGTACGGCAACAAGGAGAGCGTGGTCACACTGCTAAAAAATTACAAGGTAAGAAATAATAGACTTTGTGCATAAATACCCCCTCACTTGGCTATAACACTGATCTCTATATAAAGACTGGATAGCGGATATGCATACAACATTCACACAGTAGACTTTGCATATTGACCAATTCGCCCCCGGTCTCACGAAGATGGCCGCGTATAATACGAACGTTCTACGCGTAAATACGCGCGCGTTGTATCAACAGTTGACGCGCATTTTGGTCACGTACACATATTATGATGTTCTAAAAGGAACACATTTCCGTAGTGATTATTATTTCAAAAACGCCGAAAAAGTGATTTGCGGCATTATAAAAGTAACCACTACGTTAGAAAAATTGTAGTAAACCTTGGTCAGTTGGTCAGTGGTGGTGGCCAAAATATAAGTCAAGTGAGCCGCGACGTTACAAAAGAAATCAAGCTGTCTATAAAGACGGCAACTTGTCCTTTGTAGATCACCAGCCGGTCTCACCAATATGGCGTCAAATTCGTACATTGTGCGGCTCTTTATTAGCTATCCAGTCTTTATATAGAGATCAGTGGGCTATAAAGGGAGAATTAAGAGGTACTTGGATGTGAATGTATTGCTGCTGTAGTGTACACCTGCCACTCATGCGAAGACGCGTCCCTGCACAAAGATCTCACAAACAGTCACGCAGCTCCATTTGCTGTTCTTAAACAGAAGTCATTAGACACATGGGACTGTCCACCATCAATGCAAAGTACCGGTAATATGGGGACAGGCTGTTGTCCCAATGAAGTTCAAATTTTGGAATTCATTCATTCCACTATATAACCAATTGGGGGGGGGGGTGGCTAGTTTGGGTAATTAAAATACCTGAAATGAATATCCTGGAGATTTCTTCTTCGTTTTTAGAACTCCCCATACCACAACTTGATTTATGCCTGACAATCACGGAGTGATTCTGTGTTGTAGATCATGAATGGGTTTTTGCATTGCTGTTGAGGTGAAAAGATGTTTGGTGGGGGGGGGGGGGGCATGCTGGCTAGTTTGTGTAATTGAAATGCCTGAAATGAAATTCCTGGAGATTTTCGTCCTTTTTTGGGTGAAACTCCCCATACAACAACTTGATTTATGCCTGACAATCACGGAGTGATTCTGTGTTGTAGCTCATGAATGGGTTTTTGCGTTGCTGTTGAGGTGAAAAGATGGTTGGAGGGGGGGGGCATGTTGGCTAGTTTGTGTAATTGAAATACCTGAAATGAGAATTCCTTTAGATTTTTATGCCCCGCGGCGAAGCCGAAGGGGCATACTGTTTCCGCCTTGTCCTTCCGTGGGTGGGTGGGTGGGTGGGTGGGTGGGTGGGTGGGTGTGTGGGTGCGTTTGTAAACACCGGCAATCGTGGACGTAGGACAAAAGAATGTGGGCTCAAACAATACGTCCACGATTGACCGAACGTCCACGATCTCAAATCGTGTACAAAACCAATGAGAGCTGTCGCTAAAAAGTTAGAGTACAAACAAAGGAAAGAGGATTAGGGACAATGGGGCGTCCACGATTGCCGGCATTTACACACGTGTGTGTGTGTGTGGGTGCGTGGGTGTGTGGGTGTGTGTGTCCGGACAAATCTTGTCAGCACGATAACTTGAGAAATACTTAACATATGAACTTCAAATTTGGTCTGTGTATTGTTCTTGGTAATCCTAAGAGGCCTATTGCATTTGGGGCCGAAAGGTCAAGGGTCAAGGTCACAGTGGCTGAAACAATAGAAATTTTGTCAGCGCGATAACTTGAGAAATACTTTACATATGAACTTCAAATTTGGTCTGTGTATTGTTCTTGGTAATCCTAAGAGGCCTATTGCATTTGGGGCCGAAAGGTCAAGGGTCAAGGTCACAGTGGCTGAAACAATAGAAATTTTGTCAGCGCGATAACTTGAGAAATACTTTACATATGAACTTCAAATTTGGTTTGTGGATTGTCCTTGGCAATCCTGAGAAGCCTTTTGCATTTGGGGCCGAAAAGGTCAAGGGTCAAGGTCACAGTGGCTAAAACAAAAGAAATTTTGTCAGCGTGATAACTTGAGATATACTTTACATATGAACTTCAAATTTGGTTTGTGGATTGTCCTTGGCAATCCTAAGAAGCCTATTGCATTTGGGGCCGAAAGGTCAAGGGTCAAGGTCACAGTGGCTAAAACAAAAGAAATTTTGTCAGCGCGATAACTTGAGAAATACTTTACATATGAATTTCAAATTTGGTTTGTGTATTGTTCTTGGTAATCCTAAGAAGCCTATTGCATTTGGGGCCGAAAGGTCAAGGGTCAAGGTCACAGTGGCTGAAACAATAGAAATTTTGTCAGCGCCGATAACTTGAGAAATACTTTACATATGAACTTCAAATTTGGTTTGTGGATTGTCCTTGGTAATCCTAAGAAGCCTTTTGCATTTGGGGCCAAAAGGTCAAGGGTCAAGGTCACAGTGGCTAAAACAATCGAAATCTTGTATTTATTCTGAGATCATAGGGATTAGGGATTAATTCATATAAAACCTACAGAAGACACTAATGCTGTCAATGAACATTCCATGTGACCAAGGTACATGTAAGTTGATGTTAAAAGAGTGGTGTTATGTCATGGGAACAGTCACGGTTGCGGGGCATTTGTGTTTGTAAACACACCTGACTTGTTTTGTTCTTTTTTTTTGGTGAACTCCCCATACCACAACTTGATTTATGCCTGACAATCACGGAGTGATTCTGTGTTGTAGATCATGAATGGATTTTTGCATTGCTGTTGAGGTGAAAAGATGTTTGGTGGGGGGGGGGGCATGCTGGCTAGTTTGTGTAATTGAAATACCTGAAATGAAATTTCTGGAGATTTTCGTCTTTTTTTGTGGAACTCCCCATACAACAACTTGATTGGTGCCTGACAATCACGGAGTGATACTGTGTTGTAAATCATGAATGGGTTTTTGCGTTGCTGTTGAGGTGAAAAGATGTTTAGCGGGGATTGAAATAAAAATTTTACTCCGCGGCCATTAGTTTGTAGATAAACTTCCATATAATTTTATTTAAACTTTTCATTTATCTTCCAGTATTTTAGTGGAAATTGCAGCAGATAATTATGAGGAAAGTTTTTGACAAAGAATAACTGCATCAAAACACAAAGCAAAGCGTGAAGTGTTCATCTATTGTAGTTGTGACCACTGTAAATAAATGAAAACATGGTCTTGTAGAATTTGAGTATTCCTTTTTTGTTTTCTTAAAAACTTCTTTTGAACCTGTTGACTGAATATTTTTCAATGGGAAAAAAGGTTTGGTTGGTGTCAGTTCAACATGTTGTCTTAAAGTACATGTGTACCTCCATTATCTGCTGCAGTGATGTGATAAGTTTCAATGACATACATGTAGTACTTTTCTAATGATTTAAAGATTGTATTAAATTTGTCTGCTGTGTTTGTAGGTTTTCATCATTGAGGATCAGTTCTTTGAGCAGTATGAGGAGACGTTACAACAGATGGAGGTGACTACAGAGGCATACCACAAAACCATCACCAATGGTATGAGTGAATGTAAAATAAGGTTACAAAACAACACACAGATATGTCATTGCTTGCTTTTTCAAGTCACAGATTCTTGGATATATATTTGGATCGTAGGTTTTGGATTTGTGCTTGTTTTCCATTTGAATATTACATTTCAAAAGTGAAAACTATACATTGATAGATTTTATAACAGGTACCCGCCAAATCTTATTTGCAAGTTTTCCAGTCCGTGAAATTCCTATTAAACATAAAAAAATGTAAGCATTCAAATTAGAACATTTATGATCCAGGTGGTAGATTACTATTACCCCTGCTCATCACGCCCGTATAACATTGCTTAAACCATTGGTTAAGTTGCTATCTTTTTGGCACCAAAACTATATCAATCACAACCATTTCTATCCATAAAATCATCTTCAAGCTCTTGAGTTCAATACATCAGATCACTTGGTCACAATATTTTCTGCAATTGAAAAAAGTCATTTTAAGTTGAACAAAGAAATTAGGTGAAGCGGGGTTTGAGCCTGCGACCACCGGATTGCCATTCCAGGTGCTCTAACAACTGAGCTATCCATCCCTATATTTGTGGTTCCCCATTATAGTCAGTGTCTTTGTTCATAGGGCGCTAGTCAGAAGCCATAATCCTGTATATACCATGTAGCCAGGGATCACGCCCAAAGTCATGATGCTAACAACATTGGCAATGCTTCAAACCTGGTAAATAGCGAACAGGGTTCACTCAGGGAGGATACGACTTTTATTACAAATTTTCAAATAAACCACAAAGGGAAATTGACTAGGTGCATTATAATAAAGTGTTATTTATAAGAAAAATTGTGCCTTGAACTTTAACGCATACCTTTCAGTCTGATACATTTTGATTCCCAACAGAGAAAGAGCGAGAAGGGATGCGGCGTTTCCTTAGCGACATGAAACAGAAGAAGCGTAACTTGACCGTGGAGATCACCAGCATTCAATCCATGCTGGAGAGCGTCATAGAACACTGGCAGTGCTACACCACCAACGTCGGCTCGTTCCAACCCTGGCTGGAAGAGGCAGAGAAGGTCTTGCAACGAGGCGACCAGACTACCAAGATGGTAATGTGTCCTAACCCCCCTCCTTAAATTCAAACATTCCTTTCTATTTATAATAAGGGAACCAGACTACCAAGATGGTGATGGTGTCCTAACTCCCTCCCTTTCTTCTACCATACCCTTTTTTGTTGTAATTAGGCCATGTGCAAATTCTTTGGCTGTGGCTTGAAATTACACGTGAGTCTATGGGAAGCGGCTGCAGCCACTGCACATAGACTTGCGTGTAAGTGCAAGCCATAGCCAAGTAATTCAGACACAGCCTTACTTCCGATGTGGTAATGGTATCCTGGCCCCTCCCACTGTCTCACCATCCCCTCGTCTTAACGAGGCAACCAGACAGTGTCCTGCCTCCCCTTATATCCTTTTAAACTCCTGTCTTTGTAGAAGGGGACCAAACTACAAAGATGGCATAAATCCCCTTTTAACCGTTCCTGTATTGTGTGACAAGGAAACGTACAACCAAAATTTGGAAGGTGTCTGTGTAGTAATATTTGCAAGATAAGAAGTTATCCTCAATTTCTCCGCTTCCCACTTTGATTTTGTGTACAAACAGCAGATTGCTTATCATGACATGACAGTCATTAAAGCTTGATATGTGCACGATCAGTATGATAACATTGCTAATTTGGATCATATTTTTAAAATTAACTGTTAATGTAATACCCTTTTGATTATGATGTTATACCGTAATAGGACCGAGTACCTTAAGACTTTCTATTCCATCCTTGTGAGGTCTTTGGTTGCTTAGCATCTGCCTTCCTGAGTAGGAGGTCTCTGAAAGCACCAAGGAAACCTCACTTATAAATAAATTACGTCTGTGAGGGCAAAACTCAATTTTAAAATGGTACTAGTTTCTGATGTAATTTAAAGTATGTAATAATTGTGTTATTCGTTTATTTCCCTTTTGATTCCCTCAGGATTACTTCAGTGAGTTATCTGTATGGCTGGACCGTCACACTGCCATGAATGAGTCTGGTAACTTCCTGATTGAGACTTGTCATGAGGCAGCGTCACTGAGCATCCAACAACAGCTGCTGCTCATCAACCGGCGATGGAAAGAAACATTTGAACCAGCCAAGGTTAGTGGATAGAACTAGTTGCAATCGTAATTAGTGTACCACAGTTTCAATGATCGATGATTCGTATATAAGGAATTATATATTTTATCTCACAAACATTGGCAACATGCATATGTTGCAGTATAATTTGGGTGGTGTGTTGGTGCAGTGCGTAAAGCGCTCACTCTCTCTGCTGTGGCTCGGGTTCGATTCCCGACTTGGGTCATATGTGAGTAGAGTGGTTCGTTGATTCACTCCTGTGCCATGAGAGTTTTCTCCAGGTTCTTCGATTTTCCTCCCTCCTCAAAAATGAAAAATCAACACTTTTGATCTGGCTGGGCTCCGTGGTCAGACATGGGTCGTATTGGCAGCTGCCAAAGGCGCCTTTACATGCCTGAGGCTCGACCATGTTGTAGCTGCATCCTTTGCAAATCAGCTTCTGCTGCAATATGGACAATTAGCCCCCCAAATTTATGTATATATGAAAGGTGTCTCTAATGTTTCTAGAGTAAATTTTAGGTAAAATAAAACGTAGTAGAAAACACTGTTTACTCGGATCTACTTGTATCAATGACTTGTTTCTCAAAACAACAACATCAGTGCATAAACATCTGCTGAGGTCTTTGTCAGATATCTGCATGTACTTTTGGCTGCATGTTACAGTGAATGTGAACTTGTGACATCACAAAGGTTGAACACGTTTTAACTCCTTTGAATATCGCCTTGAATGATTGGTGAATTCCAAGTCACATTTGGTCAAAGCATGAACAGGTCTGGATTATAATTTTACCAGTGACTTTTGTCATACTCTTGTATCTTCTACAATCTTGGTTTTCTCAGTGCCCCTTTAAGAGCTTAAGAGAGAAAAAATTGTAAGTTTTGCTAGGGTCGGTTACCAATTTGGATCAAATATGTCTGCAGGCACTGCCTCCATTACCAGTATAGTAAAGCAAGTACTGGGCTTTCGTTGGGTGTTCAAAGTGCACTACGAATTACCAGTTTATCTGACTGTTGTTGGCTCTCGTTTGTAGGTCTACATGAAGTCTAATGAGTCGGAGAAGCTTCACCAGGAATTCACATCCCGTGTAGTGTCTCTCAACGTCTGGCTAGACAAAGCTGAGAAATGTGTGCTGCAACCCGTGGAATGCCACTACAGTGTCATCAAGGAACACGTCCAGCAACTTGATGTAAGTTGATGTCTATTAGATATTTATCAATTGATATATTTTGCTACCCCACTTTTGATGTATGCCTTAAGTCTTTTTCTGAGTCCCGAAACAAAAATAAGAATGAAGCACTACTTGAATTAATTCTGAGGAACTGGATAGGGTCATTTAATAACTTTTGCTAATCATTATAGAGAGGTATGTTAAGCATATGGAGAAACAATCTGCTTAAGCATTCTATTATTTGTGTAGCGGACTCAACTACTATTTTGAGCCAGTACTTTTCTGCTATACTTATGGCAAATTCTGTTGTCAAAATACTTGTTTGCCTATTCATTCAAAATACTCAGTCTACATATCTATGGTGCTTAGTTGTGATTCATGCAATATCACCTTATATTTCAGTGTACTTGGGGACTCAGAAATTTTGTGACGTCACAGCAAATGTTTGCGCTGTGAAGTTGCAAAAGTTGCGAAACTCTGGTAAAATTTTCTGGTGAATCTGAATCGGAATTTTTTTTTATAGTTGACAGAATTTCCCCACTGAAATTTCACTCAAATGATTTCTGAAGTTCTCCAAATTCTCCGAATTATTTTAATGTGCACTGTTCACATGGTTTGCAGCTCATAGGATTTCTAACTTGTATGTCATATCTGAAGTACATTGCTCTTTTGTGATGTCAAATTTGCCTTGCATTTGCCTTTTCCTGAAGTATGAGCCAGCCTTTACATTGTACTCTTACAAATCAATGAATGGGCAGTTTGTTGATGGAGTGCCTCGTGGTCTGGAGCATTAATTGGTAGTCTGTGGGTAATTCTGCAGGTTGTGGGTTCGAATCCAGCCTGGGGTTATGGTGCCCTTGGGCAAGGCACTTTGTCACTCATTGCTTCTCCCTATCCAGGAGTAAATTAGGTACCTGTGAGGGCAGAGTGGTTATTGGGGTTGAGTTTAGCTGCTCTATGCGCCAACATGGCAGCATCGAGCTGTATACTCCCCCGGAGCTGAGATCGTATTTAGAGTGTTTTATTGACCCACTGAGCAGGGTAATAATTATGTAGCGCCTTGAGCACCAGAACTGGTGGATACATGCGCTTTATAAATACACACAAGTAGTAGTATGTGAATGATATCTCTTTGTGAGTTGCGTAGTTCTGAGAAGAACCAGTTGGTTTAACTCGACGTTTCGAACGGTATGCTCTGCTCGTCATAGGGCAGTCTCCTGAAGAACCACACAACTCACAAAGAGATATCATTCACATGGTGTTACCTCAAACTTCCCATTCATTGATCATGTCCACCATGCAAACCTTTGATTCTCATCTTACAAATCCTCAACTTACAGGAGTTGCGAAGCCAGGTGCCCGGCCACGAGTTCAGCTTCAAGCACCTGTCCCAACTGGCCCAGTCCCTGGTCAAGACGCGATCCAAGGAGGAGACGGCCGTCATGGTCGGCACCCTGCGGACAGTCAAGGACCGGCTGACGGGGGTCAGGGACGCCATCCCGCCTCGGGCCAAGGCCGTGAATGAGATGTCGCAGGCGCTGAGAGAGTATGAGGAGGGGATGGAGGATGCAGAGGGGTGGGTGGAGATTGCCGAGGGATTGCTGAGATCGTATGAGGAGGAGAGGGTGAAACCGACGAAGATGGATCCTAAGGAGATGGAGAATTGCCTCAGGAGACATAAGGTATTTCAGCCAGTGTTGGAGTACTCTAACTTGGTACCCATAGTCGAGTACAACTCGAGTACTTTTTGAGAATACTTGCACTTGCACTGGAATATTAAAATACTCGAAATCATGGTACTCGTACTCGAGAAGCAAAGTACTTGAACTCGACCATTTGACATATTAAATCTGTTTTAATTGAAGACGACCAATTTCAATAATCAAACAGATGATTGTGCAACTGAGGAACTGTCATTCCATTATTCATTAGACAGAGGTTTGTCATCGTATTCTTGAGAAAACAATTACTGACTCGGAGAGTGGGTGGTTTTGCAACTGATTTAATGTTCTCCGCCAAGTTATTATAGAGATTGGACAACACAAGTATCAAGACCTGTTGATTCTACTAAAATCTGAAATAAAAAACCAGTTAAAAAGAAAGAAGAAATAAATATTACTTATATTATTGATCCTTGATTTTTTACCAAATTAACTTGTCCAATCTTTCAGGCTCATTTCTCCAAAGCTGCCCACGTTGGCCAACAGCTAGAAGACAAGTCCCAGATTGTGCGATACGTCATCAGTCTGAACAAGGAGAGTTATACAGAGACGACCACGCTTGAGAAATCGACTGCCAACATCCAGCTGCGCTATAGGGTGAGAAATACAAAGGCCTAACCAAAACAAAATTTAGCCAAAGTCTTTTCCAAAAAATATATTTAAGGTTCAAACTATTTTTGTTGAGTACTGGTCAGATTTCGTTACAATCGAAATATACAGATTGACAGGGAAATTACATGTTTTAATCTTTTATGAGTGAAAATATTTTTTTTTCCATAAAAAATGTAGTCACAATTCAAGAAAATCTGATTCTTTCTAATACATTGTATTGGTTTCCTGAAAAAGAGTAGACCCCCTGGAATTTTCACCGAAATATTGAGTTGCGCATCAGTTATCTCAGAAAAACGTAGCTGTACATGTGGCTCCATGTTTTCATGTAGCTTGTTACAGGACAGCGTTTACTTGTACACACTACCCCATGCAATAGTTCCACAATTTAATATGCAAGTGCGCAGACTGCTGCATGGTTACACCATTCACTAATATGTAAACTCAGGCCTGTGTGATAGTCTAATTTGCATGCAGTTTTGATTCGCCGGTGTGACTCCACGTGTGTGTGTGTGCTGGTACATACAGGCATGCAACTTTTCCTCGGATCCGCTGATTTCCTCGTTTTTTTACTTCTCGTGAATGCCATTACAAATTGACAAATACTGTACAAAGTCTTGTGTATTTCGGAATTTCCTCGTTTTTTCTAAATTCCCAGTTGCATGCCTGTACATAGCAAGACTACCGGCTGGCACGTTATGGTCAATTAACCATTTAGAATTACTATACGTTGTGGCCAACTGACCATTTAGAATTACTGTACCTCATACATATTCATGATCAAGAGCCGAATTCTCACTGGTCCATTCACCATGTTGTGCCAGATGCTATTTTTGCTCTTTACCAAGCTTTCGCGCGTATTCACACACGGGGTAAATATGCATACATCTTACCTGTACGACAGTCTACTATGCATGCGCTTTACGAAGTAATCATGAAACTGTCGCACAGGTGAGGTACGCACACGCGAACACCGCCCTAGCTACACATGAAAAGATGGTTGCATACGTAAATGCTGAGTAGCGTTTTTCTGGGCTCAATGATGCTGAACTGGAGAATATTGTGTTGACAAGTTGATAAGTTGACCAACTAGTTCCTAAAAAACGAGTTTGTCAACTTCTAACACCTCGGGGAGCTAGTATCGACTTTCCACCCTTAAACAATATATTTGTATAATCTGCTCTCGCTTGTGAATATGTATGAGGTATGTTAATTAGGAACAGTGTTCTAGCCAGGCATCAAATAGCGCTAGCACCCGCTACGCTTTCGGAAATAAGCGCTACGCTTAAATCGCGCCGCTACGCTACCGCTACGCTATAAATTTTGGTTGCGAAAAAAAAATATCTGCCGTTTGTTCGTATACAAGCGCAGCGACTTTGAGCATTGCGCACTGGCCGTACGACACAGCGAAAAATAAACAACGATCCCACTGCACGTACCCCGTACGATACCCCTACCGTGATGCTGCGCCACACGCATTCGCTATGAAAGCAATAAGCACGTGCTGTTTTGTGCTGCGTAGATACAGCGCTCCGTACGGACGTACGTGTCACCAACAGGTCACGTACAGAGCGCTCCATTTTGCGGTATCGGGTATGCTTTCCTAAGGTCAATTTTAATTACAAGCATTTCAACTGTTATTAAATTATAAATAATACTTTTTATCAAGTCCAAAACATGTTACTGTTTGAAAATAAGTTCTTCAACGTCGGAATATAATTTTTGTAAAGGATTTATTCGAGAAACGATGTCCAAAGAAAGGTTAAGCACCCCTACGATATCAATGGATCCGTCCTCAAAGATGGCCGCACGTGAAGAATTTTTCTCGAAGAATGTCGCTGTCGAAAATTTGGATTTTTGACTACACTTCTCGTTGCTGATGATAACAGTTCAATAAGTTTGGTAGTAAAAACGGATCTGTTTGTTCTAAGGACAAAACCAATCAGCAAGTATTACAACAAAGCAAGTTTTTTAGCGCTCCACGAATGCGTAAGCTTTCTCAAATGCTGAGGGAAAATTTGGTCGCGTAGTTCGCCAGCGTAGCCGGTGTGTGGGCTGGCCCGCGCCCGCACGCCGGGCCGGCCGGGGCCGGCCGCGGCCGGGATAGGAAGCAATTCCCGGTGATTATTTCTCATCGTCATTATCTACATTTATATTTTTTAACATAACAAAAATGAAATTTCTCCTTCACATTGTGTTGTAGCATATTGAAACTGCAATTTCCGACGACTTTTTCTGTCTGAGACCTCCAAATATGAAATGTTCATGCGATTTGTTCTCGCACTTAAAGTTAATATTGACAAAGTAAATCCCAATTTTTTTTATAAAACATTGAGGAACTACTAAAAATGGTTAAACATCAGAAAGCATCGACCTTGGAACAATTTATACATTGTAAAAACATAATCTAAAATTTGAAAACAGAAGAAACTTTACAGGAGCAAGAGTATCAATCATTGAAACAAATAAAACAAAATTTCTTATAATTTGAAACACTTCTGCTAAAAAAAAATCAGGGGAAAGTGGCAGGGAATCGCCTCAGATTGCACCAAAGAGCATCTAGAGTCCAAAATTTTTCGGGGCCCTTAAGCGGGCCCCAGACCCCACGCCGTAAGGGCTTCGCGCTACGCGCTCGCATTAGTCGTCGAACCAAAATTACCCCTACGCTATAATTTCACCCTGGCTAGAACCCTGATTAGGAATAAGCCTAAATACGTAACAGACACAATTCTGACTGGAAAATGGTCAAACTATCGCTCCTTGCTGTTTGTTTCACAGACTACAGTGAGTCTGGGGCTTGAGTGGGAGGAGCGTCTGTCTGGACAGCGACAGGAATGGCAGGCATTTGAAGCCAGAGAAGCCGAGCTTGCTGAGTGGCTGCAGCAGGCCAGCAAACACCTGCTGGAACACAAAGGGCCAGTCAGTAAACAGCTGGACAATCACAAGGTAACGTACATCAATCCCTAATCTATCAACAACCTTCAAAATCGACCAGGACCTCTTTGGAGGATTTTGCTGGATTGAGGAAGGTGGAGCCCAGCTACTTAATGCAAGATTAGTGGTCAAACATGTTTAAAGTGCTTCAGCACTAAGGATTTTCCCTATGGATTCATGCATAGTAGAGGATTTCAGGGGGGGGGGAGACTTAAGGGGGTTTCTAGCAAAACAAATTGTGGAGATAAGTTTGATGCTTCAACAAATGTTTCACATTTTGTTACCGTTTTGTCCATAATTACGGTATTTTTAATTAGTCACAGTCATTCGGCATTCCCCAATCAGAACATGTAGACTCCTATCAGTACTATTTTAAGCTCTGCAAGATTAATACCATCGTTTTGTGTGTCAATGAATTTGGTTGTCATTAGTGGGTTTCCCATTCAAGGAGCTTTTCTGGTATTCAGCTTTGTCTTTTTTTTTTTTTTACTGTATTACATGATTGTATTCTTTCCCCAGGCATGGTTTGAGTCAGGCCAGCCCGAAGCACTAACCAGATTCCTGTTAACGAGTCAAGAATTGCTTCACTCACTGTCACCTGAAGACAGACAGCGTGTAGAAAGCAGAGTCCGGGCACTACAGGACAAATACCAGGTCAGTAGAGCAATGAACTGCCAACCAAATTATGCAAGGTGATTACAGATTGTCAGTTTGTGTGTTCTTTCATATTATAATGAGCGTCGCCAATTGGGTCTGGTCAGATGACATTCAGCCCATCCCTGCAGTTGAAAGCCCCAGCACTTGGTGAAGGTCAGATGCCCCGTGTTCTACAGTAGGGCCCAGCAAGATTAGTGAATTTACCAAGAGTGGATTACGTAGTGGACTGGTTGGATTGGGTGGACTGTGGAGAGACCTAGTGTACTGAGTGGACTAGGTGGATGGCCTTGTGGATTGGGTGGATGAGGTTGATTATACCTTGGTATTGGACTGGGTGGATGGAGTGGTTAAACTAAGTGGATTGGGGATTGGAGTGGAACACACCCTTGCAACAACAACTAATTGGAAACGGGAAACTACTTTGACTTACAGAAGTTCTAAAAGTGTGTTTTATTAAGTCCTGCTCTGCCTTCTAAAGGCTTCACACACAACTGGGGGTGTATAATTCTTACTTCACCATTAAAAACATGCACAGAGTTAATAGCCCAATCATAATATACCATTGCCATGCAGTGACTTAGGGACCCGCCCTCTCAAAAGTGTAAGCCAATCAAGTTTTAGATGCATATGTACTAATATTGATCCTGCAACTTGGTGAGGGCTGTTGTTACCATGCAGTTTGCTTAATATTTAAAATGTACAGATGGCGACCTCTCACATCACAATATTATATCAGTTGTTGTGTGGCCAAGTGCTCTTCTGAGTCCCCAAATACAGTAAAATGTAAGGTGTTTGTGTAGGAATAGAGTATACATGCAAGTACAAAAGCAGTGTTGACTGAGGAATGAGGACTGTTTGAAGGAGTGTAATATGAGTGCTTGGAAACAAAGTAAAAGTATTTGAAAAATGACTCAGACTCAAAAATCAAATCCTTTGGCCAAAACTTGTTCATGTTCAAGTTAATTTTTTTCCCCAGATACCCACATTCCCACACTTAATCAAAAGCTGAAGTTCTCAGACCACATGGCTAGTTTTGCAGTTTTACAGTTCCTACTACCCCACCTTATATTTCACTGTGGATGTGTGCACAAGTACCAACTCACTTTGTTACGAAGAGAGAGTTACAAGCGACTTGAAGATGATTCTGCTGTATGCCTGGTGCTCATGCAAAGATGATGCACATGGGTTTGTGGAAAAATTTCAAATGCAATCTTGCAATACTGTATCTAGTGTGTGCCGGCAGTGTGTCCATCCAACAGATACATCATCGGTTGTCATGAAGTGTCGTCTGCTAGTCTTGAATTTTTTTGTATTATTGGATCATTTCTTTGGGTTGCCTAGGCACTGATGCGAGCAGCTCCACTGAAGTTCCGTCAGCTACAGTTCCCGCAAGCTAAGGAGATGCTGGACAAGAAGCTGCAGGAGATTGAGACTGAGCTGGCTGGGGAACATCAAGCCCTGAAGGATGGGCAGATCCCTGCAGATGTCATGGAGAGACACATGGTAAGGGATGTCTCCCAAACTGGACTGGCGATCTGACCTTGTACATGAATATGGACCAATTGAGCTTCTAAAATCATATTGGTTACTATATGAAGTGATCATTACATCTCACACACATATATTAAAATGATTTGTTTTAAATTTATAATGTTTTGATATAAATCAAATTATTGGTTTTGCCCTTTACCGACGTTTAAACACTGTGTACTCAAGGGCGGGTCCAGAACACAATTTTTTGGGGGGCCAAAAAAAATTTTGGTCCCCCCAAAAAGTGGGTCAAAAAATTGCGGCGTGGGGTTCGGGGCCCGCTTTAAGGGCCCCGAAATTTTTTTGGATTCTAGATGCTCTGTGGTGCGATCTGAGGCAATTTCTGACCACTTTAACCAATGTTTTTTTGAGGAAAAGATGGTGGTGTACTCATTGCCTGCCTTTATTGCGATGTCACATAAAAAAATTAAAAAATTGGTTTCGTTTTTTTTGGGGGGGGGGGGCCATGGCCCCCTTTGGCCCCCCTGGATCCGCCCTTGTGTGTACTCAGTATGTTACCTCCCAAGTGAAAGTTGGAAAAAAATCACTCAGGTGGGACTCAAACCCACGACCGCCTGCTTTTCATCTTATAATAATATTTTGATACAAATTCAATTTGTTTTTTACAGAATTTCTTTCCCAAGCAACAACCCCTGGAGTCTTGCACACAATGCATCCAGTCCATGGAGGACATCCAGAAGCAGCTCATGACCCTTGACCCCAAGTATGACCCCTCACCTCTGACCCAGGCCATCCAGCAGGGGCAGGCCAGGCATGGGAAGCTGAGCCAGGAGGTGGTGAACTTGGCCAAGAGGCTCCATGATTTGCCAGGGTTGTGGCAGGAATACAATGATAGGTAACAAGATTCCTATTTTTTCCCTATGGCCTTCAAATTGGTTTAACAGTTTTGTGAAAATAATCACACCATGTAAAAAGAAGGACTGAAAAACGAGGAGTCGTCAAAATTCTGAATCTTACCTCCAGCTCAGAAATATTGCTTTTGCTGAGACCTTTTTTTAAAAAAAATTTTGGACAGTATTGTTTTCCGTACATTTTTGCCTTTGACAAAAATCCTGCCAGAAGCAGATGCTTTTACAATTGGTATATTTCGAATCAGTCCAGTCAGTAAGCAGTTTGCAACATTATTTTATTTCTCAGTTTTGTTTTAATATGCGATAAATAATAGTAGAATAGTATACAAAACTAATGAGTGGTAATTTGAGCCCAATTCATGAGGTTCCATTTCACAAGGCGAAGTCGAGTGAAATGGAACATTCCATTTGACACATTTCGCCGAGTGGAATGGAACATTCCAAATGTCCAATGTGAAACATTCATTATTTGCTCTATACAACATCTCTATACAATAATACTCTATACAATAAATCCCCATCATCTGATTGGTATCGAAAATGGTACCATGAATGTACAGCAACACAGCTGTGTTTTTATTTTGGTTATTTGATGAATTGTGTGAATAATTGGCGTTTGAATGATTTCAGGTTTGAAGCCTTGTCCCAATGGGTGTCTGATACCAATAACATCATGAAGGCCATCCAGACCACTGACAACCATGAAGACTTCAGGAAACTCTGCCTAAAGTTTGAGGTAAGCTGGATTAAAAAAAAAAAAAGACGAATGACATGCATTACTAAGTGCATTAATTTGTTAATTAGAAAAAGTGTTTGCTAAGCAAAAACAGTTCAACAGCCAAAATGAAGACCGTCTGTATCCTGTTTGTGTGGATTTTAGGTGTTTCTTCTCAACAAATTTGCTGAACTTTCTTCCAAAAAAATTTCAAAATGTACGTAGGTTGGTAGATCCTTGATACTTAACCTGTGACTCTGATTAAATGATTCTGCCGCTTAGCAGCCATTTCCATTTATAATATTTATGATTAAGGTGTATGCTGTTAATGTACAGGTAGGCATATTCTTACAAGAATCTTAGCTTACATTGGGAGCAAAAGCGGTGCTAATTTATGAGTTGGCCAGAAATTTTTCAGATGTGCTTGTTGGGTTAGTACGATATTTCAGTCCTAGCGCTGCCAAGCACAAAATTGGTAATTGGTAAAGTTCTGGGCCCAATTTCATAACGCTGCTTAACAGTAGGCAGAAAAGTTGTGCTTACTATAGCAGAAAATCATGCTGCTGCTTAAGCACTATTTCATGCTAACGGTTGTGCGTGCATGGAGATTTATATTGTTACGTCACTGATTTAAGCAAAGTTTTCTTCTGGGGTTAAGCGTGCTTTTGCTGTGCTTACTGCTTAACGGTCCCTACGAAATAGATGGAGGCTCAGTAAGCACAAAGTCGGCTGTTAAGCAGCGCTATGAAAATCGTCCCTGTACTTAGCAGAGCCATGAAATTGGGCCGAGAATTTTTCCCCTCACTACATGCAACCTCTTTCTCTCCTACATACAGTTTCTGTCTGAAATGGCCGAAGAGACACACGAGGAGCTAGCCTGGCTGAACACCACCCTCAAGGCTCTCTCCACGGACTGCCCGACACAGCAGAAGCTATCAGCAGAGCGCCAGTTAGCCGGTCTCCTACGCTCCCACAAGGCCACGCTGGACTCTGCCCGCCAGTTCCCCGTGGAGATTGTCGCCCTGACGATGATGTTCACCTACGTCGAGAGGACGGAGAAGCTGATTGGCTGGCTGAGGGAGGTCCGGGAGCAGATGAAGGAGCCTGTCGATTGGACGAGTCTGGAGTCCTTGCAGAAGCAAATGGAGCAGCATATGGTTAGTTTTGTGCACCAGTCTGGTTGTTAGGTCGTGTCCGAATAACTTGGTTACGGCTGGTAATTACACACAAGCATGTGGCAGTGGCTGCAGCCATTTTCCATAGACCCTCGTGTTATTTCCAGTCGTCGCCAATTAATTCAGACACAGCCTAAGTTTGAGTCGTATAATTTTTAACATGGATTAGGATTTTGTTCATAGGTCACGCCTGAATTACTTGGCTATGGCTTACAATTACACATTCGCCTATGGAAGCAGCTGCAGTCACTTCCCATAGACGCATGTGTTGTCGCGTAGCCTTATTTTATAGGTTTCAGTATTGAAAGCAAATATGTGGAATTAATAATACAGAGCATTACATTGAATTAGTTGCATGGCCTGTCACTTAAATGAAGATTTTACAGCCATCTTTAATTATTTGGAAACTAGAGCTAGACACGGTAGTAGAGTGATTGTTTTTGTATGGGATATGAAAGATTTTTGTTCCTTTTTGGCCACACTGGCATTTCCTTGATTTCATTGAAAAAGTGACTATTTTGCTCATTCCAAACCTATGACCCGTTGACAATTGGTGTTAAACTTAAATTCAAAGTAAAAAACAGGTAACCACAGGAGGTTTTCGTTTATGAGGGGGAGAGGGATTTGAAACCATTTTAATGCCAAAATCAAATGAACATGAGCAAACAATTTTGATCAAAGCTGATCATGACATCTCTATTAAATCAGAGATTTAAAATCTGTTAATACTTGTGTGTTACTTAAAAAGTATTTCTCGGGTCCTGATTGTAAGATCACCATGTAACTCAGGTTTTGTTTTCGTCACAATAGGCTAAGAATGTTGAGGTGCAGCAAAGAGAACCTGACATCAAAGAGTTGACACACAGCGGCAGGGACCTGCAGCAGCAGCAGCAACAGCAGACACCAATGGCAGACAGAGTGGGTCATGAAGCCACTGAGCTGGACAGATTATGGAAGGATGTCAAGACTAAAACAGCACACAGAGCTGAACAATTGAAGGTAAAAGAAACACCTGTCACAAGCCAATATGACCCATCAGGTTGGTGTTTATCTCCAGTTTCTTGTCACGAAATGACTGAGAACTTTATATTGCTGTTCCCCCTGGATGGGATGCCAGTCCATCACAGGTTACTCCCCAGCTAATGCCGGTACCCATTTAGGCTCGTGAGTGGAGAGAGGCAAGTGGGGGTGAAGTGGCTTGCCCAAGGACACAACAGCTGGATTCAAACCCCTGGCACTCTGATCATAAGTCACGAACCCTAATGCCTAGGCCACACTCTCCCATAGTTGAAGGGAAATATCAGCTTAATAACACTGGTTTTGTAACAAACAAATAGAAATGACGTAAGTGAGATTCATACATGCAACCTTCGGAATACCAATACTCCACCAAATACCAAAGTCTTGTTTATAAAATCTCTCTGACACTCATTTCAGACTGGCTCTCGGAGCCGCACTGAACTAAATTATTCCAAATATTTGAATTAAATTCAGCATTTGAAACAGTAATTAGTGAGTACAAGTGGAAGTCATTTTAAAATTGAATGTTGCAGTCATTTGAATATGATACTTGGTGCATAAAGTTTGCCCATCTGAAACCAAAAAACTAATTTGGTCGACCTGAGTCACTTCAAATACCTTTGGGTTCAGTTAAAATAATTTGATATTTATACTGATTTGATAGCATGCATATCGACATAACAAGTTTACTTTTGCTTTGTGTGGATCTGCTGTTGATAAATTGTCTAATGTTTTCACAGGAGTGTCTGAAACAGCGACAAATCTACGAGGATGACAAGAAGAAGTTAGAGTCTTTCCTCAGAAAAGCTGACACTGAAGTCCATGAGCCTGCTCCGCTTGCTGGTCTGGGGCCAGTTCAAGAGAAGCTTAATGCTGTCAAGGTACAGAACTGTTTTCACTTCAGTGATTATTGTCTTTTGACTACACTTTTTGGCTTAGGAATTGTGCCATGAACAAAGATGTTGACAAATTGGGAGATCCCAACATAAGACTAAAAAGTTTAGTCGGTTGAGCACTGGTACGATGTTGTGGCCTTACAGTTTTATATTTAAAGGTGAACCAAGTCGGTTTGCATTTGTGGTTTGTCTGTCTTTGATGAATGTTGTCATCATAATCTAGGAACTTGCTGCTTGAAAGAGTGCAAGAAAGAAACAATATTTTGTGGTTTAGGATGAAGACATCTTTGAGCCGTCTATCATCGCCAGCTGGTAGTTTTCTCTTTTTAGAGAAAAATATATGACTTGTGGGACTAGAACCTAATCTCTGAACTCTGTACCAGTAACGATTTCAGCTCTTTGTCATTGCTTTATATTTTGGGCTTTACTGAGAACAAAGACATAACTTGGTTTGATAAATCTTATCTTAGAATGATCAAAAATATGAGAGCAATAATGTTTTCTTATAAATTTCTTGTTTTTTTTGTTGTTGACATTCAAGGCTCTACAAGATGAACAGACCAGGCTCAAACCACTCCTGATGTCCCTGAGAAACCAAAACCTCCAAATGGAGAAAACAGCGACCGATGAAGCCATCAAGCAGGCCCTCCAAGACAACCTCCGGGGCATGGAGTCCAGGACTGCCACACTCCGGGAGGAGGTTGCCAAGACACTGGAGACACTGAGAGGTCTAGAGGAACGATGGAAGGAGCTGGAGGCTGATCAAGCTAGGATGGTGGGGTGGCTGGAAGCAACCGCATCCAAGTTGGATGAGATTGAGACGGCAACAGAAGTGCCTGAAGAGACACTCAGGCAGGCTGAGGTAAGATAGATCAGAGAGGTAGCGTTGTAGTCGAGGTACTTGTGATGAATCACAAGTCATCACAAGACAAACACAAGTCATCACAAGTCATCACAAGTCCATCACAAGTCATCACAAGTCCATCACAAGGCATGACAAGTCCATAACAAGTCCATCACAAGTCGTCACAAGCCCATCGCAAGTCCATCACAAGTCCATAACAAGCCCATTGCAAGTCCATAACAAGTCCATCACAAGTCATTCACAAGCCCATCACAAGTCCATCACATGTCCATCACAAGTCCATTACAAGGCCATCACAAATACTTCAGTTCCAAGTCAACTCAAAACTGTTCAACTGAACTGTGACAAAAGCACTTGCTTATTATTGTTCATACCCTATTACATGCAAGCGGACTTGTGAATTGACGTAAGATTTACCAGACTTGTGATTTTATTGTGACCCAGTCACTACCTTGACTATGGGGCCACTTCAGGGAGAAACAAGTCTGTACAGGGTGTGTGAAGAAAATGTTAGTCAAAAGGAGTGGTTGTGTGTTAGAATTGCAGAATCTGAAAAAAAATCTGAATATGGCCTGATCTTAAAAATGATTCAGTGTTATGTGTGAAGAAAAAGTCTGAATTGTTAAGGGGAAAAAAAATAAAGTCAGGAGTGACAAAGGCTAAAGCCGATGCACTAAACCCTTTATTGTTACATGTATCATTGCAGAAATGCAATATGTAATGGGATGGCTTGTTTAAATTCTGAACTTGAAAAAAAAAACATCATTGCGGCTGCATCGTTACAGGTGTTGGTTTTTAAGCTTGAAGGAAAACTCTGGTTCTGGAGGGAAACAATGCAATCCAGAAGGGACCGACGAATCTTATTCACAAAATTCTTTATTTCGCAGGTGTTATTTGCCGAGATCTTTGGCAAGCAGAGTGACTTGAGCCTCCAAGAGAAGACCCTAGAAGCTCTGACCAAGGACCTGCCAATCCTGGAGACCCAAGCCCTGATGGCCCAGCACCTCAGTCTCCACAACCAGTGGGAGACGCTGTGCTCCCGAGCAAAGCTGCAGAGCGCCAAGCTCTCCGAGGGAGCATCCCAGTGGCAGCTTTATCAACAGCGGTTGCAGCAGCTCAAGCCCTGGCTGGACAAAACGGAAGAGCAGCTGGAGGGGAAGGCTACTGGAAAGGAATGCGGGTCACTGCAGGATGTTGAGAGGCTGATCGCTGACCAGAAAGTAAGTGGGATTTGAGAAAAAAAACTTGATTACATTTTACAGAAATATTTGACAAATCAGTGTTAATGAATCCTGACTTTTTGATAGAATTATACACGAGTGCAGAGATTTGAGTTTAATATTCGGCTTCACCAATCATTGACATGATTTTTACATGAGTGTGAGATGGTAAGAAAATTCACAGCTTCTTGGATGGGATTCAAACCCACAGAATTCAGATTAAAAATAGCCTGGTGGCCTCAGCAAGCTTTGTGTTTGAAGAATAATACTTCTGCTCTAGTAAGCAGGAGGTTGTGGGTTGAAGTCCCACCCAAGCAAGCTTATGAACTTTTTCTCACAAACCCTCTGACAGAACTAAAAATACAGCGCTTATAAAAAGGTTTGTCGGTAAAGGGCAATAACAAATTAAACAGAAATATTGCTTGTTTATTTTTTTTTATTTCAGAAGAATGATCATTATGTTTGAGTAAAAGTTCTCAAAATTGTTTTCATGTGCTGCCACCAAAATTGATATTTTGAAATTACAGACATAAACAAAAGCTCTGTAAACCCAAAACCCTCAGGAGATTGTTTATTATTAGCTTTAGGTGGATAGCTTTAATTCAGTAAACTTCTTGTCATTTTCTATCTCTGACGTCACTGTCAATCATTTGATTTGTGTTTCCAGGTAATCTCTAAAGAACTGGAGGAGCACCAACCAATACTATCAAGCATTCAAGAACTGTCCAGCCAGCTGGTGCCCCGCCAGTCTGTCCAATCAGAGGTCGGCGATCTGAGTGACCGCTTCCGTCACATCGAGCAGAAGACGGACGATCTGAGACGCGAACTGACCGAGACGGAAGTACTGTGGAAGGAGTATGAGGAGGTGAAGGGCAGATTGGGTCAGGCTTTGGAGACCTTAGAAGAAGGGCAGGCGACGCACTGTAAGGAGTACACTGGCAACACAGGAAAACTGGAGAAACAACTTGATGATCTCAAGGTAGGGGAATAATTCTGGGGGCAATTTAAATGGAACTTCAGAGCACACTAATTTGTTGACGTGGAATAGTTTTGCTTAGTCAAAATTGGTTGTGACTCAGTTTTCGTTTCAAATTATATTTCTAATGACATGATGAAAAGCATCCTTGTGAAAATATGGGGTACTGTGGCCTTGCTGTCTTGTTTTTAAAATGCAGATGTGTAGGTGATTGTGCTGATATTGTGGTTAGGTTTCAGTCTTTTGGATTGCTTTGTGTATGTCCTTGGGCAAGACACTTTGTCATTATTTCCGATTTTCAAATCGGATTTATATGGGTACCTATGTCCTTGTGTGTCCAATCGGCTGTTTTCATCAAAATGGCAGCATTAACCAGTTCGCGCCGGGATTATTTTAACATGACTGGACCCAGGCGTGGAATTGTTTTCACAAACGGGTTCTGGCTGTCATCAGCGGGTAGTACACCCTGATATTTCCAGCCTTGCTCGCTGCAAGTGGGTCGCTGACAGATATTTCTGGCCTCTTTACGTGTTTATCCGTCATCCATTCCGAATACCGCAAAACCTTTGCATGTGTACACATCATCCGACTTGAACTCGTTAAGCTGTAAAGGCAGGGAGCTGAGATGGACTAAGGAATATTTTCATTGTCTGATTAGCAGGAGTAATAAAATCTGTTATTATATTATTAAATAAAACCATTTACATCAAAATAATGAACCCCATATGACCAAGCACTATGTAACCTCTTCAAACAGGAACTCCTTTCGGATCAACAGTCCGCACAGCCAGACATCGACAGATTCCACGCCCTCAACCAAGCCCTCCGGCAGCATCCCCGCACCAACCCCCACGGACTTGCCAAGCTTCAAGACAACCTCCACACCACAGACACAAGACTCTCATCCGTCTCCTCAGCTCTCCAGGAGGGAGTGGAGACGGTCGAAACTACCCTCGAGGAACGGCAGGAGTTCGTCCAGGAGGTAGAGAGACTGACTGCCGATCTTCAGGAGGATGAGCGATGTTTCTCCGAGTGGATTGAGGTGTATGATGACAAAGTGGAAGAGGAAATAAAAAAGGCACAGGTAATGTTACCCTGGTCGTTAAATTTTAACACCTGTTTCAGACTGGTGCCATACAGGGGTGCTGTGGTCCAATGGTTACGGTGTTAGACTAATGTGCCGTGGTACATGGTTTTGAACCCTGGCAGGGAACATGGTGCTTGTGCTCTACGATTGTCTCTCTTCACCCAGGAGTATAAATGTGTACCTGTGAAGGTAGAGACCAAATTGCACTGATTTCGAGCTGCTGCAACAAAAATGGTCTCATTCCTGATGAACAGGGATAATAATTGTGATGTGCATTTGATCATATTCATATACAATTTGCGCAATGTAAATGTATAAGTTATTGTTATAATTACAGTTGAGCCTTTTTTTTTCCAATCACAAATAATGTATTAGCAACATACATGTGTGTATATTTTTTGTTTATACCTCAAATTTCAGGCAAAAATGTCTGAGTCAAATTACATTCCTGTGAAACAGGTGTTACTTTTCGTCCACAATAATGGCATTTACAGATTGCACCTTGTTTTGGGAAAAAGAAAAAATTGTGAAAGTGTTTTTGCTCATTTAATCCTCCTTTGTTGCTGAGTGCCATGATCTAGATGGAAAGGGGCTGTTATATATCCTGTTACTTTTATAATTTTTATGACTAAACGATCTGATTTTTTCTTCACAGGCCAACCTAGCAAGAATCAGTGGTCAGGGTGATAGAGTGGGCAACTTGACTGGCATGGTCCAGGCCATCTGCAGCAAGTGCGATGCCACACAGGAGCTCGCCATCTCCCGCAAGGTGACCGGTGTCTCCATGCTCCAAGACGGCGTCCAGGAAACGGCAGCGCTTCGAATCACAGTCTTGAACTTCTTCCTCGAGTTCTGTGAGACTCGGCAGGTGATTGTCGACACTCTGAAGGAAGTTGAGGAAGAATTGAGTCAAGAAAGCGTGACTGAAGGCAAAGTTGAGAAGCTACTGGAGAGGCTGGAAGCGGTGAAGCCCATCCTGGCTGAATGGCGCGACAGGAGCCAGGAGCTCGATAACCGAGCCCAGAGAGCCAAGGTGATACCCAAGATGCGTGGCATCGTCAAGGGAGAACCTTCCTCACCTGTTGAGACGGAGATGACAAGACTGAGGAGCAAACATGACGAGCTGACGACGCAGCTCTCTTCGCTTAGGGATGAGCTCTCAGAGAGAGCCAGATTGATGGGAGAGTTTTGGGAGAAGCAGAGAGGTCTGTCCGAATGGCTGGACAGCGTTGATGCGGACCTGGATGAGAAGAAGGCTTCAAGACAAATCCTTAGTGAAGAGAACCTGCGGGATTTCCTGAAAGACTATCAGGTACCTAATTTTTTGTTGTAGTAAATATGTCATTGGATTGCTGATCTTTGATTGACGCATTGTCTCTTTTACAAACTTCAAGAAGAAGTATCTCATATCCTGAGCTACCTGTCCAACATTTTTTGTAATCTTGGACCATTACAAAGAAAAGGACTTATTTTTACACATAAAAGCAGGTGGTGAATTTGCTGTCATGATCAACTGAGTAGTGTTCTGACCAACCAACAACTTCCTTCAATCCTGTTTTGTCTTTTCCCAAACCATTCTTTTCAGATGTTTCTGTTGCCTTAGCTTACGCCACAAATCCTAGTCAATGCATTAAAGAGGGATGTACATGTACAAGCATCTACCAACTTTGTGTAGAGTATATGATACTGATACGATCAATTGACCTATAAACCTTCCCCTTCCATATCCTTCAAACTGCCTGTTGGAAGATATTGGAAGGATATTTGCAGCATTTAGGAAGGTACATGCCAGCAACTATTACCGTACATAGGGCTTGATGCCTCTTGGAAGTGTCAAACTATAATGTGCCAATAGTTTCCTGTACTGTGGAGGATTTGGGTGGATACCTGAAGGTTGTGGCTTAGTTTTAGGTTAAATAATAAAATGATACATTCTTACCTTCCACACAACCCACAGGCATGCCAATCACAGCTAAACAAGAACCAGCCAAGCATCGCAGATCTCAACATTCTCGGGAAGCACATCCAGGAATCGAACCCGGCCCAGCGGGATGCAATTCAAGCCGCCCTCGATGCCGTCAATGACCACTCCAGTGAAATCCAGGAGAGGGTCGACGGAACAGCGAAGAAGCTTGAAACAGCTCTCAGTCTGTGGCAGGAGCTCGACCGGTGCAAAAGGCCCATTTTGGAATCCATTGTGAAGGTTTCCATGGTAACTGAGCAGCCAATCAAATGCAGCAGCAGAGAGGAGGCAGAGGAATTGCTCCAACAACACCAGGTAACAGGATTGGTGGTTTATGTGCAGCAATGGTATTTCTACGCAATTAAAATCGCACATGATTTTTTTAACATACTCTTGTAAGGCCCCCAAAAAAGTCTCCGGTCTCTGGTATGCAAGCGTGTCGCCGTAGCCATGCGTGTCGGCAATATGAAAACATTTTTTTTTTTTTAATGTAAGATGGTGTCTCCAAACTGCCAAACTTACTGGTTTGACTGGAATCCTGCTGATGTACAATTTTAATGTGCTTTTAGATGGGGTTACGAACGAGTATAAGCTTTATGTGGGCTCTCTGAGCTCCCATATATTTTGCACTAAATTTAGTCAGGCACCATTTGCAGTCATTAGCCGACATTTGAAGAAAAGAAGTAAAAAAATTTTTTTTTAAAAAGCCGCGTCGCCACACCACTTTTGGGGCAAGCTCCATACCAGAAACCGGAGACTTTTTTTGTTTGGCCTAATAAGATGTATATATTGTATTTTTGTCAATAGATTCCCATTGTGTGTAACACTATGACACTGAAATGTGTTCAATATTGTAGATGCTTTGTAAGAGATATTTGTTGTAATACATCATTTAGGTTACATTCTTTGTAACCTAGTGTTTGGTGCAGATATGTCTGTAGATCACACAGTCAGACATGTTATCTTTGATTTGCTGATACAAATTGAAAGTAGAGCTACATGTAATATTTCCTTAACTACTCTTATAGAATAACTATATTTCTTCAAAGCCTAAACTAAACTGAAACAAAGAAAGTTACATAAGAGTACAATTTTTGTACTCTGTCTAATAATATCAGATTCTCATATAACCAGATTTTGTGATTTTGCTCTGAATTTTCGGGAAGCATGTCAAGGGGATCAGGTTGGCGTAGCGGTGTGATCCGGGTTCAAATCCCGCCTGGACCAGTATGTGGATTGGGTTTTCAGTCCCTGCCTGATTCTGTGGGTTTTCCCAAGAATGTCATTTTGGGTTTTCCTCCCACCACTAAAACTGCAATGTCCTTCCACAACTACCAAGGGACCCCACTGGAAATAAGCTGAGAGACTTGGTTATCCAAGCCAATTGCCGAATAATTACAAACAAACGAACATGATAAAAACACAAATATTCTTTACACCTATCTTTTACTGCTGGTTTTCTTTCAAATAACCCATTATTTAGATTGCAAGTGAGGAGCTATCACCTCTCCAAGACCAAGCTCAACATCTGCAATCCATCACCAAGGACCTGACATCCCTCCTCAACACACTCCCAACGAGCTCAACCTCCGACCTGCCACCCTCCGTCCAAGACGCAACCACCACCATCCCATCATCTCTAGCAACCTCGGCCGCAGTTGTCCAGGAGAGGATGGCCAACCTAAGGAGGCAGCTGGAGCTGTGGGAGGCGGTGCGGCTCCAGGAGGATGCCCTGGCATCTTGGCTCGGCGCTGAGGTGTCAGAGCTGGAGCAGGTGCCGGCCAGGATGGAAGACGAGGGGAGAACCAAGGCCAGGCTGGACCAATTCAAGGTTTGTTTCTTTGAGAATCCTCAGCCCAAGTCAGAGGAGGCATTTTCACAGACAACCTGGAGGCAAGCAAACGCATTTTTCCCAAAACATTATATTGAAATTCTTCAGAAAACTACCTTGAATAAAACTTTTTCTTGGAATTTGCCTAGAACAAGTTGCGGTTCAATTGCCTCGTGACATGTCCCTTAGCCTCACAAATCATTGTAAATAATTTTGTTTTTACTAGAATGAGTCTTCGTTTTACAAGTTCAACCTTACTTTTGTTCCAGTAAAGAGAGGTACTTTCTCATGGATAGGAAAGCAGTTCATTGCATGATACTCTCAAGCTGATGGACCCATGAATTTACATTCCTGGGTAGAGTCAGTCAGACAATTGGGGTGAAGTACCTTGCCCAATGACACAACTTATGGCTAGCAGCTGGATTTGAACCCCTGACCCCTACCCACTATTTCCCCCAATATATTGTATGCAATATTTAAAATGACTGCGAGAGACTGCTGATTATTCTTTATGATCATTATTCTTAGAATTGTTTAGAGAAAACTTAGTAACACTTTTCCAATACATTTATTGCTGTCTCCACAGACTGATGTGTCTAGCCGTGAAGCAGAGCTGACCCTTCTAGCAACCACTGTGCAGGAGTTGAGGTCCATGAACCCAGGTGCAGCCATACCGGTGGCTGAGGAGGCAGTCCAGAGAGTGGAGGCTAACATCACCCAGGCTAAGCAGGTAAGCAGAAAATAATTGTCTCATTCAAATGTCATGTAGATTTAATTGTTTAGCAAAGAAAAAAGGTTTGCTTAGGATTATTAGGATCCCACTTCTGCTCAGCACAGAAATTTGCTAAGCATCAAAACTATTTGCTTAGCAGAAACAGGTTACCGGCCAGAATGTCATGCAATTACCTTCCTGATGACTGGTCCTAATTTGATTTTTGCTTAACACAAAAAATATGCCAAGCTAAACAGGCTAGCAGGAATTATAAATTTTGTGCTAATAAATGGAAGCTAGCTGTGTGGTATATGACGTTTTAACACCCAAGGGGCGTGCGGAGGGTGCTATGCACGTGGCGCACCAAATAAGTCAAAAGTCACAAAGATAAATAAATCAAAATAAATAAGTCAAAAAGATAAATGGTTGTTACTTACTGTGTGAGATATAAATTAAATCTCTGCGAAGTAACCTTCGATAATTGAAGGCTTTGGTGTCCTGCCGGTCATGCGTGAGACTGGCGAAGCTGGCGCGCGGGCAGGTTCTACACGCACGCAAGGTGCGTAATGAAAGCAGTGTGATATCACCCTCAGTGTGTGCCATGCATTTTTATAAACCAGACACTGGCTGTTCGTGACCAATGAAATTACAGTATCCAAGCACACGATATAACAATCTAATTTGTTCAACACAGAAAAAGTTTGCTTAGTAACAAAACAGTTATCATCCAGGCTAAATGAATAAACAGGAAGTTATGATCAAGGGATAGTCTCATGGGGCTTCTAAGTTCTCAAAGAGGGTAGCCCAAAAAATGTTTGTTGCTGAGGGTCAACGGGTTATCATATGGGCTAAAGAGGTTAGCTGGGATTTATGATCTAAGGGCGCAGAATAGACTTAGCATAGAAAAGATTCGCTTACTGAGAATAGGTTTACCAGCTTTGTAGGTTTATGTTGCTTGTGAAGTGGTTCCTAACTGATTTCCCTTAGTAAGAAAATTTACTAAGCAGCTACATAAAATACGGCCCTGACCAACTCCACATCAGGAACTGAAAGATTACTTCTGATTTAAAAAAAAAAGTTAGTCTGTCACGAGCCAATATGGCCCATAAGGCCGGCGGTTATCTCTGGTTTCCGTGGCATTAGAATATTTCTATTCCCCCTGGATGGGATGCCAGTCCAGGTTACTCCCCAGCTAATGCCGGTACCCATTTATACTCCTGGGTGGAGAACTGGCTTGCCCAAGGACACAATACATGGCCAGTATTTGGATTTGAACCCCTGACCCTCTGATCATGTGTCACGAACCCTAACCACCTGGCCATACCCCTTACCATTTTGCATCTGTTTATTTCAGCTGGCTTTGAATGCCGAGAGCAGCTTGGGAGAGTTCACCAGTCAGAGAGACAACCTGAGAGCAAGACTGCAAGACCTGATGTCTCGACTCCTAGAGCTGGATGATCGGTTGACTCGTTGCTCAGACCTGGGTCTTCAAGAAGATGGAATCACTGAGGAGATCATTGAGTGCCAGGTAAGGAGCTACTTAACATATTTAAAGATAATTGAGAGGTTTTTAAAAAAAATGTATGGGTATCGCCTAAACACAAGGCCAAGTTCACTCAAAGGTGTGGACTAGAAAGAAAGAGAAAGAAAAAAAGAAGCCATAGTAATACAAGTTGTCTATACGCATTTTGCATGAATCCTGTCGGATTGAATTTAACAGGGAAGCATGACTCCGGTTGAGAGTTCCAAAGAGGGGCAGTACGAAGGAAAAAATTAGAGGAATATTTTCCAGTACTAGCCTAAGGAACTATGACAGTTAAAGGATGTGAAGCTTTAGCGAAGCACATGGATTGCTTGAAAGTACGGTCAGTGAAACAAGTGAAAAGAGGCCGCTGGAACACATCCCAAAATTGTTGAAGAGAAGCTAAAGATCGTCGGGGAAGATGCCAGGTCCTGACCTGCCAGATGCGTCTAAAGCTTGGTTCAAATTACGTGGCTGTGGCTTGCATTTACACATGCACCTATGGAAGCAAATGAAGCCACTTCGATGTGTTACTGCTAGCCATAGCCAAGTGATTTGGACATGGCTTAATTCATCATATGTCAGTTCCCTCTTTGAAAATGGTGCTAACTCTTTAGCAAAAGTAGCAGTTTGCAAGAAAAAATGGGCTGCCCTAAAGATTTTTCTAAGACAAAGGTCTGCTAAGTTTACTTGTGCTTGGAAACTTCTTTTGTAATTAAGCAAAGTTGTTCTCTCAAGTCAGGACACTCTTTGCTGTTCTTGTTGCTCATGGTCCCCCATAAAATGGATGAGGGTTGCACTGACAGAAAATGCAGTCCTATGAAATTGTTTGTTTTTGTTTTTGAAATTTATGTGAAGTAAACATTTTGTTCTAGGCTGTTGCAAGTGACCTGAGCAACCTAAGACCTGCTCTCGACACCCTGGTGAATGACCTGCAGACACTCCTGCAGAAGTTCCCCAAGTCCAACGCCAGCCAGCTGCAGGCAGACCTGGACGGACTGGGCAAGAAGTTTACCGACATCGAACTCCGAGATCATCAAGTAAGCTCGCAATAAGCCTGTTCGGTACTTCAACTGCGCATGTGCACAATGATTTGGGTCACAGGCTAATTGGGATAATCAAACGTTTTGAAGGCACAAGAATGCAGGCGCACGACGCTTGCGTGTAAATTACCAGCAGAATGGGCATGCGCGTAACATCGCGTAACATCACGTCAGCGATGTTATCCTGAATGACCCCTGGCTTATTTACAGAGTTTGAGAATGATCATTTTATAATATAAAGAAGTTGTTTGTATCTTTAACCCTTAAGCGACTACACTTTCCTCATAATACGACCTGTCAGGATCGAGGACTCAAGTTTGGTGATTATAATCACTATAACCAGCATAGCACTTTACAGTTCATTTTGTTTATAGAACTAAGAGTCCACTCACGCGTATATTTGAACTTTGTTCTGCAACAGATCCATAAGAGCCTTACAGACGCCCTGCTGTGTCGCTGCCAAGACTTACTCAAAGAGGTTGAGGCAGAGATGGAGTATGACGTAGATGAGCTGAGTAACTCTGCCAGCACTCAGGGTGAACCCCAGACACTGGAGAGGAGACTCAATGATGTCAAGGTGGGTCTGGGATGACTTTGACGATGTCTCATTGTTGTATTCTATACTCAATGAAAACAAGTCTTGAAACACTCACGGTTCAATAGCAGGTAGAATATTGTGTGGTGTGGTTCTTACTTTGACTCACATTTTTATGAAATCTCTCATCAAAAATGAAAATGGTTTATTGTTATAGGAGTCTTTATGCAATGCCTGATTAAATCCCTGTCATCTGATTGGTGGGTCATTGATCATGTGTCATTGAATTATTCATTCCAACCCATGGCCCAACTGCACCACAAAAAAAGTTCATTCCTCAGTAAATAGGAGATCCATTGCACGGTCACACTGTTACCAATCAGATGACGAGGATTGATCCTGGAATTGTATTAAACAAGTAATGAATGTGTCACATTTGTGCAATGGTAAAAATAATTTTATTCGGTGACAAATGGAATGTTGCATTTTTCACCTTGTGGAATAGAACATTCCATCTGTTACCTCATGAAACTATTCTTACCATTGCACTCATAAATAGTAATTATTTGTAAACTGTCATTTATTTTGAATTGAATTTAATTGGGAGTAAAAAAAAAAGGCATGATGATAGACCTCTAAAATGTTTGTCTGCCAACATGTATCTAAGCATTTTCGCTGCCCTTTGTTATAGGGGGATACAGGAAAAAAGAAAGGTGAAAATTTACAATTTCACAGCAGTTCTTCCAACATTTGTGATTTATCTGTTCATCTGTTCATGGTTATCTGCTCATGGTTATTCCATAGTTTGCAGCAGCCTATCTTTTAAAACAATCATCAAATCTTTGTTTATAGGACAAATGTCAAAATAATTAATGTCTAATTTCAGGACCTGAAAAGCAATTCGCTGCCCCAGCACTCATCTCAGCTCGCAGTGATCAACGCCAAACTGGAGAAAGTCCTCCCTCTACTCTCCGACTCCCAGCGAGCCCTGATCACCCAGGAGGCCCAGGGGAGACAGAACCAGCTCACCAAGCTCCATCAGGATGCGGACGAGGCAGAGAAAGCCCTTGAGTCCTGCCTGCTTGACTGGCGAGACTTTGAGGAGACTGCTCAGGAGATGGCGACGGAGCTCGGGGAGGTGGACAGGCTGGTGGAGGCTGAGTTGGTGCCTTGCTCAAGCGTGGAGGAGAGAAGAGCCCAACTGAAGAACTTACAGGTATTTTGAAACGAATCGCAGTCTGTCATTTAAGTATTCAGGTTATTCCTGGTTAGGTAACAAACTTTACACCTGGGATATAATCGGCAGTGTGGATGCGTCTTCAAGGTTTTTGACTCTGTCCTTGATCAGGTACTCCCTGTACAGTGGCATAGAGAGTACGGAGAGAGTCTTGAATCCCATTGCTACTGTACACTCAGTGACACTATGTGGGTGTGCATATGCAGATAGAGTTATCATCGGGTCAGTCACAAGTCACCTCAAGCCAATCGAAAATCACCTAGTCTTAATTCAAATTACAAACTATTCATATGAGCTGTGATAAAGTCATACCTTTGTCATTGTTAATTCCTCTTAAGACCTGCCCAGCGAACTGACTTGTGATTGACTTGATTGCAACTCTGCATGCAGATGAATTTAATGTCATACACACTTCATGCTATATGGGCACAAACCAACAGTGCTCTCCTGAGAGCCTTCAAGGCACTGCCACTATTAATGCACGAAGTCTGTGCCCAGGCTATCTAGGATATCCGGTTATATTTTTAGAACTTATACCTCAGTAATGACAGTTGAAAGTAAGTCTCCAGGGAGAGATTTTGGAAAAATAGAATCATTGACTAACCAATTTTAATCCTTACTGTGCATAATGCTGTTACCTGCCTGAGTGCTTTGAAAGGGGCCTACATCTCAAACCATATGAATTGCACTCTTACTTTTATGTACCACCCATATTGCAGGGTCTGTGAAAGTCTAGCCTCAGTTAATTCCTCAATATTTTTAAGTAGAATTCTCTGAGCATTTGAGAATGATATAATTGTGTTTTCCCCTTCAGGCTTTAGCAGAGAGACTTGACTTTGAGAGGCCCACCCTGACCACCGTGGACCACAAAGCAGACAGGGTCCTGACCCGGTGTGGTACCAAGAAGCCAGTAGATCAAGCTGCTGAGCTACAACATGATTATGATCAGATCCAAGCAAGAGTTAAGGTAGGCTGACTACAATCACTCTATAAGTCTTCATGCATCTGATGGTATTTTCTCCAGGTCATAAGGCTTTTTAAACCTGGAAAAAAAAATTATGTTTGGTTTTCTTTGCGAACAAACCGATCTGCCCTGCAAGTAGACTGGTTCCCGGTCCCTACATTATCAATTCTGATAGGGAGTGGGAACCAGTGTCCCCTGCAAGAACTGAATTATTGTCAGGCTGACAATAATTCAAATGTGGTAAAGTAATTATTTCTTAACTAAGTATGTGCCAATTTTTTTTGAGCGATGTCTCTTCCAAATTGATTAACATTTATATTGCTAGAAAAATAGCAATTTAAGCACAAAATCTATTTTTCATTGTGAAATCCGCACAATGAGAAGGAGGAGGTTGACATATTCAAGATGTTTGTACACATTTTGGGATGTCCAGGAGGCAATGGCCCAATGTGAGCAAGGGATCCTGCAGCATGAGGGATTCCTCAAGACTACAAATGAAGCTCAGACATTTTTACAGCAAGCTGAGGACACCTTAGTGACCTGTGCTGACCCCTCAGGTGATCGGAACATGTGCGAGGACAAACTGCAGACCTCGGAGGTATTCTATTACAGAAAGATTGTGGCACGCTATACTTTTATTTTGAAATGAAAAAAGGATTAAGAACTGTAAAATATTGGAATATTGCACCATAGAATTGGAAAATATTGGAATATTGCACCAGCACTGTACAATACAAATATCAGAGCTTTAATTTTGCACACTTTTAAATTTTTGTAAAAGTCTGTTGTCAGGAGTTATTTGAACTGTTTTGTGGGAGTATGTTACACTTACAAGTGTGATAAAAAGTTCACAATCAGTTTGTACATATCAAATGGAAATTGTTTGCAAATATCGGTAAATTCTCACTGCTTGGTCACTTGGCCTGAAATTGAGAGGCAACTTTTGAAGCTGGATCGAAGGTGTCACTTGGAGAAATTACAACCACAAAAGTTGAGGAAGTTAATTTTATTTTTCAATGAAATAATGGAGTACAAGTAGCATCGACCAAAACTCATTCAAAGAAAAACTGTTCCGATTTTTGTAACATAAGCAGTACTTAATCTTTCTTTTGTGATTTTTATGTTGACAGAGCTTGCTAACCAAACAGGACCAGATCCAATCCCATCTCGACAGCGCCATCCAAGCCCAGGACCAACTGGCCCCCCAGACCACTCCAGATGGTCAATCCTCCATGATCTCTCGCATCCAGCTCCTCCAGGGCCAGTGGAATCAGGTCGTGGCCGGCCTGAACCAGTGCAAGGCGCTCCTGGAGGAAAGGATGCGGAGATGGAAGGAGTACAAGGAGGATTTGGAGGATCTGGACCAACGGTTGCAGAAGTGGGATGAGTCTGTCGGCAGGGCTTCTGAGTTAAGGGAGGATCTGCCTGAGAAGGCTTCCCATCTGGAAGAAGTCAAGGTCAGTGAATGCTTTTTTTATTCAGGACAAGCTTACTTATATTCTTTGGCTTCAAAATGTGATCCCACAAAGTGAGTCTTAAGCACTTGTTTTTTGTTGTTGGTATTTCCAGTGTTGTCAATCTTACAGCTGTACATTATTGTAAATTGTATCTGGAAAAAACTGTTTATAAACAATTTAGAAAATCAATTGCTTCTCTTTTACAAGAGTTGTAGCATGTCTATGTTAAACACTCATTTGCTCAAGTTCTTTCTTATCACCAGTTGTTGCAAGCAGAGATTAGGAACCAATCTGAGAGAATCCAAAACTTCCAGGAAAAGGCCGATTCTCTGGCTGCCAACAATTTGGTGGATGTAACGCAGCAGGTGGAATCACAGGCAGAGAATGTACAGCAACAGTACCAGGATCTCCTGGACAGAATCAATGTAAGCATGATAACGTCTTAATCATGAAAACTGCTACCTCATGCCCATTTCAAAAATGTTCAAGAGACAGTAGGATTTCTTGAGAAAATAGGATTTCTAGAGAAATGTGAAGGGGGCATAGGTGAATAAATTAGATTATTTAGGTTTTTCTTTTTCAGTTATTTGCTATTGAAAAAGTTTCCTTGGCATGAAACAACTGAGAATATATCTATTCCCCTGGATGGGATGCCAGTCCATATCGAGTTACTCCCAACTAATGCCGGTACCCATTTATATTCCCGGGTGGAGAGAGGCAAGTGGGAGTGAAGTGGCTTGCCCAAGGGCACAACCATATGGCCAGCAGCTGGATTCCAACCTTTGACCCTATAATCACGAGTCACAAACCCTAACCATTAGGCCAACCTCCCCTACTTGCTAGTGGGCTGTGTCACATACATCCTGATGTGTACAGTCCATGCATCTGATGTGCAGTGAAAAGAATTAAGAACTAATTTGTAATGTTTTTTTTATTCACAGGACATTCAGCATCAGCAGGAGGAGTCAGTGGTTGCTCATGAGTCTTGGCAGGAGGCAGCAGACGACATGTCAGGCATCATCACAGCCGTAGAGGAAGGACTGAACCAGACAGCCAGCCTGCCAACGCAGGTGGAGGAATTACATGCCAAGAAGGCACAGGTTATGGTAAGATAAAGGAACAATATGCACTTCACGGTCGGATACTGATTGGCAATTGATGACTTAGCCCAGAACTTTTGTGTTGGAGATATATAATTTTATTTCTACGTTGGGTTTGTCCTTTTTCACCAACACAATTGTATTAGTGCTGTTTACAAAGTGCTTTCTAAGAGCTCATTGGGAAAAAAGTTTACATGCTTGCTTGGGTGGGACTTGAATCGTGAATTGTAGTACTAGCTGAATGAGCCATCAAAATGCGAGCAATATTGGTGGTCAAGCGATAAGACATCTGCACAAGTAAGCAGGAAGTTGTGTGTCTGTGTTTGACCCAACCAAGTTCACGAAATTTTCTCTCAAGCTCTTGAACAGCATCAAGTATATAGTGTCAATAAAGTTACTTTGTTGAAATTGCAAGAACAGTGTTGTAAATGATGATTGTTGTATCAATGCAACAATGCATAGGTTTATTATGGCAAAGCTTGTCTACCAACTTAAATCACTTAAAGCATACACCATGAAAATCTAGAGCAAACTTCATATTAGACTTTATTTTGGTTTTGCAGGAACTTCAAGCCAAATTGCCCAAAGGCCAGTCCAAACTCACCCAGCTAGGTGACTGCACCAGCAAAGCGCTAGCCTCCACTGCAGCCGCCGGCCAACCCAAGCTCAGCCACCATGCTGCAGAACTTAGTGAGAAGTGGAACGCCCTGCAGGCTCAAGCGGCTGAAGCAGAGTCTAGGATTGCTGAGATGCTGAGGCAGAGAGGCCACCATGATGATAAGAGAGAGGATTTTGCGAAATGGCTGAGCAAGACAGAGAAGGAGTTGGCGGAGGCCTCTCAGCTCTGTCCAGATCTTGAAGGAAAGGAGAAGATTTCGCAGAAATGCGAGGTGAGACCAAGAAAGAGTCGTCGTAAATTTGAATTTGTTCCTAATCTTGAATGAAAATCACTTCATATCAATGTATTCTGCTGGGTATTTGAATGAATTTAGAATCGTGATTCGTGTGTTCCTAGGCAAGACACTTTGCTTCAATAACTTGTCTTCAGCCAAGGGAGTCAATACTTACAGAAAAGAAACCAGTCTGGACCTGGAAAAGCTCCCTTTTTATTCTCTTTTCTTTGAAAAAATAATAAGTTTTGTCCATCAAATGTTTGCTTCTTGTCAGAAAATCTTTATCAATTTCCAAACGTATTCGAGAATTTCACTTCTTGAAGAAAGAGAATTCCTGAATTTGAATCTCCAAAATCTGGTCACTTTTCAACAACAGTTTTAGCACTACCAAATTAGAGAAGCACTTGGACTGAACAAATCACCTCCATGTGTCATTATTCTTCTCTACAGGAGCTTACTGATGACATTGCCAACCATGAACCAGCGCTAGCCGATATCTTACACAGTGCCCATCAATTTAATGATAACCTGTCAGAGCAACTAGCTGCAAGATACCACGCCCTTAAAGACGGAGCTGCAGTAAGTATAAGTGTGAGCTAGGCTCTGTGGGAACAGAGCAAGCACTATGTGACACTAATGTCATAAGGAAATGAAGTCACATCCGAATCTCGTGTGTAGAGTTAATGCCTAGGTCTTCGTACATTGCAACTACGTTGGAAAATGCTGACAATAGATGAAGCTGTAGCTCTGGAAGCATGTTTCAGACATGACCTAAGTCTCTGCACATTAGGGTCTTGTTCTGTGATTGAAGGCATGAAGGCATATAAATACTGTATTACAATGCTGTTCTCATGAGAAATTTAAAATTAGATGGGTACAAAGCATAGTGCCCAATCAGCCAGTTTGGTATTTTAGCTGCGCATGTGCACAATGATATGGGTCACGGGTCATTCAGGATGACCTCGGGTCATTGAAATACCAGACTGGCTTACTCCGTGGTAAGCATTTTTACTAGTTTCATGATTTTGAAGTGTCACAAGTTCACGTCAGGTCACAAGTAAGGCCAAAAAAAAAATAATAATCGGTCTCTGGTCAGACCGAAGTTCCGGAATTGATTCGGCGACGTGGTGGTTTTTTTGTGTGTGTGTGTTTTTTTTTTTTTTTTCAAGCTTGAATTGTACAGACAAGGTGGGTACTATTTTGCTTTTTTGTGCCCTCATTATACATTGGTGTTCTCCATAATTTGCCTTGGTGCCCTTTATCATTTGCCTTGGTGCAATTTCCCCATTCCTTGGTGCTCCTTGGTACAAAACTTTGAGGAGGTGCGGCAATAGAGGGCGCTGTTGTAGCTTCCGTGTTAATTTGAAGGGAAAAAAAAGTTGACGCGCATGGTTAAAATCGACGCGCGCGCTGACCAGAGACCGGAGTATTTTTTGGGGGGGTCTAACAGAGGATCAACAATGAGAAGGGAATACCTTCACAAAGCTCATTTCACACGAATAAATTTTGACATACTTAAGAGTAGATGGCTTGTGAATGACTTGTAAGACTTCAAACGTTTTGGTGCTTCCTAAATTTTTAAGTCGCCTGTCATTAAAAAAAAAACGTGAAAGATAATGTTTGGAAAATCTATACTTCGATATTGTTTTTACCTTTTAATAAAAAAAAGAGACAAAAATGAACAAGAAAAGCAGTTATGATAACTGTTACCAATAATAAATTACCTGTAAATTACCCTATAAACTCTCAGGATGCCAAGCAGCAAGCAGTGAAAGCAGTCGACGACCACAGATTTTACAACCAGAGTGTGGAGGATTGCAAGGCTTTGCATGCACAGACAGAGAAAACCTTGGAAGAGAATGCTGGAATACCAGAGACAAAAGAAGAACTGCAAAAGCAACTTGATAATCTCCAGGTAAGACCTACAGCTGAAAGGACACGCAGTGTATTTTCTGTCTTACATCAAACCCATTGCATTTAAATTCCTGCAGCGTGAAAAATATGGTGGCCCAAAAGGAAAACCACATTATCGATTTTTTGTATCAGGCATCACCAAAGAAATGTATTTGTTTTTGCACAAAAAGTCATATCTCAAAGTATTTACAATGAAGAAAATTCTCAAGGTTCATGATATTCAACGTTTTTGCCTGTGTTATGAAGCTGTGGGAAAGCTTTATGTTTTTGGTGATGATGTAGTGAAATTGTACTTGAGTATGATGTCACTTCAGGACCACCATAAAACATTTCTGATGAAAACAAGTTTTGAAGTAGTGCTGTTCTTTTTATGTATTTGTTTTAATTTGGTCTTGTGGGCAGATCAGAAAAAAAATTCAGAGTGATTACGTTTTCATCTCCTAACCACAGATGCTGCAGCAGAGTCGACCTGACGGCGAACAGAAAGTGGAACAATCAGTTGCCATAGCAACCAACACCTTACCTTTGACCTCTCCAGAGGGTCAAGAGGTCATCCAGCAATCCGTCGCCACTCTCCAACAGGAATCAGCCGCCTTGCAAGATCATGCCGATCGGGCCAAGGACCAATCAGAACAAGCCTTACAGAAGTGGGAAGAGCACGATGACAGATGCATGAAGCTCTCTGATTGGATGGCTGAGGCAGGGGCGATACTAGATGATCTCGGGAAACCCTGTTCTGATATGGTGGAAAGGAAGAGGAAATGGGACATTTTGCAGGTAGGAGCAAGACTATTTAGTTTATTTGTAAACAATCCTAGGTAAACAGTCTTAGTTCATTTCTCACAATCACTCGGTACATCACTGTTTATCATTCATTGTTTATAAAAGAAATTAGAACATGACTGTGAATGGCTGAATTCCAATTTTGAACTTACAATCTTAGGTAATAAGCCAGTTTGGTATTCCAAAACAGTCTGGTGCACAACAATTTAATGGGGTTTTTTTTTCGGAATAAACGCGGCAGATAAATACACACAAGGCTATGGACATGGTAACCGAATCTGCATCGTGTAATTTTTCGTGCAATCGATAAGAGATGGAAATTTTCGTTCGCACAAAAGTTTGGACACACCAGACACCTAAAAACACTCTGTTGTCCAAACAGGTTTTTTTGCAAAATGTTACTTCAGAACACGACGATCTCTTCAATTTTGCTGGTACCGCGCTTTGCTTTTGCACGCATACGATGAAATGTTTATCCTGAAAGAAAAATCGTCAAATCTTAATGTGCAAATGCACAGTTGGAATACCGAACTGGCTTATTAGTAGAAGTTATTTATTTATTACCTGGTTTCGGCTGGATTGCCCATGAGGCACTGTCGACATATTTCCCATGGGGTCCCTTGGTAGCAGATGAGGAAGGAAATCACAGTTTAAGATGCGGGAGGAAGACCCCAGAGAATATCTTTAAGAGAATATCAGATAGGGACTGGAAACTTCTTCCACATGTTTGCCTTTGTTGGATTAAATCCAGGGTCACAAGCAGTTGGCACAAAGGAAAGTAACGGAATGTTTTTCTTTTTAATGACAGTTTGCGAATAACTTCATAAAAACTATTAAGAAGTCATTATACATTTGCACAGTATACATTATGACTCTCACTTCATTGGTGAAAGTCACTGCCATTAACCAGAATGTTCTTATTAATGTTTAAAAAGCCATCGGATTTTGATTTTCAATTTTTTGAAACGTTCTTTAAGCATTCTTTCATTCATGGTCTAAGTTCGAATGTTTGATTTTGCTGCTGCAACGTAGTTTTAATCCCGTTTTTGTAATGAAGATGGTTTGTTGTTGTTATTTTTGCTATTCTCAGTCACTGAGCCAAGAGGTTGAGACACACAAAGGAGATGTGGAGATTCTGTCTCCCCTGACACAGGAGCTGCATGACGTCGGTGTGAGGAGCCCAACGATCCAGACCAACACAGAGACTGTCAACACTGAATATCAAGAACTCTGTGATAAACTAAAGGTAAAGCCATCTTTAAATGAAAAGAAATTGAACTAGTAAGATTTTTGTCAATTCCTGTACAGGGTGAGTCAAAAAGAAGTGACCGAGTAAGAAAAAAAATATTTTAAAATATTTGGCTCGCTCCATTTAATAAAAAAAAAGCATAGGAATGAAGTACATGAAATTGGAACTTTAAAACATTATTCTACGAGGGAATATATCTTGGCCTTTTTTTTTGTTTCGATTGTCGTAGGATTCCCAGGCCCAATGTTCCCAAGGCATCAGACTCAACAAAGAATTCCTGCAAGCAGTTGAGAGAGCGGAGACATTTTTACAGCAAGCTGAGGAGACCCTGGCTGCCTGTTGTGACCCCTCAGGTGACCGAAAGATGTGCCAGGACAAGTTACAGACAGCCGAGGTATTAGCCATTCAATATCATTACTTTCAGAGTCAAAAAGAAAAAAATTGTTAAAGTTCAGATAAAATTAGTAAAGGATGCCAGTTAGATAAGGTCTTTGAGTTCACGCTTATTGCCCTGATTACCGTACTCTTAGCAGCACTGTATGGGAGACACCTTGACTGCATGCAAAAGCATCACACAGACAACGTTATTGCAAACTTTAATGTGCAAACATCCTTTGTTATTGTTCTCACTGGGTGAAAATGCACTGAAATACACTAACAAATCAAAGCTATTGTTGCAAAACGAGCTGATTTGTAAAAATGTGGTAACTGTGTGTATAAAGCTCAGGAGTTGTAGGCTAAGTCCATTGCAAGTCATTCGCAAGTCAAATGACAAACAAGGACACACGTAACAGAGGGATGAATAATGAACAAAGTAATGTCATGGTTCATTTCAAGGTAGAGTATATCATGTGTCATTTGTGTCCTGCTCTGCAAAAATTAGTCTGATGTCGCATACTTTGAATTCAAGCTTTTGCCATTTTGAAATGGAAACGTGAAAATTTGATCAAAATTTGGATTTTTGTTTTTGTTTTATTTTGGTTGTTTGATAGTTTTGGTTTAAATGTCTTACAAAGAAATTTAAATATTGTATGAAAACAAAATTAGGATTTGTGGTGGTTTCTTGGTTAGTCACAAGTGTATTTGAGCACTTTTGTTGCTTCAAATAGTGTATGTTTTGTCATTTTTGTTACTTCAAACAGTGTATTTGTCATTTTTCAAACCCCTTTTTTCTCCATTGAGACTTTTCTAGCTTTTTTTTAGTGAACAATTGACAGAATGAAACAAGCACAGCAATGCAACCAAATATCCTAGAGAGGTCCGTGATATACCTAATGAAGCTTATTTTTTTCTTTCCCATTTAATGTAGTTAACTCAAAATGTCAGTTTTGCCACAACGACTCATTTTTGCAGAGCAGGTCACATTTGTGCATTTTGTTCATTTGAAGCAACAAAGGTGCTCAAAATTTAAAGAAGGGTGTTTCACAACTAACTTGATGAACTTTCACCTCAGCTTCAGCTGTATATTCCGAGAAATGAAAAGTTGCCGAGTCATGTTTTGAATTGTGCTTGAAATCGTTGCCGATGTAGCATGAATTTAGGTTTAATGAAATACGGACTCATTGGTGGTATTGCGCATGCTCATGCATAGATAATTAGGAGAGGGACCGGTCACATGAGAGGGTTTAACCAATAAAAGGGAAAAAGAGTCCGATTTTCATACAAGTCCGATTTTCATATGACACCGGTACACGTTCTCAATTAGCTGATTGCAGCTATGTGATGTCACATACTGAAGCGACGAATAATAGCAACGCTTGCGCGCACCCATGAACAAAAAGAAAGGAAAGGAAATAAAAACGAACTACTAATGGACATTTCCAAAAAATTCATCACTTTACGCATCTTAATAATTTCACAGGGAGTTTAGTGCCATTACTATCTTTAAACCAAGTAAGCTATTCAACAATAATTTTGTCAGTTACGTTTTGAATAGCTGCAAATGATCTACTCTACCTTTAAATTACTTGTCACTTGACTTGAGACTGAAGGACTCATGATTGACAGACAATTTACTTGTGGGGACTCGACTACAACTCTGGCAGAGCCTATAAAAATGAAATGAAAAAAGAAAAGATTTTCATTTAAGAAATGTATACAATGTTGAAATGTACACAACTCACTGAAAAAGGCAAACAACTAGAAAGAGGGCTCCATATGTAAACATCTCTCTAATCGTTGTGTTTTTGGTTCCATGTCTTCCATCCAGAATCTCTTAGACAAGCAAGACCTAATCCAAACCCAGCTAGATGCGGCAACAGAGACCCTGAACTCCCTGGATCCACACACCGCACCTGAGGCTAACTCCACCCACCAGGCCACCGTCCAATCATTGAAGAGCCGATGGGACCAACTGGTCCCCGGCATCAACCAATGCCGAGCCCTGCAGGGGGACCGGTTGGACCAATGGGTAAATTTTGAGGTCGGCGTGGACGAGATGGGACAGTGGTGTCTGGACATGGAGACGGCACTGACGGATGCGGCAGAGCCCAGAGAGGACCTAGCTGATAAGAGAACTCATCTGGAAGAAGTCAAGGTACCAGCTCATGTTAGAACTTTACTTGAGCCTATGTTGAAAAACAGGGGCCAAGTTGGTGAATTATAGCAATTTTTGAAAAGTTAAACAAAGAAATTGACTGGAGCATGGTTTAACCCGTGACCTCAAGATAACCGTTCTGGTGATCTTACCAACTGAGCTATCCAGCCCTATGTTGGCGGTTGCCCATTTTGTCAATGTCTTTGTTCAAGGGGCGCTAGTCAGAAGCCATAAACCCGTATATGCCATACAGCCAGGGATCACGCCCAAAGTCATGATACAGACCTGAGAAATAGCAAACGGGTATCACTCAGAGAGGATGCAGCTTTTTATTAAACTGACTCGGGTGAATAATAACAGTTTTGAAAAAAATCTTTGCATTTAGTAAGCTTCATGTAGTGATGAAAACAAATCAGAATGCTGTTTGAAATACAAGAAACCTGAATATCTGATTTTCTTTTTTGACAGGTACTGAAAGAGAACATTGAGAGCCAAGCCAAGAAATTGGAAGAGTTGCAGCAAAAGAGTTGTATGCTTACGTCAGCTAATACTCCTGAGATTATTGAGAGTGTTGAGAGACAGGTTGCTGAGGCAGAGAAACGCTACCAGGACCTGCTGGACAGGATGAAGGTATGGACTATGATCTCTGGGCATGAAGTTAGCTTGTTATACAATATTAAGAATATTTTCTGGAGTGCAGGGTCAGTGCTAGAACTGCAGGTGTTAGGTTATCAGCTTTGGTCCAAAAATTGGGCCATCGGTATCAAATGATCGAAAAGAGCAATGTTCTTAGCGATTTTTTGGCAAGGTATACACGTCTAGAATTGGAAAATGTGTTATAGCTTTGAAGTGTGAGCGGTGGCAGTTTTTTTGGTGTTATCACTTTTAATTTTTTTTCTTCAAAATGGCCGCCAATATGCTTGAACCGGATTAATTGTATGTGGTAACAAGCATGTTTTGGCTGCCATTTTTTTTTAAAACAGTAATAGCACCCAAAAAGCTGCCACCGCTGCAATGCTATCACATATTTTCCAACTACAGGGGTGCATACCTTGCCAAAAATCACAAGGACCATTATTCCCCTCATTTGATACCGACCAAACCCCCAGGCCGATGGCCTATGTGCTGTTTGGTGTGGTCGTGAAAAAGTGCAAGAGCATTTTGATGGCATGTATTCAGAAACGAGTGTAACACAAGTTAAAGGCATGTAGGGTCATTTGCTTTTCATGGATTTTGTTCATTTCCAAAAATAATACCACCCAAAATCCAAAAAAGAATGTTCAAAACCTAACCTGTTGACATTTCAGCTCAGTGAATATAACACTTTTCGAAGAAAAAAAGAGAAAAACTATGGACAACCTGTTGATCACTAAACACAATTCCGTTAACATTACTCTCTATCTCCAACGATCATTCATTTGATCACCTACATTTCTTGATTTCTTCTAAATGACAGCAAGACAGACAAACTAATATCATGTGGTGTTTAGTACCAGTACGATCTTTAATCCCAGTAAGTTTTTTTATATTACTTTGGTAGATTACTTTTGGGATTACTTTGGACCTTCATGTTACAGAATGACCGATCTGCAAATTAAACCTCATTCTTGTGGGGAAATTGATATTAGTATATCTTGCCTTTTTGTAGGGCATTGAGCGTCAGCAGGAAGAATCAGTGGTTGCTCATGAGTCTTGGCAGGAGGCAGCAGACGACATGTCAGGCATCATCACCGCCGTAGAGGAAGGACTGAACCAGACTTTTGTCACTCCCTCCGATGTAGAGGAGCTGCAGGCCAAGATGCAGTGTCTCAAGGTGATCTTACATCTCTCCCAGGGATGTAGTGGAGTCCATTCACAAGTCCCATCACAAGTACTTCACGAGTGCAGTCACAAGAAACAGTCAGTGAACAATAACAAAGGAATGCCTATGTCAAAGCTCATTTTAATAGCTTGTGAGTTGAATTAGGACTCGAGGACTTGTGATAGACTTCAAGGGACTTGTGATGGATTTGACTACATCACTGATCTCTGTGCAGTTATTTCTTCCTTTGCTTACTGGACCCAAATGTCTTCAGTCATCGTCATCACAATACTGCAATTTTACAACTGAATATGCACAAATCTGTAGCGTTTATGGAGTGAAAGGAATGCAATTGAGTGCAGGCACATGACAAAAATGCACAAATATGCACTTAAATGCCTGCCCTTAACAGATATATTTTGCATATTTAAGGCTGGAGTCCAACGCGTTGGGGATTTACAACACCATACAAATACATTAAGTACATGTTACTTTGGTTCACCAAACTTCTTTTCTGTAAAATACAATGGAGGACCATACCGTAAACTGAAAATATTCTGCACACACAAAATAAAGCTGAATGTCTGTAAATGTAACTTTAAAAGTGACCATCTGATAACAAATAGCGCAGAATGTTAGTGTGAGCTTTAAATTTAGTTAAGTGGCTCTAAAATCTCCTGGAACACCAGAAACTTATTTCTGGAGTTAGAGTTCCATTTCCATTTATTTTTACCAAGTTTTTTGTTTATCGTTTTTTAAAATTTTATAAAAAGGAATTACAAGCACGGTTCCCGGAAGGACGGTCCAAGCTCAATCAACTCCAAGACTTCACTCAACAGGCACTAGCCTCCACCGCAGACGCCGGACAGCCGAAATTCAACCAGCAAGCCACACAGCTCAATGACAGATGGGAGAAGGTGTTGGCAAAGGTGGCTGAATCGGAGGCTAAACTCGCAACCAATCTGCAGCAGAGAGGAGAGCATGATGGGAAGAGGAGTGACTTTGAGAAGTGGCTGGCCGAGAAGGAGGTTGAACTGGAGGAGTGCTCCATGCTGCAGACGGACCTCCCTGGGAAGGAGGATGCAAGTCACAGATGCAAGGTGTGTGCTTAAGTTCGCTCGTACCCCCGCCCTGCAAACAGGGCGCTGGTAAGGGCTGATGAGCTTCACAGAATCTTGTGAAGGAAGTACAGATTGACCTTCGCTTGCAGCTAGCGCGCGCTACGCATGATGGGCACCGGAAGCTAGTTTGTGTGACGCGTTCTACGTCACAGGTCACGCAAATCTATCCAATGAGAGCTCTAATGACGTCAGCCCTTACCAGCGTCCTGTTTGCAGGGCAGGGGGTACGAGTGAAGTGCTTAAGCTGGTATGAATTAAGTGGCTATGGCTGGAATTAACACACATGTCTATGGAAAGTGGCTGCAGCTGATTCCATTTCAAACAATGCAGTCACATTAGTACGCCATTTCAATAAATTTGTTTAACTATGGAATCGTGGTCGGGGTGTTTTTAGCATGTGTTCTTTGCTAGCGCTTTTCTTCAAAATGGTACAATGGATATACATAAAACTTTCACCAAATATGTCCAAAATACCAGTCTATTACATATCTCATTTGTACTTGTTTTAATAACTGCCACATATGTTTAATAACTTCTATAATTTGGGTCCAGATCATTCTGAGTCACCCTGTAGGTGTAGAATCTGTTGCACACACTTTGTGCTGTTCTTGCATGATGCCTAAGTATGGTATCTTCAAATCAATCTTCAATCAAAAGCCTTCACTTAGCTTTCATATGTAGGCTTAAAGTACAGTGCTTGCTCATGGCCAATATTTTAAGATGGCCATATGTGTATCCCAATACTGTACTTCTTGTTGCATACTGCCAGAAGTTTTAACAGAAAAGTGATCTCCCCCCCCCCCCCCCCACTTATAAAATTAAGGCTGCTTTCGAATTTCTTGTGTCGAGCTATTGTGTAGGACTCCAACATTACAACTACATGGGAACAGTAGACATAGGTGTAGATAAGGATTGCTGTTTTCGGTCTTATCTTTGTCAAGATTTGTTGCATCCTGATAATTATCTCTGCAGAGCCTTGTAGAGGAAGTAGCACAACACGAGCCTCAACTGACTGAGTTGATGCAAAGCGCTCAGCAACTTCTGGACACCAGCATTGAAAGCGTCTCAGTGCGATTCCACACACTGAAACACAGAGCCAGCGTAAGTTTAAAACTTTCTCATTTGGTGATCCTGTATCTGGAAAAGTGTTTTTTAAATACCCTTGGAAGAAATAGACTTGAATCTCTCACTTGGACAAAATGACATCAATCTAGGCCTTCTATACAATTAGTTTTCGATTGAATACTCATTCCCTTTTCGATCATTGTTTGGAAGATTCCATGGTTGATTTAATTTTTGCATCAATAGTTCCTTTGAGCAATCATTCACCACCTTTTAATAATTTTGGTAATGACGTTATTTCCACCAAATACATCTGGTCTTTGTGTTCATCCGTTAGGACAGAGTTTCATTCGTGGAAATCTGTTTTTTCCCTTGAGACTTTTGATGCCTGCTCTTGCTTTCCCCAAAAGGAAGTATTTGTTTTCATGAAGTGGTTTGTAATTAATTGGTTTTAAAAAAAAATGTAACCTAGTATCCCTTAATTCAACCAGTTAATCAAATAATGGAATAATTGTTGCAGTCCCGTATCAATCCAGTAGACCAACCCACTCTAAATCCAATTCCTTGCCATTATCAGGAATCGTCTGAGCGTGCAGACAGGGCCCTGGATGACCACCGACTGTACAATCAGAGTGTGGATCAGCTACAGAGCTGGCTGGCCGAGGCAGAGAGGATCCTGGATGACAATAAGGAAGTACCACCCAGGCTGGACAAACTCAAACAGCAGCTACAAAACCTCAAGGTACAATGCCAAAAACTGGAATTCAATTTCATTCAAATTGTACCAATAATAAGTAAATATTGTCAGTCTATTTTGTTGTTATTTTAATTTGAATGAAATGAAGCTTCAGTTTTCCTGGTAAAAAAACGGAAGATAATTTGTTACAAATCTTTCACATTTAGTAGAGGATCAACAGACTTCAAAAAAATTAAATCTTTAGTTGGAATATCAGTTTTGTATTTGCACATTCACTTCAGCTTAAAAACTTACTTTTTTCTCTCAAATAGTTCACAATGGGAAATTGACTAGGTTTACTTTCAATCAGTGTAAGGTTCAATGAAGACCTCCAGTGCGGTATTCCAGCGATTCGCGGTTTCAAATCCAGTTGCTGTCACTTTCTTTTATCAGTCTGATTTTGATTTGACTGTTAAATCATATGTCAGAGATTAACAGTTGATGGATGTTATTGTGGACGTATGTTTTCATTTTTTTTCAGAAATGTGGTCAAATAAGAATAAAGGGTTTTTTCCTACTTGTAAAGTGGAAATCTACGCACTTATATCTTCCGATGTTAATGTTGTGTCTGTTTTTGAACATGTTTTCAACATTTAGAATTTGGAGCAAACTCAAGAGACTGGCCACCACAAGTTGGAGGACACCTCAGCCAGGGCAGATCTAGTCTTGGCTCTGACCGCCCCGCCTGGCCAGAATATTGTCCACCGGTCACTCTCTGGCCAGCAGCAAGACGTGACCTCCCTGACTGACCACACTACCGAGGCAAAGGACCAATTACAACAGGTGTTAGAGAAGTGGGAGGGTCACAATGCAGGATGTAGGAAGCTTTCTGATTGGCTGATGGCGGCTGAGACGGCGCTCGTCAATCTTGAGAAGCCGTGTGTTTACCTGGAAGAGAAGAAAATGCAACTTGACAAACTGATGGTAAGAAATGACAACCCCTTCAGGTTTCTTCAGAACTTTGCATTGTTACAATTGTTTAACAGTAAGATGGCTTGTATTTTGATAAAGATGTATTGGACTTTTTTTCCAAATACATGACTAAGAGATCAGAAAGATCAGAAAGTCACAAAAGATCAGACATTTTCTCCAGGCTCTCTGGTTTTCCTCCCTCCGCAAAAATCAACACTTTGAGCTTTCTGTGCTCCATGATCAGACATGGGTCATATTGTGGCTGCCTAAGGTTCCTTTACATGCCATCAGCTTGTCCATGTTAAAGCTGTGTCCCTCACAATTCAGGTTCTCAGCTGCAAATAAGGATGATAAGCCCCCCCCCCCCCCAAAAGTATTGTTGAATATTTAAGAGCTTTGTAAAAACACATCGTTATCATTGGTTTTCTTGTTAATTTCAGTCCCTTGAGGAGGATGTTGTTTCCCAGCAACCAGACATTGAGGTTTTGACTCCACAAGCCCAAGAGCTTACCGAGATAGGTGTCTCTGATCCCAGCGTCAGTGCCAAAGCCCAAGACATAGGGGACGAATATCGGGATTTGTGCAGCAGGCTCAAGGTTAGCAAAAAGATGTACTGTATCATCGGATCCTTCCTGTCTGTCAGAGAAACAGTGGCTTTGAAGGGTTTGATCACGATTTTTGGTCGTGTGAACAGGATAACTTGGTCATGTGACCATGATAGCTTGGTCACGTGACCACGATATCTTGGTCATGTGACCATGATATCTTGGTCACGTGACCATGATAGCTTGGTCAAATTTGGGGCCTGTTTGTTTTGCACAGATCCTCATCTGGAACCTTGATCTGTTCATTATTTTCTCTGATCCGGATCCGGGATCTGTCCATTTGTTTTCTCGGATCTAGATCTGGATCACGGATCTTGGGGATCTTAACGAAACGTTAACCATCTCCATATTTTCTTTTGGCTTGTCACGTGACTTAAGATTCGGACAGACATGCCCTTTGTCACAAGCACTGTGAGAAATTGTACACAAACTGAAGGTGGGCGGGCTCACGACCAACTCTGGGACAGTCTATTGTAACCTGATTCAGAGTTTTTAGCTGCTGTGATTACTTATTTATCATTTTCATCCCTTGTGGGAGATTAGACTGCCATGAAGAAATTCCATCTTTAGTGTTCTTCTCGGCCTCTCTCTTACTATAAAGTCTGTGTCGGAATGCTTGGCTATTGCCTGCAGTAACACATAGGGATGTAGTCGAGCTTACCCCAAATCCAGTCACAAGTCCAGTCACAAGTCCAGTCACAGGTAACAGTGGATGAACAGTAAGAAAGGAATGCATTTGTCAAAGCTTATTTGAAAAGCTTGTGAGTTGAATTGGGACTGGAGGACTTGTGATGGACTTGCAGGGACTTGCAATAGATTCGCAATGGACTTGATTACATCTTTGGTAACACACCTACATGTATCTATGGGAAGTTGCTGTAGCCATTTTCATAGACACACGTAATTGCAAGCCATGGTTATTCAGATGCAGCCTAAGTTAACGTGTTTTTCAGATCCTATTCCTTTTTATTTTTGTGATACTCAATAACTCATTTCACATTCAAAATATATTGGTTATTTATTGCGTCCTGGCAGGTTGCCCGACAGGAAAGAGAAGAGCAGGTAACTGATCACGAACAACTGACCAATCAGCTGCAAGAACTGAACGATTGTCTGAAGGCTAAACAGCTGGAGCTGGATCAGTGTTCGGGATTGGCTGCCGATAGAGAGGCCAATGAGGAGAGGATACAACAACTGCAGGTATATCTTGTCGTGTCTTGCCAACTGCTAGTAGAAAAATAGTGCCCCAATCTCTTAGATATAAGAATCAGAGACTTACAAGTCAATATTACAAGTCAGACAAAGGGAAAGAGGCACTGTGGCTCCAAGCCATCAACAAGATCTTGAAAGGGATCGAGTTTCCAATGCAGCCTTCTGCAGTTGAAAATGTTGCCAATATCTGAAAGAAAAAATCATTTAATGATAACACATTGGTGTTTATTGCATTCAGTTTACAAGGATATACAAAGATTTACAAGGACAAAAAAGGCAGTAAAGTATTGGTTAAGGTTTTGAAAGTTATTGAAACAAATATAGGGATTAAAAATAAAAATCATGTGTTCTACTTCTTGATTTGTTTTGTTTGTTTGTTGTCTTATTAGTTCACTTGGTTGGAAGGGAATGTGCCTGGATTGTGTTGATTAGTTTGGTTAGATTTGTTTTTTCCTTCTTTTGTTTTAGTTCTAAATGATGATTTTTATCTCCAAACAACCTCTTCAATCTGTATTTTATCCGTCTGTCTTAGGTCGTACTTGCCAGCCTATCCGACGGCGAGTCCCAACTCCAATCCACCCTGGACCAGAGCGGCTTGGTCTGCCCCAACACCGCGCCGGCCGGCCGCGACCGCATCAACCAACAGCTCCAGACAGCGGCCGACAAACTCAAATCCTTGATCCAGCAAGCCGAGAGGGCAAACAGGAGGCTGGATGACAGTGTGCAGCTGCAGCGGAGCTACGAGGAGAGGTCACATGAGCTGAAGGGCTGGATGGGGGAGACTGAGGCTGCGTTGGAGGAGGAGGTTGATGCAGGAGAGGGACAACTGGAGGCTAAACAGGCGCACTTGGACAAGATTAAGGTTAGGCCATAATCTTAACTGCCTTGTCATTTTTGCTAGCAGTCTCCCTAATTCCCCAATAATCCTGTACTAATTTGCAGTCTCTGCAGATTTATCCAGTTCTTGGATGGATTGACTTTGTCTTCTCAAATGCTGTAAAAACCTCTAAAATCGCCTGGTCGTTTTTGAAGGGTAAATGGGGGAATCCCTGCTTGATTTATACTCCTTAAAGAAGTATTTTTACTTTTGAAATGATTATTTCATGCGCATTTCTTCTTACGATTTCAATGATCATGTGTGGTTATAAACTTCATATTCTGCTACAAAATTCGAACCTCTTTTCTTTTTTTTTTAAGATTATTGTTGTTTGATTGTTAGAGTTTACCTTCAAAGATTACCAAAACATTGTATGCATGCAATTATTGTATCGTATGAAAGTGACTTTACAGAAATGGATTTGAAAATTGTCTCTCAGCAGTAAGAAAATTAAAAGTCAAGGCTTGAATAGTAATTTAATATAATGATATATTGTCCTTGTTGATAGGCCTTGTGTGATGAGAGCCAGGAATTACAGCCAATCAGGGCCCAGGTTACATCACTAGGCCAGCAGCTGATAGCCAGTAACCCAGCAGCCGTCCATGTTGGCAGTGAAACAACAAGACTGACTGCCGGGTACCAGACCTTGCACATGAATCTTAAGGTACAAAATCCTGGATACTTGTTAATATTTTTACTAGCATTTTTAAGTTCAGAAATGAATAAGTTGTCACAAGTTTAGTATTTCTATTGTAAAATATTTTCATGAAATATCAGCTTTCCAAAATATTGAGGATCAAGCTGTCTTGAAAAAGTAGTATTACTTTTGCTGGAGGACTTTCACAGGAGGACTTTAAGCAAAGATTTAAGTGAAACTAATTCAGAACTTGATAAAGTTGGTTTGGAAAAGGCCCTTGGACTAAAATATATTTTTTATCGGTGTGCAAAGATATAGGAATTTTTAGCCTTACTGTAGCTCTTCAAAAGTTTTACTCATGAACCCAATATATCACAGGTTATTTCCGCACATGAAAGAACTTGACAATTCTGTACCTAAGATATCCCGAGATTAGCCCCACTTGTGCTTGTGTGGCCTCCGTATTGCTGCGCTGTACGTTAGGCCACACGTCTGGTTTTCCAACCTACTGAGGAGTTTAGTCCAAACACTGGCGCACCCTTTTTTGGCATTTTTTTACATACCACTGTATATGGTTGTATTCTATGATTTCTCATATTTGGCCCTCCGGATAGATTTTTTGAGAAATTTAGACATCTTTCTGGAGTCCATATGCACCAGTTTCGGACTAAACTCACTAAGTTGGGAAACCAGACGTGTGGCCTAACGTACAGCGCAGCAATACCAAGGCCACACAAGTGGGCTGTCCCGAGATGTGCAGATCCATACTCGTGTTGTAATTTATAATGATGTTCTTGTTTTTCTGTTTTTGTCTTAGGATCGTCTGCGCCAGGCAGAGCGTGCAGTCACAGAGCAGCAGAACTTCCAGACAGCGGTGGAGGATTTCTACAAGTGGCTGCAGTCCGCTAGGGAGACACTGTCCAACTGCCAGAATGTGACGGGAGAGAAGTCAGATGTTAGCTCCAGACTGCAAGACCTGCAGGTAGAAAAATTTGTAATTTTAAAGTTTAACAAAGAAATTGACTGGAGCTGGGTTTGAATCTGCAACCACTGGATTACCGTTTCAGTGCTCCACCAACTGAGCTCTCTGGCTCTATGCTGGTGGTTCCCCATTTTGTCAATGTCTTTGGCTCAAGGGGGAACTAGGGCAAAAAAAAGTCTCCGGTTTCTGGTCTGCGCACGCGTCGCCGTAGCCATGCCCGTCAACAAAATTAAAAAGTTTTTTTTTTTTCAATGTAAGATGATGTCTCAAAACCGCCGAACTCACTGGTTTGACTGGAATCCTGCTCCTGCACAAGTTTAACGTGTTTTTTAGATGGGGTTACGATCGAGTATAAGCTTTATGTCGCCTCTCTGGGCTCCATATATATTGCACTAAATGTAGTTGGGCACCATTTGCAGACAATGTTGTAATTTTGTAATTGTGCATCTGGAAGCCAGACTGGGGGAGCGACGGTCGTGTATCTGGAACCTGTAAACGCTTTTTAATCAGCGCAAAAGGGAGCAGATTAATGACCGGCCTGGCAGCACATTTACGATGTCCCTGTATGGTCTGACCGTTTTCTCTGGTTTTTGTCTTTGACTATCCAAATTTCCCAAAGAATGTTCGTGTCAGTCGATGTCGTAAGAGGGTGCAGAATTCTCAACCCTTATGGCCTTACTGAGGTTACCTCAAACTCCACCCTAAAGAATATTTTGAGAGTTTTAAAGGGATCGAAGCATCATCTGCAACATCAGCCGACATTTGAAGAGAAAAAAATAGTAGGGGAAAAAAACCTGCATTGCTGCACCACTTTTGGGGCAAGCTCCGTACCAGAAATCAGAGACTTTTTGGGGGGGGCCTAAGTCAGAAGCCATAAACCCATATATGCAATGAAGCTAGGGATCATATCTTAAGTAACGATGCTAGCTCCTTTTTGTATCCTCTATTTTTTTCAATTTGGATTAGTTTGATATTTACATCTGCTCGGCAGTTCTACGTTAGTATTAAAAACAAAACAAAGGTCTATGTAAAAAAATCCATGAATTTTTAATAATTGACTATAATCAAAACGAAGTTTCGCTCGATTAATATGACTATACCATTATTAATAACACAATTTCCAATGGACGTAAGAAACGCTGTATGCAATATTATACCGGGCAAAAATAAAAATGTACATTGTAATATGTATTATTACATCTTTCAAACAATGCTTCTTTAATTGTGAACATTCCCCCCCCCAAAAAAAAAAATATAGTCATTCGCAAAATAGGAAAACGCCAGAAAACAAAGCCCCTCACCCTTAAAACTGGAAATTCAAAATTGAAAAACAAATTCAAGTGGAACACCCAAATGTACCTTAAGGATTGAATTGAAGATTCCATCCATTAACATGAAAAAGCATGTGGGCCCTATATACCAACTTTTAAAAATGCTGTAAACTTGGGAAATAGCATTTTTTTATTCAGACAAATATGGTAGATGGATTCCTTACTGAACTTTTTTTATCATCAGGAGTTGATGTCCATGCGTCATCGCGGCCAGAGCCTCCTGAACTCAGCCAGCAGTAAAGCCGAGCGAGTCTTGCCCCAGACTCCCCCGGCTGGTCAGGAAGCCATACAGGCACAGATTGCAGTCATGAGGGGAGACTATGCTGGCTTGCTGGAAGACACGATCAGTGTGAAGGAGGCGTTGGAGAGCTGCGTCAGGGACTGGAACAAGTGAGTGCTAGGTGGTAGGGTCAACTTGGAGCAGGAATCATTGATTGTTGTAAAAATCTTCACGAAATTTATCATCATGTTTTGTGTTAGTTTTTTTATTTCATGTGGCATAACATCGGGTTTAGGGGAAATTAAACCTTGAAAACTAGTTTCCAGTTTTCCAGTCAGGGAAAACTCAGGGAATTTGATAGTGACCCAGAAGGAAATGGTTTTCGCCAGTTTGTGCGTCTTGTGCCATATGTGCAACTTGTGCCCATTGACTGACTAGCTATGGCGGTTTTTTCAGTGTTTATGCAGTGTAAATATATATATGCATTGCTGCAACCACCTCTTGACTTGCCAGCAACCTCGTTAAAGTGAAAATATTTCTCAGAACATTTTTAAAATTTCTCAGGGAAATATCAGGGAAAACTCAGGGAATTTTGTTTTCATAAAGTGCTGGGACCCCTGTTACATCAAACTTTGTCCTCACCTTTGGTTTCAAGAAAGAAAAATCAAAAATATATGATTTTCCCTTTTTTTGTGGTCTGAATTCTTTCTTCTTCAGTATCTTGTCACAGTTTGACTCGTCATGCTCCTTTTGGTTCTCGCTCCTCCCCCAACACCCACCCGCCCCCAAGAAAAATTGAACTGAACCATATTATTCAAAAAAAATACCAAAGTTATAAGCTTCTAGATGAGACCAATCGATTAGAAAAATACCTCAAATATTGCATTAGAAGCAGACAGAGCAGGTTTAGTTCCAGAAATGTCAGAACGGAATTTGCCTATTTTCAAACACTTTCACTTTGGCCTGAAAAGCAAAGAACATGCAACAGTAATGATTTTGGAAAGTAAAGAAAGCCTGGAATATAACTCAAATCTAGTTTTATGTCAATTTAATGTATATTTTTTATTTTGTAGGCTATTATATGTAGGGTGTCATTATATGTTCTTGTTTTGTTGTTCAGGTACGAGGCCAGTTGTGACAAGTTGTCTCGCTGGCTGGCTGAAGCCAAAGGTCAAACCAGGACGGCAGCTGAGCTGAAATCAACCCTTGGAGAGAAGAAAGTACAACTAGAACGATGCAAGGTGAGAGAGTTAACTCCCTGAAACATCTCAAAAGCCTGTAAAAGAGCTACTCGTTATTTAATGCAGCTAAGCAAAAGAACAGAGAATTTAACACCACTAAATATAAGCATCAAAACATACCAGGTTTAAGTTGATCCAAGTTATGTGAATTCACAGTGAGATTACCGCAAATTTGCATCAGAATTCTCTTTCGAAAACTGACCTCAAGGTATGATAGCTTTGAGGTGCCATTTACTATCCTGAGGTTTAAACATTGTAAAACCGTAAGAAAAATTTTATTAAATTTTCGTGGACAATTTTTGCATATGACTCCAGTAAGGGTGGGAGTCATCAGCTCTACCACAAATTCAACTTGTGTTTAATCAAATAACTGTTATAGAAATGAGGTACAACTTATAGAATGCAAAAATGGTTTCCCTTGCATTTTGTAGTTTATGCCACATGTATCATGTAGTAAATTTGGAATATTATATAAAATAGAAAGGTTTTGCTGTTGAATGTAGCTCTTGTTTGTCTTATGATACTTATTATTTTGCGTGTGTATTGTAGGCTATTCAGCAGGACATTGCTTCCCACCAAAAGGACATTGATGTGCTGACTGAACATGCTCAGAAACTTCTGGACAGAAACCCAAATGGTCTTCAGCCAATCAGTGAAGAGCTTCAGATGTTCACTGACCAATACCAGACAAGCATGAACGACATTAAGGTTGGTCATGATCAGAGTATCGGGGTTCAAATCCAGCTGCTGGCCTTATGTTGTGTCCTTGGGCAAGCCACTTTACCCCACTTTTTTCTCCACTCAGGAGTATAAATAGGTACTGGCATTAGCTGGGGGAGTAACCTGCGATGGACAGGCATCCCATCCAGGAGAAATAGAAATATTCTCAGTCGTTTCATGCCACTGAAACCTGAGATAAATGCCGACCTGATGGGCCATATTGGCTTGTGACAGACTTTAAATTTTGTTTACAAATACCCTGTGAAAATATCAGAAATGATTTCAATCAAAAGAAAACACTTATTGAAGGTGGTTTTAAAAAAGCTTGCCGGCAGGCACACTTTTTTAACGTACGTTAGCAACAGATTCCTGTATGAGATCCAAAAGTTTGTGTATATTTTTTCTCTGTTTTTATCAAAATGTTTAATAGCCACTGATTTTGAGTAATTTTGTGGCTTCATACCAAAAAATTGCACAAAGAGCAAGTGATCTTAAGTACCTTTAAAAGCGTCAAAATCTTACAACCATTAAATGTGAGATCGTTCATTGTTCATTGTTCATTGTTCATTTATTTTCCACAGTGCCACATTTTTAATGATCGTAATTAATACAAAAGATACTATATAAACAGATAGTGAGACTGTAGAGGAACCTACTAAGAAGCTAAGCTTGTAATCGTAGGCCCCTTGTATACAAATTTAAAGTTGCTTTTAATACATAAGACACAGGACAGACAATAGACAAGGACAATACACAAACTTTACATGCTAGTTAACAAGCAGGATAAGATTTGTTGCACGAGCAATCTCGAAGTTAATGGGTTACACGGGATCATAATAATTATACAACAGGGTCGATTTATATTTCCGTTTGAAAGTAGACACATTTTTGGATGTTTTCAGGTTCTTGGTAAAGGAGTTCCACAGCCTGGGTCCCTCATATCTAATAGTTTTTTGGGCTAAAGTTGTGCGAATCAATGGGAGATGAAAATTAGAGACTTGACGAGTATAATGGGAATGAACATCAAAATTCCGGGTAAAAATTGAAGAAATGGAAGATGGTGAGGTGCCAGAAGCAGATTGATACATTAGAGACCCAAGCTGGTGGAAATAAATATCTTTAACTTTCAAAAGTTTGTGTTTGAAAAATAGGGGATCAGTATGGGCATTAAAATCAGTAAAATTAATTATTCGAAGAGCCCGTTTTTGTAAAAGGAAAAGCCTATTGAGATTACCGAGGGAACATGCTCCCCAAGCTAGAATACCATTACTGAGGTACGACAATATTAATGTATTATACAGGGAAACTAAAATTGTGGGAGGGATAAAATATTTGATCTTGTTGATGACACCTATGTTTCTCGCAATAATTTTACATAAATAATCTATATGATTAGTCCATGTTAATTTAGAATCTATATATAATCCAAGAAATTTAAGACAATCTACTTTTTCCATGGCCATGTCATTAATTAATATGTTGGAAGGGAGATTACTGGCAGTTTTACTAAATAACATATAGTTGGTTTTCTTAATGTTAAGTGACAGCTTATTAACTGCAAACCAATTACAGATAGATTTTAACTCATAATTAACTGTGTTAGTGAGAGTAGTCAAATTGCTATTCGAGATAAATAAGTTGGAGTCATCAGCAAATAAAATAAATGAAAATACATCAGATGATTTAACAAAGTCATTAATATAAATCAGAAAAAGCAATGGGCCCAAAATTGACCCCTGTGGAACACCACATTTTAGGGCCTTACAAGTTGAATTTGAACCGCCTATAGAAACATACTGTTGTCTGTCTGAAAGGTAACTTCTGAACCACTCTAGGGCTACTCCTCGAACACCATAATAAGAAAGCTTATATAGCAAAATGTCATGATCAATGGTATCAAAAGCTTTTGAAAGATCGAGGAATATCCCCAGAGTGTGTTCAGAGTTATCTATGGCAGTTGTTACTTTATCAACAAAATCAAGTATTGCATGTGTAGTTGAATGATTACTTCTAAATCCGTATTGACAGTCGGTTAAAATATTACATTTAGTAAGAAATTGGATAATACGAACATAAACACATTTTTCAAAAATCTTTGAAAAACAGGTCAAAATAGAAATGGGTCTATAATTGATAACTGAATGAACATCACCATTTTTAAAAATAGGAACAACCTTGGCAGTTTTAAGTGAGTTAGGAACAATGCCAGTTTTAAAGGAAGCGTTGATAATGTGGGTAATAGGTCTACTGATGGCAGTTATAGTGTTTTTAATAATAGAAGAATTAATCAGGTCGTGACCGGAGCTTGTTTTGTTCTGTAAATTGTAAACGATATCAATCACTTCCTGTTCAACTACTGGTTGTAAAAACAAAGACCTTGGGTTCGGATCATTAAGAAAATCAACAAATGAATCATGTGAACTTGGAATACTTTTAGCGAGATTAGGGCCTAAATTAACAAAATAATCATTAAAGCAATTTGCAATATGAGTAAAATCATTGATTAACTTGCCTTCGTGCATGATACTACTAATATGTTGAGAGGATAACTTATTATTAAGGACTGAATTTATGACCTTCCACGTGTTATGAATGTTGTTCTTTTCCTTCTCAAACTGACAAACATAATATTGCTTTTTAGAATTTCGTAAGAGACTAGTCAAAATATTTTTATATTTAATATATTTGAGTTTCCGCATGTTTGTCGGATTAGCAATATAATGACGATATAATTTATTTTTCTTGTTAATTGATTTAAGAAGAAGTTAAGTAATCCACGGGGCAGTTTGGTTAGAATTGGACTTTGACGTGGGCTTATGTAAATTAGGTGGAATATTTTTATCAACTTTATCATTAAAATTGTCAATAAATAAATTAAATGCATAATCGGGATTATCACAGGTAGTAATGTTAGACCAGTCGGTTGTATGCAGATCTTCTTTAAGCCTCTGGATATTGAAATGAGTGAATTTACGGGAACCAACATAGTTAAAATGATTAGAGGAGGCACTAGATTTATGAGAGGACATTATCATAAAAATTGGTAAATGATCGGAAATATCAGACAAAATTATGCCTGAGTTGTGAGATGGTAACACATTCGTCAAAAAATTATCAATTAGCGTAGCAGAAAAATCAGTTATTCTAGTGGGCTTATCAATTAATGGTAAAAAAGAATAAGAAGTAATGAGATCAGTAAAAGCCTGTGTGCTGGGGGCTGTATGATTGAGTAAATTAATATTAAAATCCCCAGAAATAATACAATTTTTGTTGGAAGATGTCATTCTACAGAACAAATTTTGAAAAGGTGGTAAAAAATCAAGTACATTGACAATTGGAGGTTTATATAAGACGCCTGTGATAATATCCTTAGTTTTGGGAAACGAAATTTCAACAAAAAGAGATTCTAAAACATCTTCAGAATGGGTAAGATCCTGTCTAATTTTAAAATCGAGGTCACAGGAAATATACAGAGCTACGCCTCCACCCATTTTCCCCTGTCTGTTATTAACAATAAGTTTATACCCTGGTAAAAAATAATAATTATGGGGATATGTTTTCAGCCAGGTTTCAGATAATGCGATGACCGAGAACTTATATTTCAATGTAAGCAACAAAAGTTTAAGTTGATCGAAATGTTTTTGAAGACTCCTAATATTGATATGAAGTAGAGAAAATCCATCAATATTTTTATAGGTCCCCGAGAACTGTTCACTAGAGTAGTATTGTGAATTGTTAAATAAATGGAAAGGATTATTTGGGTCAACGTATCAGGCATACTTTACTTTACAGGCACACACAAAAACAAGAAGACAAGGACAAGTAATTCAAATACAAAACAATTAGGTTAAGTGATTGAAATGAGCACTGATAATCAAATTATCCTTTTTAAAAGATGTATGGATCGACATCCAAACAGTATATTTGTACTAGGCCGCCACGAACAATATACACGACAATGTACATCAAAAAGAAACTATGCGTATTTTTACTAGTCGCGACACTCGCAGCCCTTGGTCCAGGAAGGGCAACTCAACATAGGCACTAACTAGTCCAACCATGGGTTCGTGACTTTTTCTTCCCTTCCACCTCTGTAGCTGGCCGTTGACAACCACAGCCAGTCTGTTGCAGAGCACAAGGAATTCCAACAAGGACAGAGAGAGTTTGCCAACTGGCTCCGAGATGCCAAGAACAAGCTAGCGTCCCTGACCGACACATCAGGCAACAGCAAGACAGTGCAGAACAAGCTGGCTTCACTGGAGGTTAGTTCCTCCCCTTCCCCCATCCCACACCTTCCCCGCTCATGATGAAAATGAAAAATAGTGTCGTTTGTGAAGGACATTTGCCTTATGGGTATTAGTAAATGTAGATTGTATAAATGTTGAACAGTGCTCCTGAATCAGCAAAATGTCTGTCACATCATCACATGCACTTGTTAGTTTAAACAACCCTCTTCTGTGCTCATGCACAGAGTTGGAAATGCTTAGCTTAAACAGATTTTTAAGAACAAAGTTTGTGTGGCCACCTTTTCATGTTTAGAATTGTAAATGATGTGATATTTGCTGTTACAGAAATGTCACCTATTTGTGAATCTGAGTATTGGTTAAGTTTGGTGTCTTAACCAAAACCATCTAAGAGCGATAGCCGTCTAAAATCTGACTGATGAAGCCAGTCGGCTAAAATGCAGTATTGTGATCCATCCCTGGAATTTGTACAGGTTAGAAAGTACACTTAGGAGGAGGTCTGGGGAAGTTTTGTTGTACATGTTGTTGCGGATTTTAGTGAGTTAGAAGACAGATTTGGTTATAAATGGCAACATCTGTTCTCATCCTAATGACAGGAACTTCTGACTGCCAAAGAATCAGGCCAGGAGAAGCTAGACTCCGCCACAGCCAGTGGGGGCAGGACTCTCCCGCTCACTGCAGCGCCTGGACAGGAGACTATCACCCAGCAGTTACAGAAGGACCAGGAGGAGCTGGCTGCACTGACTGCCAGCCTGCTAGACTCCAAGGACAGGCTGAAAGAGTGCGCACAGCAGTGGGGCGCGTACGAGCAGAGCCAGAGTGAGGCGGACGGATGGCTGAGGGAGATGGAGGAACGGCTCGGGAAGGGGCTGGAACTCCAGCCTGGATTGGAGACTAAGCAGGAACAAGTTGAGGAATTGAAGGTAAGGCTACATCTTAATTATTTTGCTACGGATGGAAATTACACACGCGCCTATGGTGTTTCTGGTTGAGTTTTTCCTCTGAGTCACATTGTGTTTACAACATGAATGATTTGTCCTAACTGAACTTTAAAAACTCCCACTGCGAGATTCCTCAAAATCACAATTCCTCTGAAGATTCCTCAAAATCACCTTTCACACACAATCATTTCACAACAACATATTTAATTTAAAACTTGACACAGTCCTTCTTTGAGTTTATCAAGAGTTACATTTTAAATCAGTACATACTTATAATGAATTGTCAAAGGAATCTTCAGAAATATGACAGGCAAGCCATTGTCAACATATTCAAATGGTAAAACTAAATTCTTGAAACAAAAGGACATTTACATAGATGACAAAAATATAGCTTTCACACAAAAATATAGATTTTTTACAATATAGCTTTTATACATAGCGTTTTGGTCATTGTTTTACTGCTTGAATGGGTATAACATTATTTGAAATTGAACCCCTTTGGTTTTTTATGTATCTGTTCAATAACTTAAATTCCAATTTCTTGTTTCTGTTCAGGCACTTCAAGAATCCATCCAGAGTAGGCAGCCAGTCATGGAGGCGGTGTCCAGACAAGCACAGGGTCTTCTTGATAGCAGCGTTGGTAATGTAGGCGTCGTCAGTGAGTCTACCAGACTGGCCTCCAGGTTCCAGAGACTAGTCATGACAGCAAAGGTAGGAACCTATCCATCAAGTGGAAATTTCTGTCAGTGTTATAGTTCCCGTCACAAAGTCATCTCTAGTATGTCAGAAATAGATTACAAGTCCTTTCACAAGTATCAGGGTATGAAGAATAGAGAGTTTCGGCAGGTTTAAAATTCGTGCTTGTGTCGCGTATTCGTATCAATTTCGCGTATGACATCATCACTTTGTGCGGTCTTATCATACATGATGTGGGAAAGTGTTACGGAAACTACGTGTGGAAGCCTTCTCATACGGGAGCAGAACGTATCAATTTTCGCCATATTTACACCAAATTTGTGCCAAAATGATACTTCTAATAACTTCTCATTCTTAATTTCATGACGCTTGAGTTATCTCAGATTGCAGTGCAAGTGATTTAAAGGATGAATTCAGTATATTATAGTGAATTTAGTATATTTGGTACATAAAGTAATTTTTAAGGCATTTTGTGTAATCAAACTTGTGACTGGTTCATGCATGTCACAAGTATGTGTAATGTACATGTATGTACAAGGCAAATCAGGCGTAACGTTAACAACAATACATGTACGTAGCTGTGCGATGCCCGAGACTGAATTTGGAATGCCTCATCTCTTATGCGCATACGTATGATGCCATACAGATATGTGTATGGATACGTAACCTTTTTCCCAGATTTTCTGGTAGCAGAGGAATGCTGTGTCACAGTTTATTTGAATAGCTAGTGACTTGACTTGAGACTGGAGGTCTTGTGATGGCCTTGTGATTGATCCAACTTCAACATTTGTTTTCTTTCATGCTGAATATGAACCAGCCTTAACTGAATAAGACAAGACTGGATTTTATTCTCAGTTTTCCTTATCCTTGCTTTCCTTGATCGTAGGACCAACTAAAGAAGAGCGAGCACAATGCTACTGACCATGCCCAATACCAAGACACCCTGAGGGACTTCAACATCTGGCTAGTCGCCTCTCAAGACACCTTAGACCAAAACTCTAGCCTCCTGGGTGACAAAGCGACCCTCCAAGACAGAGCCAAGAACCTGAAGGAGTTGGCAGCGACCAAAGCGACTGGACAGAACCTCTTACAAGCTCTTGACCACAAAACCGGAAAGACCTTTCCGAATACGGCCGCATCTGGGCACGAGGTCGTGAGAGGGGACACTAGGTAAGGATGTGAATCCACATTTTGATTTTGTAAAAGTTTTGTCAAACGTTAACGCTCAATTTATACAGTCTACCAACACCTTACCAAGGCTGTCCTAGTGGGCGGGCCATCACCGCGTTATGGGGAAGATTTTTATTGTTAGGCAAATTAGGACCGAGTTATGGGGACTTTCCGCTGTCCCCACAGCGTCTTCGGTCCCCATAGTACCATGGGACAACTCTTGTGTAGTCCCCACAACTACAGAACAAGTATATGTGTGTGTGTGTTATGTAGATGAGGCAGGGATAATTGCTTAGCCTGACTGCATACTAAAAACATAACACACAATCAATTGTATAGACCATATCTAGTCTACTCGATTGATAGTTGTCAACCATTGAAAAGTGTATAAATAAAATTTCCTGGGTTGAGATCAAGCACTGAGGTGCTTCAAATGTTTTGTAAATTAACTTGATTTACAGGCATTCTTGATTCTTTGTAAAAGATAGCCTGGAAGGTAGCTTTCGTAAATACCAGGTTTCATTTTCTAAGCTTGGGTTTACGTTTTAACAGTTTTGGAAAAGCTGTGAACAGATTTTAAATAGTTCTCATTTAAATGTGTAACCATCGCATCATTAACACCAGGGCTGCTCACGTTGGCTTGGAGGAGCTACTGACAAGCTTGAGTCAACAGAGCCAGGATCTTCAACAGTGCTTGACGCTGTGGGATGACTTTGATGATCAGTGTTCCCAGGTGACCAAGGAACTTGGGGAAGTGGAAGCCATCTTGGTCAGAGAACCTGAGCTGATGCCAGATGTGAAGCACAAGGAGCAACAGCTTGAGAAGTACAAGGTAGGGATCGGGATGCAGCACTACTACATTTCAGTCCAGCCATGCCTTGCTAAAAACCTAAGAATCCAAAACTACCAAGCTACTCAACCAAACTACAACGTTTCCAGCATTCTTTTCCCCCTCTAATCCCAGCAGGCCTTCCAAACCTACCTTTGACCAAACCAGCCCAAGATGCCCGGTCTTATTGAGGAAGTCGTAGTGAGCCCATTCTAGCTCCTTGCCAAGCCTTGCCTGGCTTACATGCCACAGGGGGTTCAGCCTCATCAACTCTTCAACAGCCTACCCTTAATCCTTTGAATACCCTAGCTTATTCCTTGCCAAGCCTTCCAAGGTTTTCCCCTAAGGTGGGTGTTACCTAGCACCCGAACCCCTGTTTTGCACCTCAACCATCTCTCTCAACCATGACCAGCACAGAGTTGAAATTAAATCTTGACAAGTCTTCAGAAGTCAATCCCAAGTCTTCTTGGCCCATGTCAAGTCAGAAGCTATTCCAATGAACTGAGACAAAATCAATCCCTGTCATTGCTCCTTCCCTTGTTACATGCAGGTACTTGTGATTGGACTTGTGCTATATCTCTTGACCTGCACGTACTCAAGGCAACTTGCCTTCTTTCTATCAAGTAGTTGCTCAGTTTATAGAAAGAAAATATGCACTCAATTAATATTTATCGATTAGAAGTGTGATCATCCAAGTACCCTCATACAAATAATTTTATGTTTTTACTCTTACAGAGTTTGGCAGAGGAGGTAGCCCTTGAGAAGGATTCCCTGGACTCTGTCTTGGCTGGTGCCAAGGAGCTCCAGAGACTGACAGGAGAAGATGAAGTCATTGAGAAGACCTCACAGATGATGGAACGCCACAAGACACTGATGCAGGCTGCTCAGGTAGTCCAAATTTTAATCATTTATACCTTTATCGGTCCATTCTGGAACCATTCACTTGAGCGAGAATGCAATTTTATTGATGTCATCAGTCTTTGAGATGCGGTGAATGCAATCGAGGGTCATGTTTGTTTTACATAAAAAAGGAATGAGTTTACCGAAACGGAGTAGCACCCTCAAATTGTGGTGTGCATTTGATTCAAAGGGATATGCATGAGAAGACCTATTTTTCATTTATTGTAGCTAAATTAAAAAAATACCTCAGAAGTTATCATTAAATGCAAAGCGTCTATATCGATGATAGAAATATGAAATGATTGAAGCATGAATTCAGTAACTTACTGAAATCTTCTGTACTTCTATGCACAATCCCTGTTGATGGTATCATGAGGAGCAATTACAATCACTTACTCTTTGTATTGCACTATTGTATAATATTTCCAGTGTTCATACTCATACTCGGTACTCGTACTCGAGTACTACTCTAGTTCTTTTTAGGAGTACACGTACTCGTACCCGTATTTGAATGTCAAAGTACTCGTACTCGAAATGACAGTACTCATACTTGGGCAACAAAATACTCGCACTCGACATGTCGAAATTGTACTCAATCATCAAAGTACTCGTACTCGAATAGCCGTACTCAGGGGGGGGGGGAATGGTATAGCTTGACTTACCACGGCCTTATTTTTGTGATACTTTAAGTTTGAAATGGTTGATTGGCTTGTGGAGAAATCGAAGTTTCCTGATTTTCCTCTGTGCACGTACGTCCAGACACATTTAACAGCTAGCCATGAGTGGGTCTGTATATCGGTCTGACTGGGCCTGGGCCAATTACACACAATGAACCATTTGCCGTATTCAGAAATGCAAGTACTCGTACTCGGAAGTACTCGTACTCGGAGACCTGTTCTTGTACTCGGAGGTACAAGTACTTGCACTCGTACTCGTACTCGGCAACCTAAGTACCTGGCAGTACTCGGTACTCGGGAAAAAAGTACACGACTACAACAGTGAATATTTCTAATTTTTGTAATACTGATTGGCCTATCTCATACTACATGCATCTTGTAGCTCAAATGAACTGAAATTCATCAAATATTCTTTCTATTCATGCATTGAATACACTCTGTTTCACTTATTTATTAACATGGTGCTAATTCATTCATTTATTTATTTATTTTTTAAATAGACTGCTGTTGAAACAACATCTCAGAGAGCCGAGAACCACCAAGAGTACAATGACCTCCACAGGGCTGTTTGTGATTTGTTGGCATCGACCAATCAGGACCTGAAAAACAACAGCAGTCTTGCTGGCACCAAAGACACACTTGAACAACAGTTGACGAATGTGACAGTGAGTGAAATATGACTATAGCTTAAGTCACCTTCCTAATCTGTTATCACTCAGAAACATTTTGTAACATTTTAGAACTTTGGTTTCCCTTACACCCTTTAAGCCAAAGTGCAGGGCAACTGTCGAATGCAAACACCACTTTATGACGTCAGGCCAATTATTTGTGCTGCGAGATTGTTAACGTTTTGCCGCAAGTTTTTGATGCGCAGTTCACTTTGCATTCACATTCACATGAAGTATGAACTGGCTTTTGGTAGTAGTGCAGACCCTGATTTGAAAACTAAAGCCAGTTTCACGTCAATTTGCTGTGACCTCATGGTTAAGGGCATCGGATTTGTGGTCTGCGGGTAAAGCTAGAGGTTGTGGGTTCGAGTCCAGCCTGGGATCATGGTGCGTGTGCCCTTGGGCAAGGCACTTTGTCACTCATTGCTTCTCTCCACCCAGGAGTAAGTGGGTGCTTGTGAGGGCAGAGATGGTTATTGTGATTGAATTATCCTTGCACCTAACAGGCAGCATCGAGCTGTATACTTCCCAGGGAGCTGAAATGGTATTTGGAATGTTTCTTGAGCAGGGGTAATAATGATGTAGCACCTTGGGCACTAGTCCTGGTGGATATGTGCGCTTTATAAATACCCACTATTATTAGAAAACCTTTTTTTATCAGTCACAGTTTCTTGCAGTGATTATCTCTTGTATCTTGTTATTTTGCTTTTTCACAAAAGGTTTTAAGGCCGTGTATCTTTCCTTGCTGAATGTTAAAAAAAAGTTGCCTTAGGCAGTGTTCATAAAGCAGTAGAAAGTCTGAGTCTGCATTCTACTTTAAACTGTATGATAAATTCAACTTTTTCACCCAAAACAGGAATTGACATCCAATCTCCCGTCTTGCGAGGACAAACTCCTGCATCCCTCCCTGACCCTCGGCGCTCAACTCCTGACAGAGACCTCCCCAGACGGATGCGCAGTGATCCATCAAGAACTGGATCAATCCAGTCGGGACTGGTCCAAGCTGGTCAAGGAGGCTGATGACATCAAGTCGTCTCTAGAGGGTGCTGTCCATCAGTGGGAGGAGTACGAGGAGGAACATGGGAGGATGGTGCGATGCCTTGATGAGGCCGAGAGAGAGACGAGTCCGGAGCTGGAGTTGAAGAAAGATGCGGTTGAGAAACAAGAACAACTGGAGAATGTCAAGGTAACAAGATGTTTTTAAATACAAGATGTTTTGTTTTTATATTACCATAATATCCATGAATTTATTCTGTTAGGTTAAAATACATGCCTTAAATTTCTTGACTCGGAGTATTCAACAAGCGCTTTAAAGACCCTAGTGCACATTTGTAATTATCAGAAAACAAACATACTAAATTGCAGCATCCCTGATGTTGCTAGCATAATGGTTTCGGCGTGATCCCTGACTATATGACACACAAAGGTTTATGGCTTCTGACTACCACCCCTTGAACAAAGACATTGATAAATTTGTAGACTTCAAAACATTGGGCTGCATAGCTAATTTAGTAGCGCCTATGTATTGTTCAAAATGTTGCAGATTTAATTCTAACTCAATTTTTTTTCAAATTTTTTGTTCAACCTTTATTATTACCTTAAAGTGAAAATGTGTAAATTGATGTCCAATTTTCGAAGATTAATTAATGTAAAAACAAGTAATTTCATCTATCAATTTTAAACTGTCTATCATACAGTCTCTTTACATGTACATCTATCTTTTGCTTTAGACTATTCATGATGACATCCTTAGCCTGGAGACATCTCTCAATGCCGTAGTGTCTAGCGCCAATCCTATCCTACACAACAACCCGATGGATTCCACTGTCAGTGGACAGCTGTCCCAGGCTAGGTCTCGCTACCAAGCATTAGTCAACAACATGAAGGTATTTATCCAAAATCCTAATTAGTTTCTTTAGGAACATTCCTGGATCCTCAAAATTCCACCAGTGTGCAAGAACTCAATATTGCACTCAACTGGGAGTCAAGCTCCATAAAGGTTTAAGTGGCTGGGCTGTTCTTTGATTTACATGTTTTTTGCAAAATTCTCCAAAACCTCCTGTTGGAATTTGAAGGATCTAGAAGGTTTGGGTCAATGGCACAAAACTGATCCGATTTCAACAAAGAAAAAAAGGAACCCATTCAAACACATAAATTATGCTGGAGAAGGATTTGAACCCACAACTCCTGGACCTCTGTAAAGTTACTGGTTCATGTCTGACTGTGGTCAATATCTTTGTTCATCCTAATACTGATGTTAAGTGAACCAATTCAGATTCTTCTTGTGGTTATTTTGATGAAAATAAATATCTCACCAGCATTTTTAATTAATTTGAAGATCTTTTTGTTGTTGGAAAAAATCTGTATTAATTTTAACAATTTTTTTTTTATAGGCCAGAGTCAAATTATGCCAGGAAAGAGTCCAGGACCACGGAGCCTTCAATCAATCCTTGGAGGAAACACAGAACAACCTGAATGAGAGAGAGCAGCAGCTGAGTCCTCTGAAGGATCTCTCTGGAGACAGATCGTCCATTGATGCTAAACTGGCAGCTGTGGAGGTAGGTATATTTTTAATGAGATATCTGCTTAAATAGATGAGCTTGGAGGCACTTTGAATGGTTGGGATTACTACTTACGAGAACATTTGCAGATGTACCATGTGAATTTACGATCTTTTTAAAGGTAGGATAGATCATTTGTCATTTGTGCATTTATTTCGTTTTAAGCCACAAAAGTGTTCAAAATCTTAAGACGGGTGCTTACCAACTAACCTGATGAAGTATTAGCTCATTTTTTTTCTCAGTATGCATAAATGCATAAATGCATGAAAACAATATTCCAGGATCTCGATTTCAATACAAAAGTTGCCGAGTCATCTTCTGAATTGTGACCGAAATCAGCATCCAGGACACGTTCTCATTCCGCCCGATTGCAGATATGTGATGTCATGCACTGAACTGACGTTCACTGAATAGCAACTGTGCACATGTGTGCGTCGTGTCAACGCATGCGCGCACCGATTCTGAGATTTGTCAAATTGCAAACCAAGTTCTAACGGACACATCTTTGGAAATGACTTTCTTATATTTGTTGTCTTCAAAATGACAGCATGCCAGAAGGAATAATTTCACAGGGAGTTCAGTGCCATTACTATCTTTAAACTAAGTAAGCTTTTCAACAATATTTTGTTCAGTTACTTTTGGATAGTTGCAAATGATCTACTCTACCTTTAAAAAGAGAGGTGGTTGTGGGAAAAATTTCCTTTACTTGAGTAGAATTTGAATGTTAGATATCAGATACTCATTGCTCGATGTAAACGTGCACATTCTCTCGCAGCTGTATTTTAAATAAAAAATGTCCTCAACTTACTAGAGCATTAGTCACGACTGTAGATAAACAACCTATGTGTAGTGAGCTGTTTCATAACAAGGTTTCCTCGGTGTATATATATGTCGACACATCAAAAAAGAAAAATACTGGTATAATTCCGTCTTTCCTCTGTTGACTCTGTAGCTTAAATTTAATACCTTCAAAGATATACCTTATTTTTTCACGTTCTGACAGAATCTGGCGAGCCACCTGACTGAGTTTGAATCCCAAGTCCATCACGCCACAGACCAGGGTCACCACATCCTGCCGCACACCTCCCCCGAAGGTCAAGAGGTCATTCAAGGTCAACTCTCCGACCTTGCAACCTCGCTGACCTCCCTCACGCTCGGCGTGAAGGATGCTGGGAAGGCGCTAGTGGAGCGCGTCCGTTGCTGGAGCGAGTACGAGGTCGCGGTGGAGGAGTTTGGGGAGTGGCTGGCTGAGACGGAGAAGACGTTGGCCAAGGAGCCGGAGAGGATGGCTGACCTGGGAGAGAAGAAGAGCCAACTGGAGAGATACAAAGTAAGATGTGGAGAAATATAAAAATCCATCTCAAATTTACTTTAAAGTTATATGAAGTGTTATGAAGTTACAGCAAGCCCAATTTTGGAATAACAAGTCGTGCAAAACCCATACGTGATGTGCGTTGGATAATATTTGGCTTTGGCAGTCTTCCAGTTTGCATTCCAGTGAACTACACTTCCTCTTTATGCATGTATGCTCTATACTCATATGTTTTTGTTGTGCTAAGTGGTCCTGTTTCAAACTTAAAGGCTGAAAGGGAGTAGCGTCCCTTACCTCAGTGTATTGTAATTAGGTTCGTAAGATGCCAAAACAGTGTAGAAATTGATCACGGAAAGCCCTAATTTTGTCCTGCGATTTCATTTTTAGGTTTCTGTGGGAACCCTGTGAATAAGTAATAAAAAAACAAAAATTGAAATGTAGTGCAAAATATTTTGCAGTTGTAATAATTTCTGATAACCCAGCTATTTGTCCACTGTGATACACAACTCGTGTGGTTTTCCTCTCACAGGCCCTTGAGAGTGAGATTACATCCCGAGGCATGAGCCTCCAGGACACGGAGCAGAAAGCCCTGAAGGTCCTTGAGCATGACACGGGGGCTGTGGACGTCCAAGGGAAGATGGGAGATGTGAGGACTCGCTACCAGGCACTCTGTCTGAGATCCAAGGTAAAGTGATTTGGCATAGCTGCCAACTGTTACAAAAATTGGTTATGATTAACAATAAAACAAACTTAAACTGTAAGTACGAATATGCTGCTTAAATGAACAAAATCAACTTGTAAACCTAAAGGACTAAGAGTTGCGGGGATCATTCTTTCAGGAAAGGATGTCAAAAACGATAAAAAAAATTAGAATCATAACCATCCGGTTCGTTAGTGTGGCGTCATCTCAATTCAACCATGCATTCATTACACGGGTGTAGCATAGCACGAATGGAATCGGAAGTTAACGCACTTCAAGCATTTATCCAATGGGCGCTAGTAATCAGTGATCCACGTGCGTGTATGATATTTTTTACTAACGAACCGGATATTTAACATATACTTCGACAAATGTGACCATAAATTTAGACTTTTTTAAGAATTGAGATATTGTTATATTTGGATTCTAAAAAACAAGAGCTTTCCAATGGTATATATCATTCGGGAGTTCTAAGTTCAGTAATGGAAATATAGACCACTTACTAAATGAACATCGTAAAAGCAATTTTTGAAGAAAAAGGCATTAAAAAAATTCCGCTGATCTGTTACAGTGAATGAACAGTCAAATATTGAAATGGGATGAAATGAGGTTTTAATGGAACACAAGCAGTAGGTAAAAGTAGAAGAGAACAAAAATCGACCACCTCTTCAAAATTTTTCCCCATTGTACTGCAAAATGGCAATTTCCAACTTTTTAGCTCAAAAATTATGCCGATATTGACAGTGACACAACTTCAAATTTTCTGCATTGCAGGACACGACAGACACCCTCACACACAGTGTGACAGAGCACCAGGGGTACCAGGATGCCCTACAGGAGGCAGAGAAGGCCCTACTGGACATCTCTCAGCAGCTCACCACCCAGGGGGCGTTACCGGAGGGGGCTAGTCTGGAGGAGAGCCAGCAACAACTCTCACAACTCCAGGTCAGTTGAATTACTGTAAAACATTCTACAAATACAATATAGGTTGTATGGAAGAAGTTCGAATAGACCAATCAATTAAGTGGGGAAACAACAGGTGCATCTCTTCCATGTCACACTGCGCGTTTCAGCCGCACGCATCTTGCGCACCTGCACGCGTGTCAGAAGTTAGCGCATACATAACAGACATTAATCAAGGCTGTGATTGGTCAAAGCAGCATGGGGCGGGGCTGAATGGATCGGTGGGAATAACCGCAGTGTTAGTTGATTTGATCAACTCTCAATGTGAAGTGGGGGGAGGTAGTTTACCCTGCTGCGGGCTGCGTGTGCTTGCAACTCTCAATGTGAAGTGGGGGGAGGTAGTTTACCCTGCTGCAGGCTGCGTGTGCTTGCAACTCTCAATGTGAAGTGGGGGGAGGTAGTATACCCTGCTGCAGGCTGCGTGTGCTTGCAACGGTACCGCAGGCTATGCTCTGTTGACTGGTTGACTGTGAGTTGCTACGCTCTTTATTGTGCAGGAACTAGCAAAATTTGTTAAATTGGCCAGATGAAGACAATATGAAAAATAATATTGTCATCCGGGTACTTTTACTGACATAATATTGCAGTCATCCGGGTATTTTTTACGAAAGCATACAATACGCTGATTTGTTTTTACCACTGGAAGCCTGATATAAATAATAATTAGTTTTATTCTAAAAAGTGGAAGAAATTGCAGAGGAAATCCATATTATACAAATATAACATGGTTTGTGGGTGGACAGTCGATATTAGCTCTCCAAGGTATTGGAAGTTGACGAATTCATTCCCGAGAAGAAGCTGAGGGAACTAGATTAACTTTCAATACCACGAGGAGCTAATATGGACTTCAACCCAAAATAATCCGGTTGATATTTGTTTTACTACACCTCATACATATTCCCCAAAATGTTTGTCAAATTATGCATCGGTTATCTTGTCAAAATGTTGCTGTGCGAAATGTGTGTACTTTAAGGATAAAGAAAGAGGAGCTTACAAATAGGGCAAATTTGCTCAAGTAGAAAGATGCACCAATCTGTGCTGTAGTCAAGTCCATCACAAGTCGCAAGTCCCTGCAAGTCCATCTCAAGTCCATCACAAGTCCTCCGGTCTCAAGACAAGTCACTAGCTATTTAAATGAACTGTATCAAAAGCATTCCTTCGTCATTGTGACTGGACTTAGGAAAGGACTTGTGACTGGACTTGTGAAAGGACTTGTGATGGACTCGACTACAACATTGGTACCAATATCTAACCACAGAGATCTTGCTAACAAGCACATAATTAAAAAAAGCATATTTGCATTGGATTTTGGTTAAATTAATAAAATATTTCTAGAACTGTGTAGAATTTGCAGGTGTTGTGTTAAACATAAACAATTTCACAATCCTAACCTGTGGTAAAGGTGCAGTAAAACTAGCCCCCCTCGGTGCTCGGTGGAGAGTTCTATTTTTCCTCAGCAGAAATAGAGCACTCCACAGATCACCTTTGGAGGCTAGTTTAACTATTTCATTCAAAGCAGTCAATATTTGTATTTTATACCATGCCTATAGGTCATTCTATAAATTTAGGGTCCACTCTTTTCCTGTCCCTGTTACATCTGGCATCTATGATTTTATAATTCTGATGCACTCCTTAATGCTGTCGTCCTCCAAGAGTGATTATGAATATTGAAGTCATTCTCTATGATACATGTACTTGAATGGCAAGTTACAAAGTACCAAGGTAACAGGGACAGGAGAAATGTCACACGTTGGACCCTAAATTTATAGAATGACTCAATAAATATAGCATTTAGATATACAGGGTCAAGGGATTTAAAAAAAACGAAACCGAGATATTATTGCTAATTGGAACAGAAGTAGGGCACATGTGAATCAAAGGGAGATATCCTCTGTTAGGGTTGAATCTCCTCTTTAAAATGACACCCTGATCATGTCATTACATTCACGGTTGACTGAGCAGCGACTAATTTTATGAAAGGGTCTATTATGCGCCACATTTCAATTGTGGTTTTTGTGGTGTCATTTGTCACAGAGTGAAATTCTATGGTTGCCAATCAAGGCAGGTGGGGAAAAAAGATTTCACCCTGAAAAGTTAGCACAATTCTCTAAATAGACCCTTTCATAAAATTAGTCACTGCTCAGTCAACCATGAATGTAAGGACATGACCAGGGTGTCATTTTAAAGAGGAGATTCAACCCTAACAGAAGATATCTCCCTTTGATACACATGTGCCCTACTTCTGTTCCAATTAGCAATAATATCTCGGTTTTTTTTTTTTTATCCACCCTGTAGTTACAGCAAATGTATTACATTCCTTGCAATAGTTGCCCAACATGTAGTTGGAAAAGCATGGTGGCATGCTCATTGCCCCCTCCATCCATATATTTCTGCTAACAAGAAAACAAATTATCTAAACATGCAACTACAGTGTGCTGTTTATTGCATTACATCTATGCAACAATTTACTCCCTGGTTTCTGCACATTGCACGTCCACACCAGGATTTATTGTGAGTCAAGGATTTGGGATTGTTGGTGAAATTTGCATTAACAATGGAATACATCACCTGATATTGGTTGAAAAGAGGAATTATCTAAAACAAATTCAGAAATGATTTTATTGCACAGTATTTCATTTTAATCTTTTGCACAATTTTGATTTTTGGGGGGTTAGTTTTACCATTTTTGACCTGAGAGTGCAGTCTAGTATTGCAATTACTTTGCTCGTAAATTCTGAAAGCTTGCTTGATATTAATGGTGGTTTGTATTCCCATCAATGGCTATTATTATTATTATCATTATGAATCATTTCTGGTAATGAAACCAAGGATTCCTCAAAAGCGCCCAAAGGCACTGTAGCTTGCAAGCTTGAAGAAGCATGTAGAGAAAAGACAATGAGAAGAGTTACAGTTTTATAGGTGGAAGGAAAACCCCAGAAGAATATTCTGGGGGAAACCACGGAATCAGGCAGGGACTGCAAACCCAATCCACATATTGGCCTAGGTGGGATTCGAACATGGGTCACAGCGGTGGAAGGCGAGGAAAGCACCACTACGCCAACCTGACTCCCCTAAAGGCATATAGGCACATTTAGAATTACCCGAAAAATTAACCTATCGATATAAAGAGAAAATCCTTGCTCAAAGTGAAGATAGGACTGGTACCAAATACCCTGTGAAATTATTTCATCTGAAGTCATTGAAGGTGGTTTAAGAAAAAGTGCCCAAAGGCGCAAAATGCATAGAAGCACTGAGCTGAAACTTCAACAAGTTACTTGTTTTTCCCCCTACTTAAGATTTCCAACAATTTTGTTGCTTCAAACAAAAAAATGCACAAAAACCAAGCGTTCCCATGTACACTTAAAGAGGTTGTGGAATGCTCGAAGACATTTCTGTCATTTTTTCGGGTATATGTACCGGTAGCCTAAGGTGTGATGAAATAAAAACGACTATTGTGTCTGTCATGAAATGAGTACAAAAGGTACTTTTTCATGACAGACACAATAGTCGTTTTTATTTCATCACACCTTAGGCTACATATGCCCGAAAAATGACGGAAATGTCTTCGAGCATTCCACAACCTCTTTAATTACTCTAATGTTGATTAGTAGTAACTACCGGTAGGACAAAATATGCACACTTAACCATGTCATCTCTCTCTCTTGGTATATGGAACTCTCTTTGGCATCAAGCATGCACTACTAACCCCCCTTAACTCTTTGCTCCTCCCCCATTTAATCTTCCATCTCACAGGGTGTCATGAGACAAATCACTGCATGCACTGCCAAACTAGACCAGGCCTCGGTGGCCGGTCACGCCCTCACCAGCTCCCCTCAGGCCACGCCCACACTAACCCAGCATGTAGGGGCGGGGCTTAGAGCTGTAGAGGCGGGGCTTGAGGCTGTCAATCAAATGGCCGTTAGCATACAGACACGCCTCCAGGAGGTGATTAACCAGCAGCAGGTGTATAAGGAGACATTGCAGACTTGTGCTGACTGGTTGCAGGTTGCTAAGGAGGGGCAGGGTCTGGATGAGGCTGACGGGGAGGCGGCTGTTGCCATGGAGACAGAAGGGCTGGAAGATGCTCAGAATCAACTAAAAGAACTTCAAGTAAGATAAAGGGTTATCATTTATGCTATTAAATTGGTTAACAGAGTAGAAACTGAAAATGAAATTTCACTTCACTTTGGTAGAGCAATAATTACTGGCATGAGATTTTTCAGTCTTTTGTCTGAAATCAGACTTTTTGAATCTGAGAGAAAGTTATTATCAGTATATAAGGAAATGCATCTTTCAGATTTTTCATCCAATTTTCAGACTTTTTTTAATTGACAATATTATCCCCGAAAATCTTTTATTCTGAACTGTGTGCTAATGATGTAAAAAAAAATAGAATTTTGTCTGTTCGTCTTTGAAAGACGTTCACATCATAGTACTTTGGACGTTGGAGTTCAGCTGACAGAGAAATTTGTTTTGCAAAAGTTACAGCATTTTAATAGGCCAATTTCATGAAACCTCTCAGCACAGAAAATTGGCAGAATGAAGAAAATATTTCCTGAGCAAAAAACAGGTTACCAGCCAAATTGTAATGTATGGTTTATTAATCTTGAATGGTTCCCAGTTGATATTCACCTATCAAAAAATGCGCTAAGCAACATTCTCTGCATAGCAGCACCCTAAGCAATATTTCTGTTGTGGAGTACTGATAAATTTGGCCCAGCATTGTGGTGCTTGTAAGATAACATGTTTGTCGTTCTCTTAGGCCATGTTGGACACTGCCGTGATGCACAGCCAGCTGGTCCAAGCAGCCGAGGAGAACCTGGAGGACTCCAGTGCCGACCTCTCAACGTCCCAGCTCTCGGCCGACGTCCACCACCAAGTCACCGTCCTCATAGAGACCGTGGAGACCCGCATCAGCATCGTCCAGAAGCTGGGGCAAAGATGGAAGGACCTGGAGGACCGGAAGGCCAGATTGGGGGAGTGGCTTGAGCAGGCCAGGGCACGGGAGGAGGAGGAGAGACTCAAACCTGCCGACGTGGAGGTGGCTAAGGCCAAGTCTCACCTCGATCATATCAAGGTGAGAAAAAGATGACTGGAGAATAATCTTTTGGCTTACACACTCCTTTAATCAAGCAAGGACTTAATTCAAAGACTCCATAAACTCAATGATTGAGTTCTAATGTCGCGACCAGATATCATAAAAATGAGTATTAAGGAATTTTTCATTTATTACTTTTAATAAAACACATCACGATTCACAGCAGGGAGCCAGGAGCAAGCTGTTATCATAATAACATTTAGAGCACTTTTTGACCTGAGACGTTCACACTTTGCTTTTAGTGCTTTCAGTGTGCAGGCATAAATTACGTCAACCAATGTTCCTCATGAGTTATTTTGCTCAGAGAAAAGCCCTCACATGGAGATAAGGCATAACAACCCATGTGACAACCCTAGGTCTTAGATCTGAACTCATGTTACTCCTACAGGACTTTCTTGAAGAGGTCAAATCCAAGCAGGCAGAGCTCTCCGAGATCCAAGCCGAGCGATCCCACCTCTGCCACCGACCCGACCCAGACCTGGACTCTCTAGACCAGGACATCAAGACCCTGGCTAACCTAGTAGAGCAGCTGACAGATGCTCGTCAGACAGAGCTGGAGGATGCCAAGAGTTACAAGGAGGCAAGGACAGCGGTGGAGGAGGTCTTGAATGAGGCGGTGAAAGACATGGACGAGATGGAGAAAGATGACTTCATGGCCACGCAGGAGAAGCTGGACAAATACCAGGTTGGTTTTTCCATCTTAAAATTCTTTTGAAGAAATTGCACCAAACTTTGACAATTTTATGACATCAGTAACAAGTTAATGGTTGTGTACATTTTTCTCAATAACTGTCATGTGTAACCATCTTTGCACACTTCATTTACATCATTGATGCCACGTGAACAAAGTGCATGATTTTGTTAACACAATGCACAGCATATAATTCCAAGTTACATTGCAGTATTTTGGTTACAAATTTAACGTTGTATACATTTTATCAGTAGTCATGTGTGTGACCCTGTGAGAAAAACGAAAGACGTCATTAACATAAGGACATGGCACACTTCATTTACAGCATTGATGACATGAGGACAATATGCATGACTTTCCCAAGACACTGAAAATCTCAAAATTGTTAGATACTTTGCTGATCCTAGGATTCTAAAAGTCCTTTTTTTTAATAATAGTTGAATATGATACTTTTAGTTTTCTTTCTTATATGCATTCAGTGCATTTGGTGTAGTCATGGTCCGAGACTGTATTTGACTTTTTAGACGTGTGCATTAGCTTGAATAGGTGGGCGCGGACATCCAGAGTTTTTTTTACATTGGCTTATCTAGCTCCCAGACCTATGTTTTTGAAACTCAGTGGTTCTTGAGTCTGGAGTGCTGAACGGTAACACATAACAACTGATGAAAACTAGTGTGCAAATATATAGATGTTTTCATCGGATGACGTCAGCCTGCCCCCAGCTGTACAGTATGCTTGAGTTATGCTAGGAAATTCCTGGGTAGCATTGCCAAAGTTCTCAAGACTAGATTTGATTCATCTTGTTGATAGTAACCTCTACCTCCGAGGTGGCTTAACCACGCATGCCAGGAACCAGCTGCATTAGGGAAATAAAACCCAAATCAGTCTTTGTCCAAGGTTATGCATATATGTTGGCCGTCCACTACTGAAAATGTGTGACGAATCTTTGTGAGGGCATGTCTGTGTTATTTTCTGTTTGTTTTTTTGTTTTTTGTTTTTTACACATTGCATCTTGACATCGGTACCTTCATTTGACCTGACAGGGCTTTCGTGGGAAGGTTACATATAGCACCCTCAATGCTCCATGTATGGAGGCCATTGATTAAACCTCAGATCATTGACTACACAACATAAAGAAACAACAACTTTTTACTAAAGAGAGAGCCTTGTAATGCAGTCCTGAGACCAGAGTATTGATTGTCACTAGAGAACATGCATTGATTCACATTGGGCATTTTCTTGAATGAATGTTGAGAATTTTTTTCATGATAAGAAAAAAAGCATCTTTATGAAAATAAACATCTTGAGAGAAGGACACAGTATACATGTATTGCCGGTAATACCTTAGTTGTTTTACAACTAGTGCTATTCCTAACTACTGTAGCACATTTCTCTTGACTATACCTTACACACAGTATGCATACAGCCAGTATTTGACATAACCTCAGTATAAATAATAGGTTTTGTCCTCCACCAACGCATTTTTTTTTAAAATAAACACTCTATACTGTAAAAAATTTTGTCTGAGGACTTGTGAGAAAACATTCACAGATTGCTCTTGTGGGACTCGAACCAAAGACCTCCTGTTTTCTAGTTCAGATGTCTTACCACTCGCCCCGAGCTTGTCAGGGTTGGCTGGCTGGTTCTATTTATATTAAGGAGTCAGATACTGCAGCCAAGTTGGGCTGTGTTTATTAATAAAATACTTTACATCTCTTTGATGCAAATTCCAAATCCCCTATGTATCCTTGATACACCACTGAAAAATCATTGCAGTTACAAGTTTTTGTGAAAAGTAAACATCACATCTTTTTATTTTACATGTATCATCCATGTTGCTGCACTTTGTGTAACTTAAAAGGATAAGCTGTCTTATAAAGGAGCCATAAAACACAGTCTTGTGATACCAACACCAGTACTATCACTTGTCCTCAGAAATAAATTGGAGAAAATGAAGAAATGAAACTGACTGCAGCCACACATTTAATGTTACTGTTGTCACAATTATAGAAACAGAAGAGAGAGCCCCTTTAAGCACTTCTCAGTACTCGGACATCAATTTGCTAACCAACAACAGAAGAACTAAATGTTATTCAGTAGAGTCTGTTTCAAAAGCCTCTTTGTGTATAACTGTTACAACTTAATCAATAATCTTTTCTTCCCTCCATGGGTTTACATGCATTCCTTATTGCATTGATCCTACACATTTAACTTTTCATCGGTAGCAGTTGGATCAATATTTAGATTTGTATTGACTGCCCACTCTAGAAGACAGACATGAGCCATGGTTAGGTCAGCCACTGCAGTGTGCCTCGCTTGTCAAACAAACTCTTCTTATTGGCTTACTTGAGAGACCGGCTTTACAAAGTGGCTTATAGCAATCAACATTTGCATATAGCTGATGGCGCGGGATTGGTCTCGTGGAGGGAAAATTTTGTTTACAATTTGTCCCGGCTGTCATAGTTTGGAGTTACCCACCTCCTCGTTGTAATCTTTGACCAACTGTCTGCTAGGATCATTCAGCATCATGTTTCACAGTGAAGAAAGGCTACAGCTGGATAAATTAACAAGTTTGAGTCGGGAAATCTTATGAGGGAGTCGCTTCAGAGGAGATATCATGCACTCGTCATAGCTACAGGGATTATGCCACCTAAGTTATTGATCAACGTCAAGTAGTGAGATATACATGTACCTACCAAATGTGTTCATGACACATGTATGCTGACAGTGATGCCCTGTAGACAAACTTCAAGGACAAAAAGAGGTATAAGATCAGGATGCACAGTGATGAGTTCCGGTCTAAGAAGTAACTCACAGCTTCTGTATGAGACATTTCCACCCATTGTTGCCATTTTGTTATCATCTACCCAAAGTCAACAAGCAATGTAACTTTCAACCAGATGTCACAAGCCGTTGAGTTGTTTCTGAGTCCACAACAACAGCCATGCACCTGCTAAATTGTTGAACTTTAGGCCAATATGTTGCAAAGTCCAGTATCCAGTAGGTTGTTTTCAGCTATCGATGCAATCTGCATAGAAGACTTCTTCATCAAGTAATAAAACTGTTTCAGAGAGTTACAAGTTCTTGAACTCACATTCCTCTTGTCGACATTGGTTTCGGTTTCAATATCCACGATGCCACTTTATCAACCAAAGGAATTATTTGAGAGAGTTAGAAGCTTCGTAAGGCAGTTTTCTCTTTCCGACTGACGTACAAGATAACTGTGGCAATCATGGGTGCGGCAGAGAGCTCTCCAACATCTCCAACAGGAACCATCCCCCATCTGGGCTTCTCCAAACTTGACAACAAGCAGAAGAGAAGGGTTAGGTTAAAATTTGAAATGCAAATTTGTGTGATATGTGTGCAAGTTATCGTTGGCATTTTTTCACCTTGTAATTAATTACTCTTCCCTCCAAATTTACAGAAGCTTGTGTACCATCAGTTACATGCTGATTTTGATTTTAAAAATATAGATCTTGTCTCTTAAAATGCTAATTTTGATTGTATCTCTTTATAAAAAGGATGACAACCATTTTTGATAGGAACTAAACTTGGGTTAGTGGCAGATAATTTGTAAAAGGAAGGGGCATGTACCTTTTTGTGGGATCAGCTGATTCTCTTGTTTTTGATTTCCAATGTGTGCTATTAAAAATTGAAAAACTGTAGAAAGTCTAGTGCATCTTAGAATTACCTTCTTTTTTAACTCCCAAGTTGCATGTCTGTAACTGTGTTCACTGACTTGTGATATTTCGAGACAAAAATATATTTTTTGTGATGAATCTTGATGACATGCAAGCACTCATGTCATTTGTGATGCGATCAAGCATCATGGTCAATTTTTTTTTTACAGATTTAAAAAGAGCACAATCTCAGCATAATTGCTGTGAAAACTGCATGCCCATACCATCTTTAGTTCAAAAATGATGGTCGGAGCACCAAGAGATGTGATGAAGTGATGTGATGAAGTGGCCCTATTTTGGCCTGTATCTCCAAATAAAAATTCCAGACAAACGACTCATTTATCTTGATCCAGCACATTTGTTTGTCAGTGTGTGACTTTGTACACATACTGATGACCAACCTGAGGCAAAGACTTGTATGTTTTTGGTTGCAATTTATTCTGCATCACATGCCCCGAATGCAATGAAGAAAAGACATCATTGGGCAGAGTGAGGTAACGTCTGATTATGTTTTCTAAGCCCAAGGTGAAGATGAGGCTGTGTGTCAAGACCTAAGAATGGGATGTTGCCATAATAAAGGGTTTCTGTGATATACTAATTAAAAATATTTTGATGAATATTTTTGTTGTTTTTTCTTCCAGAGAACTGCATCTTTATTGGCTGAGAGGACTGAACTTGATGCCTTGAGGGAATCCACGAGACGAGTCTCAGGATCCACCAGCCCCAAGGAGAGAAACGCAGTTCAAGAATTCTTCAGGTAAGAAACTCCACAAAGTGTGTCTGAGGCTTTTACAAGTGAGCAAGTTGGTCTTCAGTGAAAATAAGTTTAATTGTGCGTGTTCAAGTTTGAAATACAGAATTAATTTGCTTTAAAGGCAGAATTAAAACTATGCCCAGGTGACTCACAGGTAAATGTACCTGGGTGGAGAGAGGCAATTGTAGTAAAATGGCTTGCCCAAGAACACAAGCACCGTGCTCCCATGTCCAGGTTCAAAACCCACGTACCAGTCCCACATGAGTTAGACACTGTAACCATTGTACCAGAGCCACTCTACAGCATCTGTAAGGTTAAAATGATTTTCAATCCAAAAACTTTATCAAGCAGTGAGCGAACTTTTTCTGACGACTAATGTTCCTGTTTCTAGTGAGAGCACAGAAAGATGGGTCAGTCTAGGAGAGCGAGCTCGCACAGGCACCCACACACTCCAGCAAACCCTGACAGACTACAACGCCTTCATGGACAAAGCCAAGGAATCCAGGACTTGGTTGAAGGGAACAGAGGAGTCGATTGCCGTGGGTGAGATGGTGGGGCCTGGAGTGGTGGAGGCTCAGGAGATGCTGGATGCTAACCAGGTATGGCTACGTCTGAATTTAGCATTTCATGGCTAGAGCCTCCGGAGCAATAGGCTTCTAAGATGCCAAAACAGCTTAGGAATGAGTAATAGCTCTAATTTTGTCCTGGAAAGGGAACCCTGAATGTTTGAATGAGTTCATAATGTTCTCCTTTTTTCAGGCCATCTGTTCAGACATTGCCAGCAAGAAGGCTGTCTTCCTGCTGATCAGCAGCCAGGCAGACAAACTCTGCCAGGGACTGAGCCACAGGGAGCGGGAGACAGTACAGAATCACATACAGCAGATTGGCACTCACATTGAATCACTGGAACATAGAGCGTCAGAGAGGCAAAAGATCCTACAGACTTGCGTCGTGGAAAGAAGGGTATGCTGTTTATCTTTAAAGCTCTTTCAAATTAAGAAAAGTATCTTCTTTTGGCCAGTTGTGTTCTTTTTCTACTTCAAAATTAGGGTGTTTGAACATCGGTAAAAAGTAAAATCTAACATTTGCATCGATTGCCATTAATTGAAATGCCACAAAATGGTTTAATGTACGGTACTGTACTTGACAGGAATTCTGGCAGCAGTTCCAGGCATCTGCAGACTGGATTCAGGAGAAGGAACCATTGATTCTACACAAGGAGTGCCCTGGACTACAGGTGTCGGCCGTGGTGCAACAGGTCTTTGAAGCAAAGGTGGGTTAATAGTCAGAGTGTTAGTTTACAATCTAAGGTGAAATTTAAAGTTTTCAAATCAACACATTGAAATGATCCAATATGTGAACACAGGGATGTGATTTCTCCGGTTTTTGGGCCTCAAAAGTCCACCAACGTGAATCGTGTGAATCCGTTGAGAAAATAGGGGGGTAGAATGTGCTAATTAATTATTCATAATGAGTTTTGCTTGCCGAAATATCCGAAATTTACTTACGGACATAAACTTCGTTGATTGATATGTATGCCGCACGCACATATTGGACACCCAATGTGAGAACGAAGTTGAAGACCATGCGTTGCCATTAGTGCGATTATGATTTTTCGCTCGGGGCCGAGGTTGTGATTATGTAGGTCTAGTTCCTGTGTCGGTACTCGAGATGCACGTGTTGCGCTTGTCAGGTGTGCAGACAAGTGCAGCATGGTACACTGGTACCCTTCGCGTGCTAACAGAATCAATGCTATGATGAAGGACCGGAACCAGTGACTACTGCAAGTACTCACAGGTTCGTTTTCCGTGCGTATAATCGGCCGAAGTTGGATCGTAAAAATAGTAAATATACCAAACAACCATCGATGGAAAAAGAGGATTTCTGCAAATTAATTCACAGAACGTGATCTTCATTTTCTGTGTATGTATTTTCCATTGAAATGACGAGATTACAAAACTCGAACCTGTGGAGAAACATCGTAACGTGTTTCTGCAGTCCTGCAGAATTTTCGGCCACTTTGGACGGGCCGCCGGCCGTACACAGTGCAGCAATGCACACTATACTGCGCCGGGCCGGCCGTGTGTACGGCGCGATGTTCGGCCGGCCAGACTGAATGTTTGCGGCGCTAGCGGCCGTGATGTACATGTACGTTAAGCATAATTGTGGAATGACCCACCTCAAATATATAGATTTTTAATTAGGTGAGGCAAGTATTAATCACTTTTGATGGCTAGTCTTGATAATTTTTGTGGCGCAAATGAGAATAATCCAGGCACAAAATACATGAAATATAAACGATTCCTTGCTTTACTACAAATATAGAAATGGTGAAATATTTTTTTCCAACAATACTACCGACACTATTTTGAAAGGCGTGTTATCGGAAGCAGAAGTGATTTAAGTTTACAATTTTGATTTTTTTTTTACAAAAATATTACAAGATCTCCTCTGAAATGCTCTAAAATGCACCAGAAAGCTTCTAAAGTTCAAAATTTTTCGGGGCCCTTAAGCGGGCCCCGAACCCACGCCGTGGCTTCGCAGGTTGTTGTAACACAACAAAAATTCCCCTACAGGGTTGAAAAAATTCTGGGGAGAACAGCATGGTTCTCAACTTTGAGTACAGAAAAAACTTTATTAGAACAAGAGTACATTTAAACAAATAAAGGAAAATTCTTCATAAAATGAAAAACAAATTCTGCTTCAGAATTTCAGAGGAAAGTGCCCAGTAATTGCCTCAGATTGCACCACAGAGCATCTAAAATCAAAAATTTTCCCCGGACCCCACGCCGTAATGGCTTCGCGCTTCGCGCTCGACGGAGTTTGCACTTCATGCATAAAATGTTCAGGTTTTTTTGTCACAGACCAATCACATCCCTGTGAACAAAACTCTCTCAAAACACAAATGGAAAGTTCAACTTTATTGCATTTCCCCAACATTTTGCAACTTAATTTTTTTCCTGAGATTTTTTCTAATATGCCTGTGTGAGAGTGTTCTAGAAAATCTGACAAATCAGAAGGAATGATCTTCAAGTTAAATATCTTTTTCAGGTTAATATTAAAAATCTTAATCTTGGTGAAGTTTTAGAGCTCATGGTTAGTTTTCATTTTCATTTAATTATGTTATGTAATCAATCCTAGGACTCATAAATTACATTTTAATACATTTCTTCAGAGAAAATTGTGAAGACGTGTGAGGTAAGCTTATAAAGAAAGACAAGTTATATGCATGCAAAGAAAACCCCAGAGGGTATTTATTCTGAGAGAAAATCCACACAATCAGTTATGGAGTGACTAAACCAATACCCAGGGTGTACCAAGTTGAATTCAAACGTTGGTCACAGTGGTGAGGAAAGCACCACCGCATCAACCACTCTGCCTGGGTAAAGCCGGTTCATACTTGATGCGAATGCGATGCAAATTTGACATCGGGAAGCATTTGCTGCGAAAATCGCCGAAGTTGCAATGTGTTCAACTTTTGCGAATTCGCAGCACGAAAACTTGTCCTGACATCACAAATTCACGTTCGCTTTCATGCCAAGTGTGAACCGGCCTTAAAGCTCATGTTTTGACTGTTAGAATTAAAAGAGCAATGATAATATTAGAAAAACCATTAACAAGTTCAATTTTGTCTTCTTGTGTTGTTCTAGTCTGAGCAAGAGCAGCTGAAAACACAGCATCCACACTTGCAGCAGGTCGTGTCCAAGGGACAAGCACTGTTCCCTCGCTGCACTGAAGAGCAAAGAAATCAACTCCACTCACAGATAAACGGTGGGTAAAACCTCATGAAACTCCAGTCCCACTATCATAGGTTCATAGCATGGGCTCATCGTCGTTGTTGACCTGAACAGAAGATATGTTTCTTTTTAATGAAGCGGACCGAAACATTTTTATGCAAGAAATTTATTACATACTGTTAAATTGTGACATAGTAATGGAACAAGTTCTCAACATTGTTTTTTTTCTCTAAGATTCAGAGACGAAACCTTTCTTAATACTTTGATGGTTGGTTATAACATTTAGGGGAGATACTTTTTATTTCATTGGATGCCAGTTGCCATCATAAGCCATGCTAAATATCTACTGTGAGATTTATCTATCTTAACTTATGCTAAATATCTACCAGAGTTGAAATCGAGTCAATCACAAGTCAATTTCAAGTCAATCAAAAGTCCATTGCAAGTCAATCGCAAGTCAATCGCAAGTCAATTGCAAGTCAATCACAAGTCAATCGCAAGTCAATCACAGGTCAATCACAAGTCAATCACAAGTCCATTGAAAGTCATTCGCAAGTCCATTGAAAGTCAATCGCAAGTCAATCACAAGTCCATCGAAAGTCAATCGCAAGTCAATCACAAGTTCGGTCAGAAGTAACGTGAGATGAACAATGACAAAGGGATGCTTAGTTCATTTAAATAACTTGCGAGTTGACTAGAGCCTGGAGGACTTGTGATTGACTTGTGATGACTTGTGGTGGCTTGTGACTGACTCAATTACAGCTGTGATATCTACTATGAAATGTATCTTTGAACCGGGTCTGTTATTCGTTTTTCTTAAAGCGTAGTTCGTTTTGAACATAATTCATTTAAACCCTGTCCAAATAAAAAAATTTCAAACAAATAATTGTTTTCCTTGCAGATTTGCAGCGGCGCTACAGCACTTTACAGGACACGACGACTGACCGTCTGGACCTACTTGGCAAACATCTTGCCAGGACAAAGCGATTTGAGACAGACGTCGCAAAGATCGAAAGTTGGCTGAGTGCCGGTGAACCCGTCGCTTTCACTCCCATCATCCTACAGTGTCCTCTTGAGGACATGAAACAGCAGCGAGAGCAGTTTCAGGTGAGGACACATTGAAGTGAATAAATCAGGATCACATTCATGTTGATTACTTTAAATGATTATACAGGAACATAAATGAGTTAACCCTAACAATTCCCATTTAGTCAAACTGCAACGCCAGAGTTTTTTTTAAATGTGTTGGAGTGAGTACTGCACTTGTAAACTGACTATGCTTTACATTGGGTCAGGCATACCACCATAATCATTGTGTTTGTGATTGTTTTTTGTAGGACATCTGTGATGATTCCAACACCTACAAGAACCTTGTGGATTCCCTGTGTGCTCAAGCCTCCGACATCTTACCTGAGTTAGATCCCAACGATAAGATCATCATGGAGGAACAGCTGCAGTCCCTGCGAGAAAAGTGCGAAGAGTAAGTAACCTTTCATGACACACTTGGAACATCAAGTCCTGGTAATATTTACTTGGCATACCCCTCATTGTGGGTTCAAGGCCAGCCTGGGATTATGGTGCGTTTGTCCTTCCATAAGACACTTTATCCTGAGCACCAATAATTCTGGAAATGTGCGCTTTATAAATCAGGCATGCAACTTTTCCTTGAATCTACTGATTTCCTAGTTTTTTACTTCTCATGAATGCCATTACAAATTGAAAAACACTCCACAAAGTCTTGTGTGGTTTGGAACATCCTTGTTCTTTCAAACTTTCCAGTTGCATGCCTGATAATAACACATTATTATTATCCCTGACATGTATTACATGTATTTGATGTTTGAAATTTGGTTAATTGATGAATGCCCCTCGTCCCCACCTTGCACCAATAAGACAGCACATTATGCATGAACAAAAAAGTAACATCATTGTCTCTGGACTATAGACTATGTGACATTTGTTTACAAAATTGGATGTTGTGGTCACATGTGGCCAACTTTCAGCAAACTGTTCTGTACTGCATGTGTATCTCTTGAAATATGAATGGTTTAAAAGTGTTGACACGCCCCTCGGTATATTGTTTAATGTGGGCCACATAGCATGAAAACAATGCTTAAATGGATTGCCTGGTGGTTGCCTGTCAGCATGACGTCACAGGACACATGGTCTATATACAAGCTTACTCATTCAACAAAATATCAGGATTAGGGGCCAGTTATGACCAAAATTGTACTTTTTACAAATCACTTTCAAATGGTGTTCAATTTGTGTTACGTTACCTACATGTACCCTCCCTACATTCTAGTTCATGATAAGAGATTTTTGGATATTGAGATCTCCATCTAGAATACGATCTTGTACACAAAATTTGTGGCAGTTTTAGGGTATTTTGAAATTTACATTGCTTGTCCGCTGAATATCAATAATATCTTTTAACTTGTTTTCCAATATGAGCAAACTCAGCTGGGTTGGGTTGGGTTGGGTTGGGTTGGGTTGGGTTGGGTTGGGTTGGGTTGGGTTGGGTTGGGTTCGAGACTAACATATGAAGAAAAAAAATAATTTGTCACAAACTATCTCTACACAGCTGTAAATTGTTTAGAAGAAGAGTTATCATGGAGAATGCTTATAGAGTGTGAATTGCATACTGTCTTTCTTATACACAATTTGTTTGCCTTTTTACGGTTGATAATATTTGTGGTTTTTTTAGATAACCGATAATTCATTTTGAAAAAGCCTCTCACTTTAAGTTTGAAAATTTGCTTTAAAAACACATTTTGTTACTGTGACTGTAGAGTGAGCACCAAATCATCCGCTAAGCAGTACCACCTTGCAGACTCCATCCAACAGCGGGAGGCTTACGAGGCACAGCTTGCAGATCAAGACACTGAGCTGGCAGACCTGCAGACCCTGACTAAACTTCTGGAGGATCCAATCAGTCAGGATGTTGAACGGGCCACAGACCAGCTACAGAAGGCCAAGGTTAGTTGTAGTATCAAACACAGAGTTTGTTAATCTCAGAGTTGGTAGAAATTTGAACATTTTGAAGAAGATAGATCTGGGAATGGGTAGTTTTACCTTGTTAAATTAGTGGTTATCTGTAAATATATTAATTTCATTGATTTAGATAAAATTAGTTTGAAAGATTGTAACTGTAGACTTTGTTCCTTTGTCCTTTGTTACAACTGATTATGTAATAACCAACGGATAATGTATGACCAACCGATAATGTCACATAAATTGACCAATACTGTATCACTAACTGATAATGTAACACAAAATTGACCGATAGTGTAGTAAATGTTACTACACTATCAGTCAATTGTTTTTGCATTATCGGTCCTAATCGATAATGTAACAAAAATTGACGATGATTTTTTTTTTCATTTGTTAGGTAGGTATTTTACTATTCAGAATCACTCTTGGAGGACAAATTTATTAAGGAAGGCATCAGAATTATAAAATCCTAGATGTCAGATGTAAGAGGGTTTGGAAAAAAAGTGGACCCCAACTTTATAAACTTACTCATTTAAGTATAATTGAGACATCAAATGATCTCGTTTCCAGGACATCCAAGCCAAAGTCTTGAACCAGCAGCCCAAGATGGACAATCTCCACGACAACCATGCTGCCATGGCAACCAATGGCCAGGTGGAACACACAGACGACGTCTCCCGATTGGACAAGATCTATGAGGACTTACTCAACCGGACCTCGTCGAGATGCTCGGCGACGGAGGAAGCAGTACAGGTCAGGGAGGCTTATGCTGATAACGTCAAGGATCTACAGGATTGCCTGGAGCAGTGTGCCAGCGAGATGCCAGCCCTGCAAGAACCGGGGATGGTGACCGAGGAGAAACTGGAGAAATGTCAGGTATGTATCCAAGTGCTGAGCCAAAGGCTTAATGTCTATCTATTGAGGCATTTCTTTTGTTCAATAATTCCCTTTGAAATCCCTGGTGTGCTCAGTTGTGAGATTTGTCAGGACTTTTCCTGATTCCAGGGGTTTTTTTTGTAAGGAATTTTCCCTGATTTCATGATTTTTTGTTAATTTTTGTCCTGATTTCAGGATTAAAAAAAAAAAATCCCTTTTGAAATCTGGAACTGCTGAGGTTTTACAGTAGAGGTGTTTTCACCTATAAAAGTTTGTTTTGAAATGGGTATTTTAAGGTGTTCCTTTAGGCAAATACCAACATACACATGTACACCATAGACCCTATGTTGCTCTGGGGCCCTCAGCAACCCTCAAACCATCTGCTGACAGAAAAGTTTTATGAATTTGTTACAAATATCAGTTGTTCAACTGTCCCCCCCCCCCCTGACTAAAATTGCTTGGGTTAAAATGTTGTGTCTGAAATTTGCACATTATCGCCCTTTCATTGGCTTGTCTGAAATAAAGCCATTGTGCAAATCCCGGACAATTTGTCCCAAATCAAAGAAATTTTCAGACATTTTGGCTTTCTAAGTATCAGTCTCATTTTGGTCTTGTTGAGGTCAGAAGTCCGATTCTTTTCTCATAACCTTTTTTTAAAGTGTGATCTGTTTTCACAAAGTGAGAGTAAAGTTCCAAAAAACAAATTGTGAGATTTTAGTACCATTTCATTCAGCAAAACAAGACCTTAAGCTTTCTGAAAATGCAAAACTGTTGTCATTAGTGTTCTAATAAACTAGAAAGGAACTCTTACTTTTAGAAAGAGACAAATGAAAAGAGTTACGCAGAATTCAGAAAGGCCTTTGCTAAAAGGAATTTGAATAATTAATTTTTCGGAGTGAGTCAGAAACATCTGTCACTTTGATGATGCCTTGAAGAAAATATTAAGAATAGGTAATTTGTTTATTGAAAAAAAACACAAGAAGATGCGGGAAATTTTTTTTTATAATCGTTCGTACCATGATTTTTCCTAGGCCCTATTAGTAAAACTTGACAAACAGCTACCCACCCTGACGACTCTGGACTCTCAAGCCCAAGACATCATCCAAACTGCTGACAAGACTGACCACCCCGTCGTCACCGCCACCAACCTCAAGCTCAAACAGGACCTTAAGGCCACCGTCGACAGCCTGAAGGAGAACCAGCTGGTCTTGGAACAGATGAGAAGCGACAAGGAGGATTTAGGGAAGGAGGTTGATGGGTGTTTGGCACGACTAAAAGAGGCTGATAGGGAGATGAGAGAGACGAGTCCCATTGGCTTGCCAGTAGAGAGCGTGGAGGAAGAACTTAACAAGCATGAGGTCAGTTCAGAATGGACTCTGTTCATGAGCAGTGGATAGCACTTAGTGACCACAAATGAGAGCTCCAGTGGGAGGCACACATTGCATGTATGCACTGAATCATGCGTTTACTGCGGGAAGCACAAAGAAATAATTTTATCCTGAATGTCCACAATCCAGGTATACAGCCTAAATGCATGCAAAGAGTTCCTCCAATAGTCTCTCCAAACTCTATCTTTGTAACCATCGAGGGGATACTTGTGCACAGAGTCCTTAGATTAATTTTAAGTGTTTGGCAACTATATGCCATTTATTTATTTATAATCCTCACTACAAAAGAAAGCACTGAGGCTCTCCATGTCGATGCTTATTTGAAACCAGTATATCAAACTTTGGCTATAATGGAAATCCCCTTTGTTTCCCAAAGTATGTACAATTTTACTAAGAATCGGTGGCCCAAAACTACCGGTAACAATGACAGCTCTACCCAACAGTCTTTTCTGGACCTTGTTGTGTTTAATAAAGCAACATTCTACTGTTATAGCAAAGAAAATTTACATAGCCCTGTGACATGAACGTGCCATTATATATTTGTGATGTACTGTCCATCCAAACGGGATGTCATCTTAGTTTGTACATAAAATCTTGAAATTGTACATAAAATGCTGAAGCTAAAGAAATGTAAGTTATTATCTGAATGTTCAGTAAAGCAATATGCATTGTAGCACCGTTATATTGTATGATGTTCTTCAGTGCAAATCCCCAGTATTTAAGTAGATCTCTCCAGCAACCAGTCCAGAAGTTAGACTATTAAGAACATTCATCTAGGGTCAATTTCTTTTTGGATTCAGCTTTCACAGCCACCTCTCGACAAGCAGCTCCAGCAAGCCCAGGCCCTCATTATCAGCATCAACGCCAAGTATGCCGAGCTCCAAGAGCCCATCCCCGCTACCCTCCAAGCGGACTTGGAGAAGATGGATGCCTTACACTCCCAGCTCCTCCACGCCACCAAGGAGAAGGCTGGCAGGCTTCAGGAGGCGTTGAGTCTCAGGGAGGACCTGGAGAGAGGACAGGAGGCGGTCAGGGAGTGGCTGGATGCTGCCGAGGAGAAGCTACTGGAGGAAGAGGATGGAGTGGATTTTGAGAACGGACACGACCAGCTCCAGAAACACAAGGTGGGTGAACAGGCATATTCGGACCATTCATCACACGCGACCCAACCCAACAGAATGAGTCTGACGTCTGCTTGTAATTATAAGCCCTTAAACCTTGCACTATGGTAATCAATTGGCATTGTCAATGTTTTCGTCCAAATAATGTCCATATTCCCCAGGCTTTCAACCTGAGTGAGATACATCAAAATGATAAGCCAAGTACGCACTTCTTAATGCATATGAAACACTAAAAACAGAAAGACTTTTCCGTGTTCATGGGATTTTGTCTTACATTTGTCTGAACAAAACCTGATGTGCTCAGTCAACATGTGACCTGCATTTTAGAATAGTAAAAGAATTGCACATGCTGCATGTGACAGTTCAAAATTGATTGTGCCGTTTCCCTCTACCGGTCTGCCAGAGCACTTTATGTGCCTGTTCTTACCCACTCAGTGGCAGTTATCCGTATAGATTGAATTTCATGTAGCAACTGAACAGGAAGTACTTATTGGGCAAATTTTCATGCTGAGAAAAATCGACTGAATTTGCGCAATTAATGTACTTCAAATTGCATTTTAAATAGTAACCTTTTAGGCCACTTAGCTAAAAGCATAAGTTTTGTAATGGCTTTGTTTTGTGTCAAGCAAATATGGACAACTTTCTACCCCTTTTTCAAGTTAGGATCATTTTCATACCGTGGCTAAAGAGAGAATTTTGCTTGGAATGCTTTCGTGCTTAAGATCAGCCTTATCTGAGTAACTTAATATGTCGCCCTCAGTTGATATCCTATTAATTGCATTGTCTGTGAAAATGTTTAAAGCCTTCGTCTTCTTTTTTCTTCTGAATCAGCTTCTCTTTGCCAAGGAAGCAATCTGCCAGAGCAAACTGGACGAGGTCCAGGACATTGCCGAGAAGATCCTGCCATCTCTCAGCCCAGAAGATGCCGCTAAGCTGAAGACAGACCTCAGAGATCTTGCCTCCCGGCTAGCCAACACGGCCAGCCGAGCCAGGAATGTCGAAGAGCAGCTCCAGGACGGCGTCAACAACTGGCAGGACTTCCAGGCCGGTGCGGCGGAGCTGAAGAGCGCCCTCACTGGTCTAGGAGAGAGAGCTTCGTACCAGTCGCCGACTAGCTTGGCCGCAGCCAGGGACAACGAGCAACTCAGTCAGGTAAGATGCTTGTTGATTGCTAGTTGAAAATCACACGTCTCTCATACATATTGTAAATGAGGAAAAGTTTGTGCATGTTTAATGGACTAATTTTCTTTGCTGGTTACCATATCTTATTTAAGTTATCAAAGGTATCAGAAAAATGTTAATAGAGCAGGATTTTTTTTCCATTCCATTGCTCTATGTACTAAGCCATTCAAATCCAACTTCAATCCACTATATTTTGTTGTCTGAAGACTGTATTAAAGGTACAGTCCATCATTTGTAATTTGTGCTTTCTCAAATTGCATTCTCTTCAGATGCACCGTTGGAAAGGCCTTTTTCGTTGATTTTTTTTCAAAATGACAGCATGCCAGAAAGAATAATTTCACAGGGAGTTTAGTTCCCGTACTATCTTTCAACCAAGTATGTTTTTCAACAATAATTATGTCAGTTACTTGTTGGTTAGCTGCAAATGATGGACTGTAGCTTTAATCTCATAAAGTTAATTCCTTTTTTTTTTTTAAGTTTCGGTTCAAAAATTAAAGTATCCTCTATTTGTATTCATAGCTATAATTTTTCAGGTTTTGCTTTGTATTACAGAACAACTTTTGTTTAGTTTATTTTTTTTAATTAGAAGTTATACCCTGGCCCGATATTATGGATTTTCAGGAAATAGCCGAAGTGATGCAAACCACGAAGAACCAACTTGATTCCCTGAAACAGCAAGCTGAAATATTGGACAAGCAGGGGAACGAACCGGGCAAGGCAGCTGTCCAGAAAAGGCTTCGTGACCTGGAGGGCTTGGCAGACAGGCTGCAAGACCAGGCATCCACTGATGACCAGAGGATCAAGAGACAATCAGCAGGCTGGCAGGATTACCATCATGCTTTGCAGGAGGTCACGGAGGTCATATCAGTTGCAGAGAGATGCTTGCCTGTGTCGGTTTCGCCAAGCGTCGGAAACGAAGACCTGATCGGCAAGCTGGATGCTGCAAAGGTGGGATATTATATTGTCAGGAAAACGTTAATGCTTTGTTATGATTAGTCAGTGCAACTGCATGGTACCATAGTTCAGAAAAGTGTGAAGCATACGCATCAAATACTGGACTTTTTACTCTGTAGCCCTACCAATACAACACAGTTCATCATGTGTAGTTAGTCTGTGCAGGGTTCTCACGGTCATGGAAAAATCATGGAAAGTCCTTGAAAAAGTCATGGAAAAGTCATGGAAAATTGGAAAAATAAAAAAGTCATGGAAAAGTCATGGAAATCAAGATCATGCATGTAAGGCTTATTTTTGATGGGCCGTTTTAAGGATGGCTGTAAGGGGAGGAGGAGGCCATTATTCATTACAACTTATTTTCAAAAGCTAACAAATGGTCAGCCTGACATCAGCAGTTCATCAGTATTGTAATACCAAACAACTTTTCCTTGCAAAATGGCGTTAAATGTCATGGAAATTGTCAAATTTTAGTCCTGAAAAGTCATGGAATTTAGTTTTCAGATTTCTGTGGGAACCCTGTCTGTTGGGACCATGTTGCATTAGGCCATAGCTTCGTTGAACAACCTCCAACACCTTTACAGAAAGTGCCAATTCTGAGAAACTAGCAGCTAGTTTTGTTGAACAATGTCACTGGAGTCTCCTGTAGCAGTTGGCAACACATTCTGGCGTAGTTTGGCCTTGAGAGTTTTGTCAAGTTTAAACTGGGAAGGCTTCTCACTTTGACAGGTCAGGAGGTTTAAGGTTAATAAAGTAAGCAACGACAGAAAATTCCTTATTGATTAAATTGTTGCTGTTCTGATTTGATTTTAGGAGAGTAATGCCAAGATTGTCGATGGGGAAACCAACCTCATGAGACTACAGCAAGCTGGTCAGAGGCTACTGGAGGATCTTGATGATCCTAGACTCTCTGAGCCAGTCAGAGAGGAGATGGCTGCTGTACAGGACAAACACGACAGGTAGGATTCTCAAACTTCTTGTGCTGGATATTTGTTCAGTGGACAACTTGTGTTAAGATGGGTAACCTGTCTTTAAAAAAAAAAACAGAATTACCAGTGTCTTGAGTACCTAATTGTTGGTAGATACGTGCGCTATATAAGACTCCGTTATTGTTATTAGTAGTAGTAGTAGTAGTAGTAGTAGTAGTGGTAACATTCATGGGGTTATGCTTTTTGTTGTGCATATTGTGTGAAAATGATCTGTCATTAACATAAACAGTTTGGTTAAAATGGCTGCAATTCAAGATGTTTACCCCCTGGGCTAGTGTGAATGCTGCACGAGCATTAACTGTAGTAGATACAATGAGTGCCAATATTTATACAATATTGGATGGCTTTGTGGGCGATACAGGAATATATTCGACTCGTGCAATAGTGTTTGTAGCGAGTACAGTATATTCTTGTATGCCCCGAAAATAAAGCCATCCAACATTAATATTATTATTAGCTGACTAGCTTGATCCGCAAGAAATACATTTCAGGACACAGCCTTTATTTCTCAAATTTTGTTGAATTATCATGCCACTCGAGGCTAGTTGTGGTTGTTGATAAAAGTGCGCATATACCCTGCTAGTGCTACGCGCTGCATCTGCGTGCCATTTACTACACTCTGTTGCGCGTACACCCCGCTAGTACTGCACAGTGCGTCTGTGTGCCACTTTCTATGCTCTAGATTGTGCAGGAACCAGCAAAAATGCCTGGATGATTGCAATAACAATATTATTGCAGTTATCCAGGCACTTGATTGACATAATATTGCAGTCATCAGGGTACTTTATTGACCTAATATTGCAGTCATTCGGGTATTTTTACGAAAGCATACAATACGCTGATTTATTTTTACTACTGGAAGCGTGATATAAATAATGGTAGATATGTGTACATTTTATGATATGGTTGACTTAAAGGGAATATACATCATTTGCTTTTGCTGTAATTTTCAGAAATGGATGGAATTGGGGGGTTGGAAATATAAAGCAAATATAGTTACACTGACTTTTTGGAGGTTTTGGGTTCGAAAATGCTATAAAAACCAAGAAAAACGATCATTTTCCTGTAGTCTGGTTCCCTGACTCCATAAAAGAAGAAACAGAGCAGTTAACATACATTAGGGAATTGTAAGGTCAGGGAACCAGTCTAGCTGGCTCGTACCCGTTCATAGGTTTGTAATCGATTGCAAACAAGTGCAATGGTCAATTGGGGCCAGTATTTGAAAAAAAGCCAGTTGTTTCCAACGCTGATCGGCCGATCAGCGTTGGAAATTGATACAAAAATACCACTTTTCTTGAAAATGACAGTATACCAGGTGCCATAATTTTACAGGATGCTTTAGACTGTCATTTACCAACATCCTATTAAGGTATTTCGCAAAAACTTGGTAGTTTTATTTTTCGATGTTTGCAAATGTTGTATATTCCCTTTAATATATTTCCACAGGTTACAAGCCGCAGCAGCTGAGACGGAATCCTCCCTGGAGAAGGAGCTCGAGGACAGACGAGTCTTTGCCTCGCAGGTGGAAGATGTCTTGAAGGATCTGAACCAACTCTTGAGCAGACTGGCCGAGCTGGTCCAAAGCGTAGGCCCTGAACTGAAAGATGTGGAAGAGAAGATGAACAGACAAAAGGTATAACTATAAATTTGAGATGAGTTTTAGGGTTCTGAATGACTTTGAAGCCCTATCTTATTAACCCCTCTGCTGTCTGAGCAGTCACAGGCAGTCAATCAATCCATTCTCTTCCCCTGCCATGCCTTTATACATAGGCTTGTCGCCAACAATCAGATCCTATTTCATGTAGGCACTGTGACAGACAAAAGCAAGTAACTGGTAGGTACAGCTGGCTTATCAAACTCCTATAGTCAAAGCATAGCTGTATAAAATTACATAAACCGTCACAGCCAGCTATCCTGTGTAATAAAGGGTAGGGAGAACTCAACTGTTACAAGCAGTTACCTGATTTAGTGTTAAGTTGGGATGACGTTGTTGAATTTGCCAGACAAAGAGGGAAGGTTAAGGCTGCTTATTGAGTGTTTATCGCTGTTTTTTACTGACTATTCGGGATTTTGTTCATTTTTCAGGTTTTTCTATTTGTCTTATGTTTGCTGCTATGCCTTTTATTTGCCTTGCAAAAAAGTTTCTGCTTTTTTTTCATACCATTAATTAGGACAAAATGTTAATGATTTGGAAAAAGTCAAAAAAGTACAGCACACTCTGTAGGATCAGTAGATTGAAAGGTGATTTTAATCAAGAATTCGAAAGACTGCATGAGTATTCTTATTTCATTTTAGGATTGTTCTCTTGACCAACATCATGTTAAAAGCATTGTACAGGGTGAGTAAAAAAAAAAATCCCAAATGCCGGGACCATTGTTTTAGTGAAGTTCTGCATGCAGCACTTTCAAACTCTCCCTAGGATATGAAAGCCCAATTCATAAGCTTTCTTTTTGTATAAGAATCATTCAAATCACTCATGTTCTTTTCAAGTTACAGAGTTTTAAACACAGCCACCGTTTTAAAGCTCTGTCCACGGATCACAAAAAAGGTGTGTGTTTTTTTCAGGAAAACGAAAACAATTCACACACATCCTTATGTGATTCGTTTTTGATTTGCTGAAAGAAGACTGAACTTTTTGTGATCCGTTGACAGAACCTTAAAACGGTGGTTGTGTTTAAAACTCCGTATAAGTGATTTGAATGATTCTTGTACTAATAGAAAGCTTATGGATTGGGCTTTCATATCCTAGATTTTGAAAGTGCTACATGCAGAAGTTCACTAAAACAATGGTCCCGACAGTTGGTTTGTTTTTTTTACTCACCCTGTATTTACTGTGTTTTCTGACTGGGAAATTCACATCAGAAATAAGTTTTCCAGTATTGAAATCAATTACATTTGATCCATTTCATCAGTTATAGTGCTTAAAAATATCCTTCCTGAGGATTGTTTGTCATTAAATGCAATCCCCTCTTTCATTGTCAGGAGTCTAAGTATTGAGTATTGAGAAGATAATGAATCATTTGTTATTAATCCAACAGGACATGGCAGATGAGCTGAGCGCCTTGAACGAGGCATCTGAAACCCTAGCCGACACCCAGCAGTCCAAGTACGACACCCTCCAAGCCACGCCCCCTCCAGAGGTGGCCGAGGAGATCGAGAAGCTCCGCCTCCAGCAAGCCCAGATCGCCGAGGCCATGAGGGATGCGGAGAAGAACCTGGAAGGGGCAGAGACGCTGAGGCAAGACTTCAGTGACAAGGCGAAGAGGGTGGAGGATATCTTGGGAGAAGTGGCGGGGACTGTGCAGGAGAGGGTCGCCGATGTGCCTGAAGGAAAGAGAGCTACACAGGTATGTGATGCTATTTTTTTTTTTTTACGGTTTGCCGTTTTCTTGCATTATTCTGAATTTTTGAAGAGGTGCATTCAATTCTAAACCGGCTGGCTGGCAGTTGCAATCAATGTAGGATTCCCTTTCTCAAAGAACATTCAAACTAAAGAGTCACTGACTGATGTGCTTAAAAAATACTTGGGTGTATAATCGCGGATAGAGTTCCAGTGCCTTCAACTTTGTTAGGCCCCAAAAGGCCAGCAATTGTCAAACATGTTTATTTTTTAAAATAAATAAGAAATACATGTTATTACTTAAGTTCACAGATAGAGTTCCAGTCTTTTCATTCTTGCTTGGTCCAAAAGGCCAGAAGTTTTCAAATGTCTGATTTATGGAAATATGGAAAGCCTGATGCACTCTTTGTCATTCAAAATGAATCAGTCAAATATTTAATTTTTTATGGTCAAAAAGGCAGTTGAGATTATTGGAAATATTACTCTTTTTAGCTCTTTCCTTTTCAATACTGTATTTGCTTTTACAATCTCTTCTTTCTAAACATACCAGTCATAAGAGATGTCACTAGTCACCTTTAGATCTGTTTTAAACCCTTAAGCTTGAGTAATATGTTATGCTTCAATTAAAAACAAAATTCATGGAACAAAACTGTATTTATTTTCTTGATTTTGATGCACAGGAAGCTCAGGAGACCCTTCAAGAAGCCAAAGCTTTGCTGGATGTCCTCCATCACCAGGCTCACAGCCTGGCAGACCAAACCAATCAGCCGGTCGAGAAACAACGGGTCGTCGCCACGGTAAACGACCTCCAACAACAGGTCACGGAAGTGGACAGGTCCGTGTCTGTAAAAGTCACCGAGCTGACGGAAGCGGTTGCATTATGGGACGAGTACCACGAGGCCCTGGACAATGTGGCCTCGTGGGTAGCTGAAGGGAGCAATGTCACTGAACCTGAACTTGTCATGACGAGTCCGCAGGTCGTACAGTCTCAGCTGGATTCACATAAGGTTTGTAGATTTTGTTCCATCTTCCTTTGATCAGCAGATTCTTAATTATGGTTAAAGAATTGGGCGTCAATATTTTCTTGTATTGAATATCTAGGTGTCCAACTTGGCTGACGTTTTATGCTTTTGACATGCATTTGCACAACAAAACGGAGTAAAATAGTCTACGGGGTGTCCAAAAGATACCTCTTGCTGAAACCTTGTTGCTCAGTCCTGATGAACAGATCAAAACAAAGGTGTACGATTATAAACTGATGAAAGAAGTTCAATTTATTTTTACATATGGAATTGTAGCCTTTAATCACCAAAGTGTCATTACATGAAAATAAAATTTAGGTTGCAAGGTGAATACAGTGCTAAAACTATTTCACAAATACTTCATAATTACATTCCATGAAGTACATGTGGTTACCAGGTTATGAGTAAATGGGCACAGTTTAAAGTCAGATGTTGAATTACCAATGAAACCTGTAAACACATTTGCAGTTGTCAAGTTTTTAATTTTTTCCCCTTTTAACAGAATGTCTTAGCTGATGTTCCAGACATCACTGACAAACTGGACACCCTGACCTCAACCACGGCAGCCCTCTCACACGTCTGCGACACCCAAGATCTCTCCCAGAAGGCATCCTCTGTGTCCGAGCAGGCCGGCGAGATGGAAGCCATCACGGAAGAAAGGAAAACGGTCCTGGAAGAGGCTGCTAAACAGTGGGAGGAGCACAAGGAGGAGATAGGGGAGTTGACATCTGCCGTCTCACAGGCCAAAGCTGCCATGCTTGCTCCTGAGCTGGAGACTAAAGGTCTTCGTCAACAGATGAAAGCGCAAGAGGTGGGTTACAATTATAAATAATTGTAGTAATCATAATATGTGGTGCTTGTATAGTATTCCAAATACCATCTCAGCTCCCTGGGGAGTGTTACAGCTCGATGCTGCCATTTCGGCGCAAAGCAGCTCAAATCAACCACAATAACCATCTCTGCCCTCACAGGTACCCATTTACTCCTGGGTGGGGAGAAGCAATGAGTGACAAAGTGCCTTGCCTAAGGGCACACGCACCATAGCTGTAGGACTAACGTAGAGTACCCCTTACTACCTAGACACCTCTCCTCAATCCTTCAAAATTCTCCATTGTGCAGGAGAACAATAAGGAGCAATTTATTCTGAACATACATGAAGCATCAGGCACATTTCCAAAACGTGATCAATGCCATTTTGTTACCTTTTAGATCCCACTCTTTCCTGGCTGTTTCTTTCCTGGCTGCCCACAGTCAGTTTCAACAGGTTTTATGTAGTTCGGCACAATTTAAGAAGCAAATAAAGCAAAAAAATGAAGTTTACAAACTGCTGTTCTATTTGGGTTTTTTCCTTTAAACTTTGTTAAACTTGCAACTTGTAAACTTTTTTTCAAATGGATATATCGCTTTTGGAAATAAACACTTCAAATTTTGGTATGTTTACAAAAATAAAATCCTCAAGCAACAAATTGATGACTTGATAACTGACCATTTGCCATTTTTTTCATTTCATAATCCTTTATGCTGCAAATGTTCAACAAACCTTTGTTTCTTTTATTTCAAGGATCTCTTGACAGCCCTGGAAATGTGCGAAGCCAGAGCAGAAACCCTCAACGTCCGACACGCCTTCATAGTCTTGTCAAAACCTTCTGCAACTATGCCCACCTCGCCCAGCTATGCCCAGGAGGTCAGACCTAAGGTCAAAGGTCAAGAGGTCACTGACCCTCAGCTGACTGAGCTAGCCGGAGAGTTGGAGCAGCTTCATCAGATTGCAGACGAGCACAAAGAAAAACTCAGGGTTGCTCTTATTCAACAGGTAAAATGTTTTGCGAGAGTTCTAACCCAGACGTTGAGTAACCGGAAAGTAATGTTGAAAACATATAGGATCATTTGCTTTTTGATCGTTTCCAATAATGACACCCCTCAAAATCCAAAGGAGAATGTTCAAAACCTAACTTGTTGAAATTTCAGCTCAGTGGATATTCCACTTTTTTAGAAAACTGTGAAAACCATGCACCTGTTATCAAGAAAACACGATTTCGTCAGTAGCATTCTTTCTTCCAAAAATTAGTCAATTGACTGATCATAGGAAATCTCCTACATTTCTTGATGTTTTTATAAATGAGAGCAAGCCAGACAGAATAATTTCACGGGGTTTTAATACCTCTTTACCAAGCTTTTTAATAATAATTTGGTAGGTTACTTTTGGGATAAATGCAAATGATCCTATATGCCTTTGAAAGTCCAAAAATTATTTTCCCCTGTACTACTCTTACCCTTTTTTTACCTGTTCCTTATTTAAATGCATCATTTAACTCCATTTTAATGTTTACACAATTGTGACCTTACTTGTGTTTGATATGTTGGGTGCATTGTGGCTCATTTATCTTTGTACAGTCTGTTTTACTTTTTTGCATGCATTTATTGTTGAAGGCATCTGAACTAGTAAGGAGGAGGTCATGGATTCCAGTGGCTCTCGAACAAACTTAAGATAATTTTCTCACATGCTCGCAGACAACACTGCGTGTACAGTGTTTGTAAAGTTAAGTCGGTGGAGAGCATTTTATATTGGGTTTTTCCTTCGCAGACTTGTTTTACAAGCACTGTATTATCAATGTTCCCTGTGGACTTTGGAGAAAAATTCATGGAAAGAATGTTGCAACCTGACGCTACTTTTTTTCTGCATATATCATCTCAATGAAGGTCATTCATTGCAAAAATGGTGATAAGACATGAATCTGGGACTGAGGAACATTTCCAATTTTTTAAGGAAATACTTAATGGCGTCAGGTTACAACATTCTTTCCAAAGTCACAAGCTTATTCGATTGGGACGCGAACCCACGATCTCCTGCCTACTAGTGCAGATATCTTACCACTCGACCACCAAGCCGGCCGGGGTCAGTGGGCTGGTTCAAGTCGGATGTAGCAGGGGGTACTGCAACTAATGTACCTTTTAAAAAGTTCGGGGAAAGCAAAAAATATTAAAATGAGTATTTATTGTTTCAGGAGGAATATGATGATCAGTTGGAGATCCTGGTGACCAAGATAAAAGCAGCCCAAGACAAGATGGCGTCACCCGTTGAGCCAACAACTATGGAAGAGATTAAGAGGCAGCTCGCTGAACATGATGTGAGTGTAAAAGATTCAGCTTTGTGGTATCAAACTGTAGCTTTAGAGTTTTGCTATCTGTCTTACGATGTTAAACAGTTGTTACACATCTTGTTTAAAGAGCAGCTAGAAATACATTTAAAAAAATGTTTCCATCTTTAAAAATTACACACTAAGGCACATATACAAATACATAGATTTTAAACATATCAGTCTTTATAATTAGTTGCTTGACTTGTTTTAGTGAACGCTATATGAGAATGCATTATATTTTTGCATTATATTTTAGGAGATATTTTGAAAATATTGGTATACTTGTAAATTATTAACTAGATTAATGGGCTTTTCAGGATCAAATTCTGCTTTCCTTCATGCAAGAATATAAACTAGATAATATTTTCATTTATTTATTACAGGCTTTGGCGGCAGAAATCCAGACATATGAAGATGAGATCATGGAACTGAATGAGAAGACAGAGAAGCTTCGTGAAGAGGCCGGGGCTAGAATGGCCTCCCAGCGAGCTTCCTACGCCAAGGTCAATCCTCCACTTCAGTTCCTCACAAGGCCGCAGTTTGGCGTGCAGGCCCAGCTGATGCGAAGAGGAAGCCCTACCATGCTTCCTGGTCTGTTCCCAACTTCCCAGGATGTCCCTGCAAGTGTTGTTGATGGGGTGGGGCCATTGAGCCCCAAGATGGTGGAGGACATTGAGAAGGAAGATATGTCTGATGTGGAGGACCAGCCACTATCAGCTTCACCAACTCTTGCAAAGGTTCCACAAAGGCCTGATGTTACTGAACAAGCTCCTCAAAGTCCCACTGCGGAAACACAGGAACCAATGAAACCACAAGATGAGACGAAGACTCAAATAGTCACAGATAAAGGCTTGGCATATATTTTAAGGCCTCTCCACGATAGTACAGATACTATCAGTGGTTCAAGCCCCTTAACTGGCTCATCAAGCATCACCCCAGGTGGAGGGGTGGGACAACCTCTCCCAGCACCTGACTTTGTTGTTGTCCAAGAAATGTATCCAGATGAGTTACCAACTGTGATTGCAGTAACATCAGTTCCAGGAACTGACAAGCCACTCATAATTCAGGATCCCAGGACTGGGCAACTCATGGCTGCAGAGCCTGCCGAGAACCCAGAAGACCTCTCAAATCAGCCGACTGCCTACATCCCAGAGTCTGGCAAAGTGATGATCTTAATTCCAAATGAGAATGTCGCATTAGAAGCTTGCCCAGTTGAAGAAGGTGGTGTGTTGCCTTCCCACCCTGATGACTCAAAGCAGACTGATGGTCTTGAATACCAGCCGCCAACAGAAGCTAAACCTTTGCAATTGGAATCAAAGAAGACACCAGAGCCACCTCTCCAGAAACAGGTTGTTACAGACAAGGGCTTGGCCTTTGTCCTGAGACCACTTGAAGACATTGAATCAAGCACAGGTGTTCCAAGTCCCTTGTCTGGGATGGTTGGCATTGCCCCTGATGGAGGTGTTAGTCAGCCGTTGCCAGCTGTAAATTATGTAATGCTGGATGAAGCTCAGCCAGACAATTTACCTGTTATTTTGGGATCGGAGTTTGTGCCTGTGGCCGAGAAACCATTTGTCATTGAAGACCCACAGACAGGACAGCTCATGATTGCACAACCTGCATCAGAACCCCTTGAGCTTCAAAACAGACTAACTGCTTACATACCTGAATCAGGGAGAGCTGTCATTATTGACCCAAGTCGGAATAAGACGCTGGAAGCTTGCCCAGTTGATGAACTTCCATCAGTGTGTGAGGAAGTGACAGCTGAAAACATCATACCTGTTGAACAGCAGCCGTGGAAAGTCAATCTGACACTTCTTTCAGCTGAGGAGCAGGTGCCAATCGATTCGTTTTCACCTACTAGAAGCCAACTGGAACAACCACAAGAAGCTGCTAAGCCAGTAGTTACACAGATTATCACTACCAAAGGACCAGCATACATTCTCAAGCCAAGCAAAGAAGGTACAGGAGTTCCTAGTCCACTATCAGGCCAAGATGGAGCTGCCCCAGATGGTGGACAAAGCCAATCATACTGTCAATATGTTATCTCTGAGGAGGTCTCTCCGCAGACTGTACCTGATGTCATTGGCACACAGGCCGTTCAGTTTGCTGAGCCTGTGAGAATTCAAGACCCCAAGACTGGTAATGTTGTGATAGCATTCCCAGCTCAAAGACCAGAGGACTTGCATTCAGAAGCTGTCGCATTCTGTGAAGAATTAGATACATCGCCAATGGTGATTCACTATCCAGAAACCAACAAAGTGGAGGTTGCACAGCCTACACTGAGTGATTCCACAAAACGGCCTGAAATGCAGCGTCCTGTAAATCAGCTGATAACCACAGAGGGACCGGCCTATATCCTGAAACCCATTGAAGAGGTCATTGGAGCTGACACTTTGAGTCCTTTAGCAACAGGGGAACAGATGTCTGATCCCAATGTTTTCACTCCTTCCAAGGTTGCTGAACTGGAGAAGTTGCCAGCAATCTTAACATCCAGACCAAGCCTCCAAGCCCCTCAGCAGCCACTGAAGATAAAGGATCCCTTGTCTGGGCGCGTTATGGTAGCACTGCCATGTGAAGATTCCAAAGACCTACAGACAGAAATCACAGTGTACAGTGATGATGCTGAAACTGGAATGATGAAAATCCACCATCCAACTGAGAGACAAGGGCCTGTTGAAGAGTCTGTCTACCTTGAAAAGAAACCAGTTCTTAAGCAGCTGCAGGCTAAACATCCCATCAAACAACAACTAGTAACTAATGAAGGTCCAGCTTATGTTCTCAGACCAGTTAAGAAGTCATCAGGAGCCTCAGCTGCAAGCCCACTGGAGGTAGATTTAGGTAATACCCCAGATGGTGGTGACTACATAATCAGTGGCACACCTGATGCTTCTATATTACCAACTCCACTATCCTTCAGACCTGCACCCGATGGTGACCATAAACCATTGACAATTAAAGATCCCAAGACAGGGAAGCTATTGGAAGCCATACCAGCTGAAGATCCCGAGCAACTCAGAACAGAAGTCACAGCTGTAATCAGTGATTCAGAAGACCAACCAGCAAGAATCTATCACCCAAGGACAGGTCAAGTACTATTGGCAAAACCAGTAGAGTCCATGCCAAGTGAGGAAACCAGCCCAACAAAACTCTTATCTGCAATTCCTCAGAAGGCCTCAACACAAGAGAGACAACTCCCGGAACAACAATTGGTAACTGAACATGGACCAGTCTATGTTCTCAGACCAGTTGAGGAGATTTCACCCAAAGATGTAAAACCTATTCAAGCAACTCCCATTACCCTCTTTGATGACTCAGAAATGGAGAAGCTTCCTCCTGTGGTGTCCACTAGAGCACTGTCAGATGCTCCGATAGAGGCCATGCAAATCGTTGACCCCATTTCTCAAAAAGTTATGCTGGCAGTGCCTTGTGTTGAGCCAACACAGTTGCTGTCAGAAGTTACAGTGTTCATCGATGAGGCAGAAAATGTCAAAATTCACCATCCAAAGAGCATGGAGCCAACACCAGAGGCAGTAACTGTGTTTCTGGAAAAACAGCCATTGCAACTAAGGGGGCTGGAAGAGCAGACATCTGCTGAACAGCTTATCACAGAGGAAGGCCCAGCATTCATTTTGAGGCCTGTCAGAGATACAAGCCCATTGGGTCGAACATCAGCTCCAGCAAGCCACAAACCTGTCGATAGTGTTATTGATGGTAGGGAAATAGAAGAAGTTCCACCTGTCAAATCATGCAAGCCAATCTCGCTTAAATCAGCTGAACCTATCAGGATCAGAGATCCAAAGACTGGGGAGATCATGGAGGCCATCCCAGCAGTTCATCCTAGACAACTGGAAACTGAAATCACAGCCTATGTGAAAGACACCTCTGAAGAGCCAGTTAAGATCCACCATCCGCATAAAGCAAGAGGCACAAAAAGACCATGGACCCCTAATGCTGAGCCCTCTAGAGTTTTGCAGGATGCTGCTGACAAAGTCCTGCCTCATGAACCTTCTGAAACTGCTTCCAAAGCTAAGATCAGCAAAAAGCCTGATGGGTACAAGTTTGCTCAAAGCAAGCCTGTGACTGAGTCTTTACCACCCATGCAGGCCAATGAAATGGATCTTCTTTTTGCTGAACCAGTTGGAACTGCAGAGCTAGCAGAAAATCTTAGTTTTGAACAACCACATAGAATGACCGAACAAGGGTATAAAGCGCAACCAGTTGATTCCAGTCCTATTTTACACCAGCTTGTTACAGATAAAGGTCCAGCATACACCCTCGAACCATTAGATGATTCAACTGCAGTTCAGATTGGGAGTCCACTGAAAGGCAAGCAAGGAACCAGCCCAGGTGGTGGTGTGGGTTCAGCATCAGCTGACTACTTCATGGTGCAGAAGGTGCCCTATGAACTATTGCCAAGTGTTGTAGGAACCAGACGTGTTGATGACCAGAAGCCACTCACAGTGCAAGACCCTAAAACTGGGAAACTATTTGCTGCACAACCAGCCCAGTCCTTGAATGATTTGAAGCGGTCAGTCAGTGCTTATGTACCAGATGGTAGTAAAGATCAAGCCGTGGAAATATTTGACCCTTCAAGCAAGCAAGTGGCTGTTGCATTACCCTCAGAGTTAGCTGTAGATCTGCTGACTGATTTAGATGGCAAGTCAGAATTTCCATCCCAAACTCTACTGGGCGACTCAGCTTCAGTTCCCATGGACTCAGATGATGCCATGGTGCCTGCTGATACACTTTCCAAAAGTCACAAAGCCAAAATGGCGTTTTCTGAGCCTTTTCTTTCACCAATGGAAACCAGTCAGCATTTGGATGACTCTGCAATCCCATTGAGAACTGAACCCTTGCAGACGTCAACTCCTCTCGGTCGTGCAGAACCTGTGAAAACACCCTCAGCGGAACAAGCAACTTCTGAAATTCAACCACATCACAAACCTTTAATGATGAGGGATGACGAATCAGAGCCTGTAAGCCAGTCACCAGACCCACATGAGAACATCTGTCAGTTAATTACTGATCAAGGGCCAGTGTATGTTTTGAGACCAATTGGTGAAGATGCAATTAGTTCTTCAAGAGGCAAGGGAGGCAGTGCACCAGGCGGAGGAAGGGGTCCCCCCTCCGTAGAGTTTGTAATATCTCAAGAAACTGTGCCGCAGCATCAACCACCTGTTGTTACTGGGGCCCGGGAAGTACCCGGGTCTTTGTCACATATTGTCAAAAATCCAAATACTGGACAAGTTCTGGTTGCACGTCCAGCTGAGAGTTTGAAGGAGCTTGATGATGAACCAACAGCTTACATACCTGATAATGCCAATCAACCAGTTCGAATTCATGATCCAAGCAAATTGGCAGATCAGATTGCTGTGCCAACTGAAATGGTTCCAGTTTATGAGACTGCTTCTGCTCAGAGAATAGGACCATCAGAATATTCTGTCGCCTTGAGACTTCCCGATCAATACTCAAGTGGTACAATTTCAACACAAAATGAAGCTGAAATGAAAGATGCACCTGTTAATGAAAAAGCACCTGAGGATGAAAAAGCACCTGAAAGTGGCACCTGGCAGCTGCTTGGAAATGAAGGTCCCATCTTTGTTCTTAAGCCAATTGAATCAATGCCAAGCAATCTTTCCTTACCTGAACAAGCCAGCATTCTAAAGACTGAAGCAGGAAGCCCAATCGCTGACCTTGAAGTTTCACAAGTATCACATCTGGAACAGCCACCAGTGGTTACAGGTGCTCAACATAGCGTACCAACATCTAAACCACTGATTGTCAAGGACCCCAAAACCAGTCAGACGTTTGTTGCAGTACCAGCTCAGAGTTTGGATGAAGTGGCTGAGGAGATAACTGCATGCATTCCAACGAGTACAGAGAGCCCAATAAGAATTCATGATCCCCATGCAGGCAGAGATGCGAGTCCTCATGCAGTTCCTGTTGATGAAGCAGTATTGGCAAGGAGAACACACACAGTAGAAGAGCCCAGATCCAAACTGCCCGATGTTCATGGTGATAAACAACAATCTCCCAGGATTGATGATGAGAAAAGAATGGATGATACTGGCATTGGTGCTACCCCAACTGATGCATTTAACCAGTTGCTTACTGATAAAGGTCCAGCTTACATCTTAAAGCCTTTTGACGGGGAATTGAGCAGTCCATTGCAGGTTCTTGATGGCAGTGCCCCTGATGGGGGAGCAGGTCCCTCATCAGCCCCCTTTGTGATTTCTGAAGAATCCAAACCTCATTGTTCTCCTCAAATAACAGGTGCAAGGAAAGTTTCTCCATCCCAGCCTATTGTTATTCAGGATCCAGCAACAGGAAAAACACTAGCTGCAAGACCAGCACAGAGTTTGAAGGATCTTGAAGACAATTTGTCTGCTTTCATTCCGGATGGTTCCCAGGAACCAGTAAGGATCCATGATCCTCTATTGTCAGTTGATCAAATAGCCATTCCCACTGAACAAATTTCAGTTGATGAGACCTTATTAGTAGACAGGGTGGCTGATGTTCACAAGCCTTTAGCTCTGAGGTTAAAAGAGGATGGAAAGCATGAAAGACCACCTGCTGAAGAAATGGACGGAATGGTGGAGGACTTTCAACCTATGGATCTTGCTACTGATGAGGATGTGCAGTTGCTAACTGATCAAGGCCCAGCCTACATCTTAAAGCCATTTGATGGAGAAGTCAGCAGTCCACTACACGGTCTTGAGAGCAATGGCCCTGATGGGGGAGGTGGTCCTCCATCAGCAGACTTTGTGATATCTACAGAATCTCAACCTCATTGTCCACCACAGATAACAGGTGCCAGGAAAGTCTGTCCATCCCGTCCTGTTGTCATTCAAGATCCAACAACAGGAAAGTCCCTTGTTGCTAGACCAGCACAGAGTTTGAAGGATTTTGAGGACAATGTGTCTGCTTTCATTCCAGACAGTTCCCAGAAACCAGTAAGGATCCATGATCCTTTACTGTCAGTTGACCAAATAGCCATTCCAACTGGACAAGTTCCAGGTGATGAGGCCATATTAGCAGACAGGGTGGCTGATGTTCACAAGCCTTTAGCTTTGAGGTTGAAGGATTATACAAAGCATCAAAGACCATCATCTGAAGAAATGGATGGAATGATGGTGGACTCCCAACCTATGGATGAAGGCACTGATGAGGCTGTGCAGTTGCTTACTGATCAAGGACCAGCCTACATCTTAAAGCCATTTGACGGAGAAGTAACCAGTCCATTGCAGGTTCTTGATGGCAGTGCCCCTGATGGGGGAGCAGGTCCTCCATCAGCCAACTTTGTGATTTCTGAAGAATCCAAGCCTCATTCCCCAACTCAAATAACAGGTGCAAGGAAAGTTTATCCATCCCAGCCTATTGTTATTCAGGATCCAGCAACAGGACAAACACTTGTTGCAACACCAGCACAGAGTTTGAAGGATCTTGAAGACAACATTTCTGCATTCATTCCAGATGGTTCTCAGGAACCAGTAAGGATCCATGATCCTCTGCTGTCAGTGGATCAGATTGCAATGCCAGCTGAACAAGGTCCAGTTGATGAGGCCATTTTAGCGGACCGAGTGGCTGATGCTCACAAGCCTTTAGCTCTGAGGTTTAAAGAGGATGCAAAGCATGAAAGACCGTCGGCTGAAGAAATGGATGAAATGATTGTGGACTCTCAACCTGTGGATAATGCCACTGAAGAGACTGTGCAGTTGCTTACCGATCAAGGACCAGCCTACATCTTAAAGCCATTTGATGGAGAAGACAGCAGTCCACTACAGGGTATTGATGGCAGTGCTCCTGATGGGGGAGCTGGTCCTCCAGCAGCAGACTTTGTGATTTCTACAGAATCTCAACCTCATTGCCCTCCTCAAGTAACTGGAACAAGGAAAGCCTCTCCATCTAATCCCATTTTAATTCAGGATCCAGCAACACAGAAAACACTTGTTGCAAAACCAGCACAGAGTTTGAAGGACCTTGAAGACAACATTTCCGCATTCATTCCGGATGGTTCTCAGGAACCAGTGAGGATCCATGATCCTCTGCTGTCAATAGATCACATAGCAGTTCCAGCTGAACAAGTTCCAGTGGATGAGGCCATATCAGCAAACAGGGTCACAGACGTTCAAAAGCCATTAGCTCTTAGGTTGAAAGATGATGTAAGGCAGGATAAGCCTCCAGCTGAAGAAATAAATGGAATTATGCCAGACTCCCAACCCATGGATGATGCATCTAATGAAACTATGCAGTTACTTTCTGACCAAGGACCAGTGTACGTCTTGACACCTTTTGATGGTGAAGCCACTTCACTACGAGGTGGAAAGGGAATTGCATCTGGTAGAGGAGTAGGACCTCCTGTTGCAGATTTCGTAATTTCACCAGATACCAAGCCGGTGCAAGAACCTGTAATAACTGGGGCTCGTAATGCTCCCCAGTCCAAGCTCATCATTAATGATCCAGTAACAGGCCAGACCCTTGTTGGAAGACCTGCTCAGAGCTTAAGAGTCATGTCAGAAGAAGTCACTGCATGCGTTCCTGATGAAACTGACAAACCAATCCGAATCCATGATCCTCACACAACACAAGATCAAATTGCTCTGCCTGCTGCATTGGTAACAGTTGAGGAAGCGTCATTGCCTGGAAAAGCAGGCAAGAAAAAGAAGCCTAAGAAGCGCAAGAAAAAAGGAGGAGCAACTGCGAAAACAGATGACACACGAGATGCACCTGTTAGACAAGTTCCAAGTGAAGAGGTAAAACAGCTGCTTACAGACAAAGGACCATTGTATGTTTTGACACCAGTTGATGGAGATCTGAGCTCCTTGAAAGGTCAGCAAGGTAGTGCCCCAGGTGGTGGAGTTGGGCCACCATCAACTGACTTTGTCATATCAGAAGATGCAACACCACAAGAACTACCTGTTGTAACTGGTGCCAGGGATACTCCAAAATCACAGTTGATGGTCATTAAAGATCCAAGAACTGGGGAAGCTCTAATTGCCAGACCTGCTGAGAGTTTGAGTGATTTGGCCAAAGGTTTAACTGCTTGCATCCCAGATGATACTGTCAAGCCAATTAGGGTCCACGATCCTCATACAAAACAAGATCACATTGCTCTTCCTGTTGATAATGTTGATCAGGTAACTCCTTCTGAAGAACTCTGGCCTATGGAGACAAGCACTGTGTCTGATGATCTTACTTCAACATCTCCTGTCAAAGAAACCCCTACATATCAAAGTATAGAGCAATTGCTTACAGATCAAGGACCATTGTACGTTCTGAAGCCGATAGATGACAAAGTGGCCAACCTACAAGGAGGCCTAGAAGGTGATTCTGTTGACAGTGGAGAGGGCCCACCATCGGATTTTGTAATATCCCCTGTAACACAGCCCAAGCAGCAGCCTGTGGTTACTGGAGCCAGGACCGTTCCACAGACCAAATCACTGAGGGTCCAAGACCCAAGAACTGGTCAGATGCTAATTGCGGAACCAGCACAGAATTTGAATGACTTGTATGATGAGGTCACTGCCTCCATTCCAGATCAGACGGATCAGCCAGTACTTGTCCATGATCCCACCCTTACACAGGATCAGATTGCTGTGCCTTGCAAGAAGAGTCCAGCTGATGATTCAACACTTGCTGCTGTCAGACCAAAGAAACCAAAGTCACAAAAACATAAAGGGAAGAAACCAAAAGAAGGAAAGAAGCCTAAAGATACCATTTCACATCAAGAGGAAAAAATGGAAGAAACCCCATCTAAGGTTCCTGCGTCTGGAGAAATTCAACAGCTGCTGTCTGACCAAGGACCAGTGTTTGTCCTGACACCAATAGATGATGTAAGTAGTCCCATGAAGGGTCTTGCAGGTAGCGCACCTGGTGGAGGTGCAGGACCACCACCAGCTGACTTTGTGATATCATCAACTAGGAAACCACTTCAACAACCTGTTGTTACTGGTTCTCGCAGTGTGCCTTTAACAGATCCACTTATTGTCAAAGAACCCAGAAGTGGAGAGACTCTGATTGCAAAACCAGCTCAGAATCTGAAGGACCTGAAGGAGAAATTAACAATGTGCATTCCAGATGATTCCAGACAGGCGGTTAAAGTGCATGATCCAATTGAGTCATGTGATCAGATAGCATATCCTGTCGAACCAGCATTAGTCGATGAAACTCTATCAGCTGAGAAGGTACCCAGTGTTGAGAAACCTCTTGCAGAGAGGCTCCGTGATCCTAGAAAAAGGTCGAGATTGGAATCTGCCAGCAGCCCACTGGATGGCAGTCAAGGAGATGCTCCTGTTGGACAAGTTCCAAGTGAAGAGATAAAACAGCTGCTTACAGACAAAGGACCATTGTATGTTTTGACACCAGTTGATGGAGATCTGAGCTCCTTAAAAGGTCAGCAAGGTAGTGCCCCAGGTGGTGGAGTTGGGCAACCATCAACTGACTTTGTCATATCAGAAGATGCAACACCACAAGAACCACCTGTTGTAACAGGTGTCAGGGATATTCCAAAATCACAGTTGATGGTCATTAAAGATCCAAGAACTGGGGAAGCCCTTATTGCCAGACCTGCTGAGAGTTTGAGTGATTTGGCCAAATGTATAACTGCTTGCATCCCGGATGATACTGCCAGGCCAATTAGGGTCCACGATCCTCATACAAAACAAGATCACATTGCTTTTCCTGTTGATAATGTTGATCAGGTAACTCCTTCTGAAGATCTCTGGCCTAAAGAGACAAGCACTGTGCCTGACGATCTTACTTCAACATCTCCTGTCAAAGAAACCTCTACATTTCAAGGTATAGAGCAATTGCTAACAGATCAAGGACCATTGTACGTTCTGAAGCCGGTAGATGACAAAGTGGCCATCGTTCAAGGAGGCCTAGAAGGCGATTTTGTTGACAGTGGAGAGGGCCCACCATCCGATTTTGTAATATCCCCTGAAACACAGCCCAAGCAGCAGCCTGTGGTTACTGGAGCAAGGACCATTTCACAGACCAAATCACTGAGGGTCAAAGACCCAAGAACTGGTCAGATGCTAATTGCGGAACCAGCACAGAATTTGAATGACTTGTATGATGAGGTCACGGCCTCCATTCCAGATCAGACGGATAAGCCAGTACTTGTCCATGATCCCACCCTCACACAAGATCAGATTGCTGTGCCTTGTCAGAAAAGTCCAGCTGATGATTCAACACTTGCTGCTGTCAGACCAAAGAAACCAAAGTCACAAAAACATAAAGGGAAGAAACCCAAACAAGGAAAGAAGCCAAAAGATACCATTTCACATCAAGAGGAAAAAATGGGAGAAACCCCATCTCACGTTCCTGCGTCTGGAGAAATTCAACAGCTGCTGTCTGACCAAGGACCAGTGTTTGTCCTGACACCAGTAGATGATGTAAGTAATCCCATGAAGGGTCTTGCAGGTAGTGCACCTGGTGGAGGTGCAGGACCACCAGCAGCTGACTTTGTGATATCATCAACTAGGAAACCACTTCAACAACCTGTTGTTACTGGTTCTCGCAGTGTGCCTTTAACAGATCCACTTATTGTCAAAGAACCCAGAAGTGGAGAGACTCTGATTGCAAAACCAGCTCAGAATCTGAAGGACCTGCAGGAGAAATTAACGATGTGCATTCCAGATGATTCCAGACAGGCAGTTAAAGTGCATGATCCAATTGAGTCATGTGATCAGATAGCATATCCTGTCGAACCAGCATTGGTCGATGAAACTCTATCAGCTGAGAAGGTACCCAGTGTTGAGAAGCCTCTTGCAGAGAGACTCAGTGATCCTAGCAAAAGATCACAATTTGACGATACCGATGGCATGCCAGCGAGTAAGGATGAACCCACACAACAACAAATCATCACAGAGAAAGGACCTGCCTTTGTGTTTAGACCGCTGGGATCCACCAGCAGCCCACTGGATGGCAGTCAAGGAGATGCTCCTGATGGAGGTTCTAAACAACCCATCACTGGGGACTTCCAGATTTCAGAAGAGGTTGAGCCACAGAGGTTACCAATGGCTGTTGGTGCTAGGGCTGTGCCAAAACAAAAACCGCTAATTGTCGTCGATCCCAAAACTGGACAGGCTGTGGAGGCCATACCTGCCCAGAATGTGCGCGACCTATATGAAAACACAATAGCTTACATTGAAGATGACGGAAAAGGGCCCATGAAAATCCACGATAATGAAACTGGGAAGGTGAAGGTTGCATACCCAACAGAAATTGTTATGGTTCCTGAAACTAGTGACCAAGAAGATGAATCAGTGAGCGGCGAATCAACTCCTGGATTCTACACCCCAGAAACTGGATCTCCTGCCAGATCACGTTCCAACAGTCTTGAATTGGAACCTGTAGAAGAGATTGTCCAGGCCAGTAGAGCAGCACCACGTCTCACAGCATTTGGTTATCTGGCACAAGTACTTGGGTTCACCCCTAAAGAAGCCTTGGAACCAAAGGGAGAGTCGGAAACAGGTTTGGATGAAACTGATGATGGTACTCCATATAAGGAAGCTGTAGACTTCCCATCTTCCGAAGAACCAGAAGAATTACCGACAGCCCAAAAGATGAACATATCTGACCCATTTTCCCAACCAAGTGATACTGGATCAAGGGAACAGCCTATAGATTCAGGTCTTCGACCCTCTCAAAAACCAACAACACCTGTCAAGACTGTCAGGTTTGCTGATGATGTGCCATCAACTTTGGCATCACCAAAGAAATCAGAACCTGGTTTAGATGAACCCTCAGAACAAGTTCCTTTCAAACCTCACCTCTCTTACCCAAGGCCTACAAGAACGGATCCCAGTCACAAAGAACAATTGGAAGGACCGCATAATGTGCCTATTGAACAAAGAAAGAAACCATCCCCATCCAGGAAATCAGATCAGAGGCATCCCCAACCACCTACTGACCTCTCGTGGCGTCCTGCCTTCTCAAGAGAAACCCCAGAAGCTAAACAAAGTCCTTCTGAAGCGCTTCTACCTATTAAACCATCCTCTCATAGGCATCCTTATCAATCACCCATGGATTTCCATCCAAGTTTTGTTACTGAATCTCCCACTTCACGAGCACCTCCTTCAGAGCAGCTGATAACCCCTGATACAGACTCTGACCTGTTCCACACACCTGATGCTCCTCCATCATCATCGGAGGATGTTTACTATCCAGCTCGACAACCAAGTGAGGAGACCCCAGAAGGCCCTGCGAGAAAAGCTTATACAGCCCCTCCTGCCTACAAACCGATAAAATCTACATCCTCACCCAAATTCAGGACTCCTAAGGGAACCAGTGCCTCACCATTGGAAGACCTGTCCAGAAGGAATAGACAGGGGAAGACGTCACCCATCAAAGAAATACATACTTCACCGTCTAGACACAGAGGAGGAGATAGAATTGGGGAACTCAACAGATCATGGGACAACCTTCAACAAAAGGTGAGGAAAGTATCCAGGCCTTTACGTATGTATATTCTTTAAAATAAAATGGCAATGAAATGGCAACTTTTGGAATTCGTTTCAGTAAAATTGTTTGTTACACTGATGTCTTGGAGACTACTGTTTCAAGAAGTAGATATTTGGATGCACTTATAAGTTAATATTTGAATGCATCTTAACCAAGTTCTTATGTTAAATTTTAAGCTTAAGGAAACCGTCATCGAAAATATCCACCTTGCTCTGTTATTTTTATAAGATGGAAGAGAAACAGAGGTTATTGCGAGAGGCCTTGGCCCGTCAGGAAGACTACCATAATGCTCTGTCTGAGCTGAACATCAGGCTGGAAGCAGCAGAGCAGAAGCTGAAGGGCATTGACCAACAGGACTTGGACGACGGAATGGCCACTTTAGAGGTAAATGCTTTCTTGAGTCTTGCATCTGCACCCTGAAATTAGATTTGATAAGGGCGTGAAATATCTTCTCTGGAAAAAGTCACCAAGTTTTAGGACTACTTTTTACGATAGAGGTTTTGCTTCCAGGAGATGTAAATACAATATTGGGGTTTCGTCTTTTCAGTGTCATTATAAAGGCTCTGAACACTTGATATTAATTAAAAAGGTGCCCCTTACATGGTTTGAAAGTGCCAGCTCTGTTCACAAGTACCCCCCTCAACGGTAAGAAAAAGAGAGTATGGGGAGACCACAGGGAGAGACATTCAAACGCATTATCAATTATGCCTGACGCTCACGCGAAGACACTATGGCTTTGTGCACATTCAGAATAAAGCATTCAGAATAAAGGCATGGGGATTTCACATTAAATACACGCGCGAACTGGGAAGCAAACACGACATGTCCTGTCCACTGGGCTCTCAAAAGTTGTTAAAAAAAGTGTCCTCTCTTCTTCGTGCACGGAGCCCATAATACTTTATCCTGCATTAACCCTTCAGTCACTGTAGCGCCCCAGCACTCTATGGTTTTATTGATTTTTCAGTGAATAAACACAATGTAATACAATGTAGTACAAGTGCTAATGGGTTAAAGTATGTGTAATAATCATGGAAAACCTGAAATCTTAACACAAGTAATGTGCATTACATTTTGGCTTGAAGCCGCGTGTGCTGAATTGTGGGGTGCTTAGAAAAACAAGTCAACAAAACCCAATTTGGAATTTCTTCTTTTTATTCTCAGCACATCTTGGACGAAGTGGAGGCTCTCCAAGCCAACATCAGTGAAGTCAGAGAGAAAGGTGACAAGCTGGTCTCCCGCGGCGACGCTGGCAACAGGGATGCCATTCTAGCAACACTGGCATCGCTCAGTGAGAGAACAGGCAACATCCTCTCCGACAGCTTGGATAAACTCAACCAACTACAGGTATGCTAAAGACTCGGTGTAGGAAACGTAGATTGTGCCGTGACTACTTAAAAGAGTTCATGCGGGTCACACTGCATGGATGATTTTTCCGGATTTCAGGATTTTTAAATAATCTCTTTTGAAATCTTGAAATCCTGAGATTTTACAGTAGCGGTGTTTTTACCAAATACTAACATATACAATAAACCCTACGTTGCTCTAGTCTGAGGCCCTCAGCAACTCTCAAACCCCCGCCTATCATTTTGTTGATTTTTCATTTCCCCCAATTTCACCCATGAAAAAGTGATGACAAAAATCAGTTTTAGGATAATTGTGTGGAGACATTTTTACTACTTTACATAACTTTTTCAAAGGAATTATAACAAACCTGTGCTAAGAACTCGCAGCAAATATTTGAGACAAGATGTCTTCTTATTTTTCACAATTTGACAGATTGAGAAGGAAGAGCAAGAGCAGCTGAAGAGCCAGCTGACGTCTTGCAAGAACGAGCTCCATCAACTCGAGACATGGTTGGACAACTTTGTACAACTCCTGGATGAGGAGGAGGATGCCGCCTCCCAGTCGGCGCCTAGCGTGGTGGCCATCCAACAGCAGCTAGTACTCAATCAGGTAAAACTGAATTACTGAGTTGATAGTCAAGTCCATTACCAGTCAATCACACTTAAATCACAATTCATAAATACCTAAGACAGTTTACCCGTTCCCATTGGAGGAGAGCCCGTCACGTGGCTGGTACATGGCTGGCTGGTCTTAAACACTTTTCCAGTGTCACATGAAATTTGAACTCCTATGAAATCCAGTGCCTTTTACCGATTTATTGGTTTAACGTACACAATCCTCACATAGGCATGCGCAATACTACCACTGAGTCAGTATTTCATAGTCCTAAATTCACAATGCACTCACCATAGCTGCATCTGCGCGTCATTGCGCGCCAATCTCCACTAAAGGAGTTGTTTACGTCTTACTCACTAGCTGGACACTCCATTATAAAGCTAGAGTGTTGTTTCGAAAAACAGAAAGTAATATTGTTGAACAAATTTGTCTTTCGGACTGAAAAGTTTAGACTTTTTGATCGAAAGGTATTTGTAAATGAGTTTGCCTCGGGTAATAATCAGCATTCCAGTTTCCAACCAGTCTTAAAGGGAATATACAACATTTGCAAACATTGGAAAACAAAAACTACCAAATTTTTACGAAATAGCTTACTAGGATGTTGGTAAATGAAAGTCTGAAGCATCCTGTAAAATTATGGCACCTGGTGTGAAGTCATTTCCAAGAAAAGTGGTATTTTGTATAAATTTCCAACGGTGGTCGGCCGACCACCGTTGGAAAAACCTAACTATTTTTTAACTACTGCTCCAATTTTACCCTTTTTCAGTCCAAATTGTGTTTGCTATTGGTTCCAGGTTCATGAACGGGTGTAGACCAGCTAGATTGGTTTCCTTACCTTACAATTTTCCGGCATCTATAAATTGATGCATTTTATCTTAAGTGGAGTCAGGGAACCAGACTACTTGAACATTTTTGTTTTTCCTGGTTTTTCCAGCATTTTCGAACACAAAACTTCAAACTTGTCAGTGTAACAATATTTGATCTATTATACTTACCCCTCAAATAGTTCATTTCTGTAAATTACAGCAAAAGCCAATGATGTACATTCCCTTTAAATATAGTGTTTAACACCTCCCAAGCGCAAATTCATTCCCGTATCCAAATTGTTATTATTGTGGTCTTCCCAAGTCAATTCATGTGTAACAGGGGACAATGCCAAAGGATTGCCTTTCAAAGTTGATCAATGCAAATAGCGCATCTCTTCACTTGAGACTGATTGACATGTGATTGACTTGTGATGACTTATGATTTACTGAAGAGGACATGTGAGGACTTGCCAACAATTTTGCAAAGTACTCCCTGCTGGATGGAGTATCTCCTGTGTGTTTTTTGCCATGGGCCTTGATTTTCTTTTTCTTAGATTTAGCATTTGCTAGTTAAGACTTTGAAATATGCATCAGGTTGTTGACTAAAAAATTTTTGTCACTATACTTATCTTGGTATGATCTTTTCAATCATCTGGTCATCTGGTACTCATTTAAAGCACAGAGCTTACAGATGCTTTCAAACGATCAATTACAATGTGCATGTGTATGAAACTTTTTCCAGCATTTGGAGATTACATTTTCTTTTGTGATATGAACTGTTGACAACAAATGTGTTTGAAGTATGCTTGGTTCTGTTTCATAATTTTTTTTTTTTTTAAAGAAATACCCTTAATAGTCACCATAAGAAATGACAAGGAAAATATGATCTATTTGCAACTGTGTAGTTATTTGTTATTCCTGAATTGACCTTTAAGATAGAAATACTGGTAAAAGAATGATGAGATTTTTAAAACTTTTCAACTGCTACAGAACCACCAGTTGGAGCTGAGCCGCAAGCTCCAAAAACTCCAAGACGTCCAGGGCATCATTGACGACATCCAGATAACCTACCCGTCCCGGGAGGGGGAGACCACCTCAGCCCTGGCTGCCCTCCTGCGCACCCGCATGGAGACCCTCAGGCGGGACCTGACGGACCGGCAAGAGCTGCTCAAGATGCGACGGAACACGGAACAGATGGCCGAGGAGTACCAGAGCGACGTGCAGCGCCTGCAGGAGTGGTTTGCCGCGCACCGTGGCGCTGCCGCTGCAGCAGCAGCAGCAGCTGAGGGAAGAGTGGTGCCAGTGGACGTGGGATCGGAGTCCCTGCAAAGACAGATGGACCTTCAACAGGTTAGTTTGATTGAGATTTGGCAAAGAATCGGCCATATTGAATTGAAAGTTAGGTAAAATCTTAATTTTTGGAACTTGCGAAGAGAAATAAAAGCAAGTTGCTATATAATAAATTCCAGTCTGCTTCAATGAATAATTTAAAATTGGTAATTAAACATTCGCTAATGTTTAAAGCCATATTTTTTTAAAAATGACAGTAAATTAAGGCTGCATTGTGCCTGCATAAATAGTCTGGCGCCATCCAATTCAACAGTTAACAATTAATTAAATACATTCAGGGAACTCGACAAAAATGGCCAACTCGTGAATAAGGCCCATAACATGGTGCCTATATAACACAGTATACCATATCTTGAAATGTTTCACAATGATTACCTATGTTTATCGGGCCATGAGTTAGGATTTTCTGCAGCAGCTCAAGATCTATTCTCTACCCTCATACATAGCCATTTATTTATGCTCCTAGGTGGAGAAGCAATTGTACTTAAGTGTCTGACAAATGTGCGAAAGATAAGTTTAGAAAGGAAAAATAAGGTAAAATACTCGTTTAACGTATCTGGCCTCCAAAGCTTGTAATACCTTTAATATTACCTTTGTATATTTTTGTGAATTTTTTTTTTTTTACCCTTATTTAATATATTACTGAAAAGAATTGTTTTATGGTGTACCTGACCGTGTTCATCAACTTCATGATTCAGTTTTTTAGCTGCGGACAGCAACTCAACAAATTGTTGTGTCTCTCCGTTAGTTAGTTAGTTAGTAACATACGTAGCATCATACGACCGCCATTTTCTTTTACGTTTTAAAAACTTAAATGAATTGCAAGACACGTCGCAGGTCGCAGCTGCGATGCGTCGTAGGGATACGACGAACGAAACGAACAACTAATTTAAATTTTCCTACGGTGCTTCTTAAGAAGCACCGTTGGAAATGCCTTCTTTCGTTGATTTCTTCAAAATGAGAGCTTGCCAGAAGGGATAATTTCACAGGTAGTTTAGTCCCCTTACTACCTTTCAACCAGTATGTTTTTCAACAATAATTACGCCGGTTACTTTTTTGGATAGCTGCAAATGATGGACTCAGCTTTAATGATTGCTCACATTCATATGAAATACATAAATTAAATATGTCGTGTTTCAAAGTATTTTTTTCAGTTTTAATTTTAATTTTTTTTTTTTTTTTAGCATTAATTGTTTTCTAAACATTTTATAACGCAATTTTGCTTAAATGTGATATTTGAGAAATAGGGAATATTGTGATTACTATCATAGAGTGTATACCTATATTGTTCTGAAACAGGTTGTTGCTTTTTTCCGAAAAGTGAGGGCCCAGAGAGGGATTGGTGAAAATACAAAATCTTTGCCATTCAAGTATATTTAAAAATTCCAAGTTTATGATTGAACCATCTTCAGCCCCATTCAGAATCTATTGACGTGCACCCACCACACTTAACGTCTGCAAAAGAAAATCAATTTCCAAGCCAGAAAAACATCTTCAGGTTGTCTGCATTTTCTAACGCAATTTGCCAATGAGTGCAACAGAGCACTTCACTGCAATGAATTTGGAGGAAATGGGATACACAAGAGAGACATGTGGAATAGTGCATTCCTCCCCCAATTATGAATGGTTCGCATTATGCACAGCATTTTGTGTACGGACATAGATGGTTGACACTTATGTTCCTGTGCAATACTCTTAAGGGAAGTTTGGAGTAGTGAGCGGTTGTCATCAGGGAAATGTTAACTTTCCCCTCCAGATTCTCAGAAGCAAGGCACATCTTAGCAAGAAGTGGAAAATTGCTTTGTAGAGTGCCAGAAATAGTTGTTTTGTCTCTTGATTTTAGTGGAATCTCATGTGCTTTGCATGGAACCCATGTTACTTCAAAAATTCATTAACAAGTATGGCTGAAGGCTAACTGAAGTCCTCTAGATCTATTTATATCATTCGAAAGCTCTACTGCTGATCGTACTTGTCAAGATTTTTTAATCCGTGTCTAAAGCAGTGTTTTTTTCATAGTATGGGTACCGGTACGTACTTTTCAATTTAAAAATTGAATCAATTTTCTATATGCGTACTCTTGGATCTGAGGTTAAGGACAAATATTTTAAGTCTAAGTGTTGCAGAGCATGTGTAATTATTAAGGAATTGAGTACAAACAAGTATTCAACATTGGGTTAACTTGTAGTCAAGTACATTTAGAACATTAAAAGTCTGAGTATATATATAGAAATATATTGGAGCATTAAGCACAGGTATGAATGATAATAATACCGGTAGTCTGTATGTTATATCATGGAGGTGTTTCCTACCTCCATGGTGATATGCACCCTATCTTAGGATAGTCAGTTTCTTTCATTTGTTCAGCACTGTGGGCAATTAACTTCATAACCCCTACTGAGCCAGTAGTTATTATTGCAGTCAATCCATTAAGTATCCCTGGCCTGAGATGACCTTAGCCAACTGACATTAGATACAAGACAACTCCACCCACAAGGTTATACCCTGGGGACATAGGCTGACTGCTCTGAGAAGAAGCTGCTAAACATATAAACTTACTAAGTACAGTTAGAAACTTACTAAAGTACAGTTAGAAACTTACTAAAGTACAGAATCTTACTAAGTACTGAAACTTGCTAAGTATACATGTAGAAGCTTTGCTAATTAAAAGTACAGACATATGCTAAGTACAGAAAGGTGCTCTGCACAGAAACTTGCAAAAAAAACCCAGATACTTGCTAAGAAGAAATACTTGCTAAGAACAGGACCCAATTTCATGGCGCTGCTTAACAGTTAGCAGAAAAGTTGTGCTTAGCATAGCTGAAAAATTTGCTAATCTTAAGCACTATTTCATGGCGTGGATGTGCTAACGGTCCAAAAGTGTGCCTTTTGCTTTGCTTATGCTTACGGTCTCCATGAAATAGCTCTGTTAGCAGAAATTCATGTGCTTAAGCAGCGCCATGAAATTGGGCCCTGATACTTGCTAAGAACAGATTCTTTCTGAACAAAGAAACTTGCTACGCACAGAAACTTTCTGAGCACCCAAACATTCTAAGCACTGAAACGTTCTAAGCACAGAAACTTTCTAAGCACAGAAACATTCTAAGCTCTGAAACATTCTAAGCACTGAAACATTCTAAGCACTGAAACATTCTAAGCACTGAAACATTCTAAGCACTGAAACATTCTAAGCACTGAAACTTTCTAAGCACTGAAACATTCTAAGCACTGAAACATTCTAAGCACAGAAACTTTCTAAGCACAGAAACATTCTAAGCTCTGAAACATTCTAAGCAATGAAACATTCTAAGCACTGAAACATTCTAAGCACAGAAACTTTCTAAGCACCGAAACTTTTTTTAAGCACAGAAACTTCCTATATAGCACAGAAACTTGCTGAGCAAAGAAATGTGTTGTTAAGTACAGAAACTTGCTAAGCACAATAAGCATCTGCTTAGCAGAAACAGGTCACCCACCAAAATTTCATGCAATGCATGTTGCTTGTGACTGGCTTTAAGCTTATATCTGCTTAATACATAAATTTGCTAAGCAATATTTTCTGCACAACAGCTCCACATAATTGGTCCTTGGGCTCATACTGTGCCCTTGATATATGATACATCAATCAATACTTGACATGTAGACTCAGATCATATGGATTTCATATCAACTCACATTGTTAATCCATAGCCTCTAGGCATGACTAGCCTTCTGTGTAACCTATTGGCCTGCTTATGACTGAGAGTTCAAAAGCTCCGATTTTGAAGCATGTATTGAATTGTATTGAGTCATCCGCAAGGATTTTGAATTCAGTGGCTAAGGAAAAGTGATGTTTATGTGTAAAATGATCACATGTATAATGACTACAGTATAAGTATACAGTATAAGTGTCATATCGTGTCCCCCCCCCCCCAAAAAAAAATAGAACATCCTTTCATGTTGGAGAGATTAAAGGGCTTTGATTTAACCAACAGAAAATAAATTGAATTTATAAGTTTGCTAAATTGTAAGACATTTTCTGGAATTTGTTCTCAAAGGACAAAATTGGGGTTTTACGATATGCAATTTTGATTGGCTGTAGTTTTCAGTTTCACTACTGAACTGTGGGGCTTGCACATAGACCCAATTCCCCATAACAAAATTGCCTTTGTTTAAATAAATTAACAATATAAATTTAGAATTCATATGTACATGTATACCTGTTTTTGAGGTTTACTAGAAAAATTTCATTGAGATGCCACAAACAACAAACATTAAGAACCCAACAATGATTCCTTTCTTTGTAATCTCACACTTTACTCTCTGAGCAGCTGCTCATAATTCAGATGATTCATATTCATCACACTGCCCTCACACAGGGCCCCATTATAATCAGCAATTCATCTTGAATTAATGAATATTCATCAGGGTCAAGGTTCAACCAGAGGCAGCTGCACAACCAATCACATGTGAAGAGTACCGTATGACTGAATGCATTCATTGTACATTGTATGTGGACTGACGCGTACGTGTACATGTGTATTTTTTCTTTATGTGGGCATTGTACTTATGCAATGGAATCGGAAGACACATGGGCCAGAGCTGTGATAATAACAATGATGCGTACAAACTGATGAAACTAAATCCTCAGCCTCCAATGGGACAATGAAGTGGTATCATATGGAAATATTTCACTGTGTGGGCTGCCAGCATGATGGATTTAATGTGGATTTTATTCATGCTGGTAAACTCTGCTTGGCGAGAGTCTCCTGCTGTGCTTCATTGAAATAAGGATGTTTTATTTGAAGGAGTTTGCATCAGTTTATGACACGGAGGCCGATGACACGGAGGCCGATCTTCAGACATTGTGATTTTATGCTCTCTGCAACCTCACAGATACAACTTCCGAGTCGTTTTTAACATAGACGTGCGATGACATATTTGCGAACTCTGCAGTCCAAAGATCATTTTTTATGATAAGTTGATGGTTTTTTATAGGGCAAGAAGACCGTGAACACTTTGAG